CCTACAAAAGGTCAACAACTTTGGTCAGCCCCCACGGCCCTTCACTTCATCAAATCTGGCCCTCTTTGAAAAAGGTTTGGACACCACTGTGCTAAGAGGAAGGCACGTTTGGGAAACCCTCACCTTGGGACGTGGGTGGCGCTGTGGGTTAAACCACAGAGCCTAGGACTTGCCGATCAGAAGGTCGGTGGTTTGAATCCCCACGACGGGGTGAGCTCCCGTTGCTCGGTCCCTGCATTTCGAAAGCACGTCAAAGTGCAAGTAGATAAATAGGTACCGCTCCAGCGGGAAGGTAAACGGCGTTTCCGTGCACTGCTCTGGTTCGCCAGAAGTGGCTTAGTCATGCTGGCCACATGACCTGGAAGCTGTATGCCGGCTCCCTTGGCCAATAAAGCGAGATGAGCGCCACAACCCCAGAGTCGGTCACGACTGGACCTAATGGTCAGGGGTCCCTTTACTTTACCTTTTACCACCTTGATCAACTCCTGCCTGGGAACCTATGTCCCCACTATGGAAGGATGTGAGGATCCAGAATTGGCCTCCACAGGCACTTACAGACTCACTGTTAAGAATGTGTTCATGGAAGAAATCTTACTCAGCTATGAGTGTTCACTGATGAAGAAGAGACTGACTGGCAGGAGGTCTCCTGAAGCCTTTCTCATTCATGAGATATTGGAGATTTGAACCTGGAACCTCCACAAGTGAATCATGTGTTGTATAAGATAGATGCAGTGGTCATGTAAGCAGTTTGCATGAACAAAGTTCCATGTTTAATAATAATACCCCACTCATCTGGCTGGGTTTCCCCAGCCACTCTGCATGGCTCCCCAGTCCCTGGCATCCCCTCTTCAGAAAGGATTGAGTGATAATGGGAAAGACCTTTTGCTGCCAGCGACCCTGGAAAGCTTCTGTCAGAGCAGACCATGCCGGGCTAAATCGACATCTTCCTAATTTACCTCTAATCGCAACAGCAATCCTATTAATATACTGACTAGAACTGTTTACCCAGGTCCAAATGTGAAACAGATGGCAGGTCTCCCTAGAACAATAGTCATTTGACACATAATAAACAATGCAGGTCTTATGTAGGTCAAACTTAAGGAGGCAGACTCCTCTTAGCATCCTCCTTGCGCACACAGAGGGGGGCAGGGTCTGAAATCTGATGGGCTGCCTCCTCATCCCCCTTGCAACCTTGGAAGAATCTCGCTTCTGGAAGTGACATTGGCAAGGGCTTAGAGCAGACCTGTGAGGCTGATGAAAAGGTTTGAGAAGACCATTCCTAATAATAGCAGGGTAAAGGTTGAAGAGGGATGCGGGAGACGCTGTGGGTTAAACCACAGAGCCTAGGACTTGCTGATCAGAAGGTCGGCGGTTCGAATCCCCATGATGGGGTGAGCTCCTGTTGCTCGGTCCCTGCTCCTGCCCACCTAGCAGTTCGAAAGCACGTCAAAGTGCAAGTAGATAAATAGGTACCGCTCCGGCAGGAAGGTAAACGGTGTTTCCCTCTTGGAGGGTTTAATGTAGAAGATGGATAGGCCTCTGATATGGTCATCTTGGCTCAGAACGAACACTGAATAATAATAATAATAATAATAATAATAATAATAATAATAATTTATTTTTTGTACCCCGTCCATCTGGCTGGGTTTCCCCAGCCTCTCTGGGCGACTTCCAACAAAGATGAAAAATACATTAAAATGTCACACATTAATTCGATTGTAGGTCAGCAACTAGAGACCCCTGGGCCCAAACTAGCCTAATGTGATGTGCTACAGGACCTCCTAGTTGCCAGAGTTATCTTTCCTCTCCAATTCCTGAGACTAGGTACAGAAGGAAAAGGTTGGACCTCTCCCTCCCTCTTGATTATTTTTTTAAATGACATTTATACTACCCTTTCTCCAAAGGAGCCCCAGGCGGTAAACATGTCAATACTAAAACAATACAGTGAAAATTTCTAAAAACAGTTAAAAGTTGCCTTTCAAAAAACAGTTAAAAGCAATCAGTTGTTCTTAAATTAATAATTTCAGAGTTGCCTGAGACTTATCTGTCGCTACTAGTTTTGCTATTGCACTGTGACGGTCACTCAGTGTTAACAGAAAACTCCTCAAACATATTTATTTTATGTTCATTATTTATTGACTTTATTTTTATACTATTGTTCCTCTCAGATGGGAGCCCAGGGTGGAATGAAATCATGTCTTTCTACCTGAACACCCATTTTACTGCTGGAACTCATTGTAGCTTTTCAGCATGTATATATATCATACAGCATACAGTGGGGCCTATTCAGCACTGTCAGATCAATGGAGGATTTCCAGCTAATGCCTCTGTGACATTGTTTCCTATATACACTGCTATTTTTCTAGAAAAAGAGGTGCCGGAACTCACCATGAACTCCGCCCTTGTTCTCTTAGAATGGCAATAGCGCCCACCTGAGAGGTGCCAGAACTGAGTTCCTGTGAGTTCCGGCTGACAAAAAGCCCTGCCCATATTTGTTGTTGTTGTTTAGTAATTTAGTCATGTCCGACTCTTTGTGACCCCATGGACCAGAGCACACCAGGCACTCCTGTCTTCCACTGCCTCCCGCAGTTTGGTCAAACGCATGTTAGTAGCTTCAAGAACACTGTCCAACCATCTCATCCTCTGTTGTCCCCTTCTCCTTGTGCCCTCCATCTTTCCCAGCATCAGAGTCTTTTCCAGGGAGTCTTCTCTTCTCATGAGGTGGCCAAAGTATTGGAGCATCAGCTTCAGGATCTGTCATTCCAGTGAGCACTCAGGGCTGATTTCCTTCAGAATAGTTTTGATCTTCTTGCAGTCCATGGGACTCTCAAGAGTCTCCTCCAGCACCATAATTCAAAAGCATCAATTCTTTGGCCATCAGTCTTCTTTATGGTCCAGCTCTCACTTCCATACATCACTACTGGGAAAACCATAGCTTTAACTATACGGATCTTTGTTGGCAAGGTGATGTCTCTGCTTTTTAAGATGCTGTCTAGGTTTGTCATTGCTTTTCTCCCAAGAAGCAGGCGTCTTTTAATTTCGTGACTGCTGTCACCATCTGCAGTGATCATGGAGCCCAAGAAAGTAAAATCTCTCACTGCCTCCATTCCCCCCCCCCCTTCTATTTGCCAGGAGGTGATGGGACCAGTGGCCATGATCTTAGTTTTTTTGATGTTGAGCTTCAGACCATATTCTGCGCTCTCCTCTTTCAACCTCATTAAGAGGTTGTTTAATTCCTCCTCACTTTCTGCCATCAAAGTTGTGTCATCTGCATATGGGAATTGTCTTATATTCATATCAGCTCCTCTGTTGCAGCAGAAATTATAATAAAACAAAACAAGAGCATGGCAGCACCTTAAGGACTAATAAAGCAGAGCCAACTGAATGTGTTATATTTTAATATCTACTACATCAGGACTTTTAAATCCCATTTCAATTAGTTGTAGCCAGCAGAGATGACCCTGGTTTCACACATATCCTTACAAAATATTTCTTTGATCTAGTGGTGTTTTTCTAAATGCCCAGGCGAGCAGCTCTCTAGCGGATAATGGCTGATTAGATTAGCCAGAAGTCTCACCTATTTGGATATCCTGGAGAGTCCACATTTTAAAAGAAAATGTGTTTTTTTGTAATGTATCCACCTTTGCATTTTAATTAAAAACTCTGCAAGAGGTGAACCTCAAAGATCTGTACCGGATTGGTCAGAAACTGAAACATGTCTCAAAGTGAAACAATGGACCTCTCAGATTGGCTGGACACTGTGGGAATCGGATTGTATCTTCCCTCTCTGTCTGGGATTCTGCCTTTTTTTTGTTTAGAATATTTAACTGCATGTAACAAAATACTAGGGACGCGGGTGGTGCTGTGGGTTAAACCACAGAGCCTAGGACTTGCCAATCAGAAGGTTGGCGGTTCGAATCCCCGCAACAGGGTGAGCTCCCCTTGCTCGGCCCCTGCTCCTGCCAACCTAGCAGTTCAAAAGTACATCAAGGTGCAAGTAGATAAATAGGTACCACTCCGGCAGGAAGATAAACGGCGTTTCTGTGCACTGCTCTGGTTCGCCAGAGCTTAGTCCTGCTGGCCACATGACCCGGAAGCTGTACACCGGCTCCCTTGGCCAATAAAGCAAAATGAGCGCCACAACCCCAGAGTCGGCCACGACTGTACCTAATGGCCAGGGGTCCCTTTACCTTTTTAACAAAATACTTAAATGTAAATCAACAACATCAGCCCGCAAGACGGGTTTCCTTCTTATCCTCTTCTGCAAGCTGGTTGAGCGGTTTTCTTGGAGCTGTCCATTCAGCACCAGCTATTCTCCCCATCACCAGCAAATTCTTACCTTAATTCTCATACCCAGTTTTTCATTCCCAAGAGCCAGCCGCTCCAGGAAGGTGCTGGAAGAACTTGAGTTCAAGTCTCAGTTTGGAGGAGGTGTGTATCTCAGTTCCTTCATCTTAGGGAAACAAGAATAATTATGGGGGATAATCTATGCAGGATCAGAGCCAGGAATTAATAGGCCAAATAATTGATCTGCTAAGGAGAGGTTGCACATAACCTATTCATCTTGAGATAAGTACGCAAGTTATTTTCAACCTCTGAATTGTTTACCTTATATTCATAAGGCGCAATAGAGAGAGAAGTAGGGTAAATACAAGAGAGGGTGGGGGTGTTGTGTTTCGCCTTGTCAAGATGGATTCCAAAACCCATGTGAGAAAGCACTTGGGTTTGCCAAATCATCAAGCTGGATGTTACAGAAAGCATGGGGAAAGATGAAGAGGGAAGAGGGGGAGAAACACTCCAAAGCAACAAAATCACGTCTCCAAAATTAAAATATGCAATGACATTAAAACACTGTTAATTAAAATATACACTGAAACAAACCATTAAAAAGCACAAACATTAAAGCAGTGAAGCAAAGACAGTTACACTATAGAATCATAGAGCTGGAAAGGACCACAAGGGTGGTCTAGTCCAAACACCCCTGCAATGCAGGAATCTTTTGCCCAACGTGGGGCTCAAACCCATGACCTTAAGATTAAGGGTCTCATGCTCTACCAGCTGAGTTACTCAGATATACCCTAGTGTTGTCCAGAATTGCTAGGGACTCATTGCGAGGTTGTGGGCAAGGCATTATCTCTCAGCCTCAGTTCCTCAGTCTGGAAAATGGGAATACAGTGGCCTATCTCAGTGGACCATGATGAAGAAAGATATATGACCCCCAGCAAGATCAGCCCATTAAGTCCAGCATCCTAGTTCTCACAGTGACCAACCACATGCAGGAGGGAAGCCCACAACAAGGACAAGAGGACAATAACGTTCTCCTTCTCTTAGGCCACAGAAATGAGGGTCCCACAGCATACGGCCTCTGAATCAAGAAGGTGCCTATAGCCATCGCGACCTGTAGTCATGGATGGACTCATCCTCCAGGAATTAGCCCAATCTGCTTTTTAAAAGCCATCTAAGCAAGTGGGCATCAAGTACAATCTGCAATTTGCAAAATGGAGATGAAAACGCTAATGGACAATAATTGTAGTGATCCTCTAAACAGCCCCTCCAGATCTTTCATGAGAGATTTCATCTGGGGGTGGAGTGGAGTGAGTAGAATTATGGGGACAGAAGGCGGCTACTAGCAGGATTGGGTGTAAATAACAGGATAAATACGGTACATCTATGAGCACCTTCCCTACAGAAAGTGTACAGCAGCAACACTAATTTGGATATTAGGGAGGCTTAGGGCTAGTCCATCCACAATGTATCTCTAAAGAACTGTTATAACTTAAAAACTGGCATCTGAATGGGTGAACTGGCCCCACCGGGGATTCTGTTATTGGGGTGATTAATGGTTTATCTGTGATATTATATGTAGGAATAAATGAAAAGTTGGACCAATGGCTTATCCAGTTTAGAACCTTGTTTAACAATGGCAAACTGGATGAAAGTTACTTATTTTCCTTTTATTTAAAAGCGTTTATATACTGCTTAATGTTTAAAACTAAGTGATGCACAACATAGAAGCAAAACAATGTCGTGGAAGCAAGAACACAACATGAAACTAGTAAAATGGTAGCGTCAAGGCATATAAAACAGGAACCTGGGTACTTCAAACACATTAACGAAGCTCAAACTTTCCCCTGGCCAAAAAAGTATATTTTTACGAGTGATCTGAAACAACTGGTGGCTGCTGCTTCACATAGCAGTGAAAAGGGCATCCCATAATCCAAGGGAAATAGTGTGAAATGCCAACTTTTGGGTCACTGCCCCAAAATGCCACGAGGGCATTTTGCCCAGATGATCGTCAACCTGTTCAGACCCAGAAACCATTTTTAACCCAAACATGCCTCTGGGACCCCTTTTCTTAACCCCAGTGCCAACCTGAATAAAATCAAATAAAATAGGGGAGGCAGCTAAGCCTTGCCTTGCATAGTCCATCACAAGAGGCAGCACACATGCACCATTTGAATGGCAATGCCCATCAACTTTGGGTTCTCCCCTCAAATATTTTATTGGGGGGGGGGAAGCAAAGGGACCACAGCCCCCAGGAGTTGGCTCCTATGCTTTCACCCTAGATTTGCATGCTGGCAGTGCTTCTGCTGCGCCCCACCTGAGATCTGGCTGCAACCCCCCAGTGGGCCTTTAAGTGACCTTCCAGGTCCACCCAGGGATGGGCAGCCTTCTAGGCAACATGATTTGATCCCTTGATGTTTCAACCACCAGGAGATGAACAGGCATCTCTGAAAGCCCAAACCAAGGAGATGATGCTTAGGATCCAGGGGGTGGTGGGTTCACCTGCGAGCTCAAGGCAGACGCTCCAAGTGTCCCTATTTTCAAGGGACAGTCACAGATTTACAGAAGCCATCCCAGTTTCTGATTTGATTCCAGAATGTCCCACTTTTCCTTAGGATGTCCCTATTTTCATCAGAGAAATGTTGGAGGTTATGGAGTTATGTGACCCCTGAGCCAAGACATCTGAAGGCACATACAGTGGTACCTTGGGTTAAGAACTTAATTCATTCTGGAGGTCCGTTCTTAACCTGAAACTGTTCTTAACCTGAGCTAATGGGGCCTCCAGCTGCTGCTGCACCGCTGCAGCACGATTTCTGTTCTCATCCTGAAGCAAAGTTGTTAACCCGAGGTACTATTTCTGGGTTAGCCGAGTCTGTAACCTGAAGCGTCTGTAACCCAAGGTGCCACTGTACAGGGAAGTTTAAAAAAAAAGTTTAATGTTTTTATATGTGTTGGAAGGCGTCTAAAATGGCTTGGGCAACCCAGTCAGATTGGTGGGGGTATAGATAGTATGATGATGATGATGATGATGATGATGATGATGATGATGGAACAGGACGCTCCTCTTTTCATCGGAGAAACGTTGGAGGGCATGTCAGCGCGAAGACTCTGCAACCTTTCCCTGCGCTTTCGTCTCCTTGCACCCTCACCCCTTTCCCATCTCTTTCCCCTCCATCCAGCCCCTTTATTCCTTCCCCTTCCCTGCTGCCCTCAGGAGGCAGGCGAGCCTCGCGTCGTCAGCTCGCATCCCGGGCTCCTGGGAATACACAGGAGCCGAGCCAAGCGAGAGCATCTGGGCGGGGATTTCAGGAAAAGCAGCGCAGTGAGCGCGCCTTGCTCCGGATGACTTCCAGCCAAGCTGCTGCTGCTGCTGCTTCCGGGTTCCAGTTACTCCCCGCCTCCTCCCCCTCCCCCTATCTCCCTGGGACCATCCCAATCCCAGTTTGGCGAATTCACAGGTCCCTTTGAAAAAAACCAAAACCGAGGAGCCTCACAGAAAAAAATCCAGCACCGCAAAGTAGTTGCAACCTGTCTGTGTTTCTCCCTCCTTCTCTCCTCCGGCTTCGCCTCCCGATGATGCTTTGATTTTTTTTTTGAGGCAAACATCGCAAGGACCAGAAGATAAAGCATCGGGAGAACGACCGGCGGGAGACTAACAGAGAAGGGAATGGCAGGCAAAGGAAAATGGCCCTGGCAGCCGGGCGTGGGATTTGTAGGAGACCTTTAGGCGTTTGCTGAGGATGCCTCCGCGCGCCAGGTAAGCCACGCTCGCCCTTCCTTGGTGGGTTTTATCCATTTCAATTTCCCCTCGCCCCACCCGGACTTTGAGAGAGTCCTTAACAGCGAAAGTGGGGGGGGGGGGGGGCTAAGAATTGGAAACAGTGCTGTTTACAGGGGTCGGAATCACGAAGGAATGCAGGCCCTTGAATTCAGCGGCTCACTTTCTCTTGACGCTCATCTTTCCATCATTCCTCCTTCCTCCTTTTTCCTTGCCTTGGATCTGGGCTGCTGCTGCTGCTGCTGCTGCTGCATTGTCGCTCGCTGGAGATTTCCCATGACCATCAACATCACCATTATTATCTCACTTGCCCTTTTGGCCCTCCGAAATATCTCTTCCCCCTTTTTTCTTCCTTTCTGCTCTCACTGGGAAAGGCTGGCTGGCTGCAGGATTTCCCGCACGTCGGATCAGAATGGGAAACACAAGGAAATTTGCCTTCGTTCGTTCCCGGCCTCTTATTATTGTGGTGGCCCTGGGACAGGGACATGTTTTCGTTTTCTTTTTTGCATATTTGGGAGTCCCCATGCATAGCCCTGCAGGTTTGGACATTCAAACCAGTATTTTATCATCATTTCTGCAGTATAGAGAATATTTGGAAATTCTCCTTTCATCGACCTCATTAGTATAATCCTAAAACTATGCCCATACCTGAGATGTGGACAGTATTTCGAATTGCCTTCCTACTTTGTGTTTTTTCCCTTTCCTTTCTTTCTCTTTCCTGTTATTCTTTACGCTAGTCTATAGGCGGGCCTTTGACTGTGTGTCATGGTGTGTGCGTGATTTATTATTATTATTTACAGTGCAATTCTAAGCATGTTTGCTCAAAAACAAGCCTTGTTCTGTTTACTCCCTAGTAAGTGTGCTGAGGGTTCCACTGCCATTTATTCAAGCCCCTTTCCTGGCCTTCAACACTAGCCATTCCACACTGTGTTTTTAAAATCCAATTTGTGGGTGGATTTCCTCTCCCCCTTTTCCTTCGTTCTGTTGCCTTTCTTCAACCCTGGAAGAGATTCTGAGCAGCTAATCGCCCCCCGCCCCCCGCATGTCACTGTGAATTCAGAGGGTTAGGAAGACATGGTGCATTGGCTACAATGTTTGGCTTAGGTGTAGGGAAAGCAGGTTTGGGTCCCCGCTGGGTGGCCTTTTCAATATCTCCCTCCTTCCCTCTCTTAGCTTAATCTACCATCCAGGGTTGTTGTGAGGCTGAACTGTTGCTGTGAGCTACGCGGAAGGGTGGAACAGAGAAATGCAACACAAAAATGAGGCTCTTACTTTTGGATAGCACATTGCTTTTCCTTATTTGCAAGAAAAGAGTCGGGTTGTTTAATGCTGCTGTGCGCTGAGTTAGAAGAGGGCTGACAGCTCAGATCTAGGCCTTGGGTGTGATCCTGGCCCAGTTACCATTTTTCATGTGTCTTGAGTGCTATTGCATGAATCAAGGACCTTCGGCCTATGCATCAATTCCCCCTTCTTCTCATCCTCCATTCTCCATCTCTGCAGACCTACTCTTTTCTGAATCCCTTCTTCCCCCTCCTCTTTTGTTTTCATGCACACAGGCGTTTCCACAAGCTCTTCCATCCCTCTCTGCTTTTTCCTCCCCATTTCCCCCTCCTGAATCTCCCTCTGTCAGGTGCCTGGGAAGGAAGCGAATAATAATCAGAAGCTCTGCACCTCTAAAGGGAAAACTGACCCTGCAAATGTGCTAACGTGAGCTTTTGCGAGCACATCTGGAAGCAGCTGTGCCCTGTACAAGATGCCTCTTGGGACAAAAGGCAATTTCTGGGGGATACTGCATGTGCAGCTCTTTGCATATTTCCCATAAAAGGTCTCCCTCCACATGTTCCAACTACATGCAATTTTAGCAGTGTTTCTCTTTGGAAACAACAGGCTGCTTCATTTGTTTTCTGGACTGGGACAGGTATGAAGTTCATATGTACCAAAAGAATGGGCATTTTGAGAAAAACCTGCAGTGGTTATTTACTTGTTTATATCCTTCATGGCTTAGGGACGCAGGTGGCGCTGTGGGTTAAACCACTGAGCCTAGGACTTGCCGATCAGAAGGTCGGCGGTTCAACTCCGCGCGACGGGGTGAGCTCCCATTGCTCGGTGCCAACCTAGCAGTTCGAAAGCACGTCAAAGTGCAAGTAGATAAATAGGTACCGTCAGTGGCGTAGCGTGGGGGGTGCAGGGGGGGCCGGCCGCACCGGGCGCAACATCTGGGGGTTAGGGTTAGGGGGCGCAAATCCACGGGTTAGGGGGCGCAAATTACTTGCCTTGCCCCAGGTGCTGACAACCCACGCTACGCCACTGGGTACCGTTCCGGCGGGAAGGTAAATGGCGTTTCCGTGTGCTGCTCTGGTTAGCCAGAAGTGGCTTAGTCATGCTGGCCACATGACCCGGAAGCTGTACGCCGGCTCCCTCAGACAATAAAGGGAGATGAGCGCCGCAACCCCAGAGCCGGCCACGACTGGACCTAATGGTCAGGAGTCCCTTTACCTTTACCTATCCTTCATGGCTTAGAAAGAATACGTCAGATAAGCTAGCTTGGCCTTTATAATGTCAGGCAGATCTAAAATACACCCCCTTTTTTGCAAAAGTGCAGCTGGGACATGATGGATGAGAACAAAAATGCAGCTTGGGACATGGGAGGTGTTGCGCATGCTACAACTTTTTGCTATCCAGGCCATCAGAAAACAGACAATGATATATTGCTCTGTGGTTGAAGGCCATGGTAGAGCATCTTGGTTTGCACGCAGAAGGTCCCAGGTTTAACCCCCAGCTTCTCCATGTAGGCCTGGGGGTGTCCTCTGCCTGAAACCTAAGATAGGCAATGCAAGAACCTTCTGAACTAGGTTCTATGGTTCTATGTGTACTATGTGACTCAGTATAAAGCAGATTCCTGTGTAGTTAAACAAATCTTTTCTCCTACCCCACCCAAAGTTACTGGTAGGTCAAAGCTGCTGGTAGACAGGCCTAAGCAATAGTTCACTGTGAGTTCAGCTATAATAATAATAATAATAATAATTATTATTATTATTATTATTATTTATTTATTTATACCCCACCCATCTGGCTGGGTTTCCACAGCCAATTGGGGCAACTCCCAACAGAATATTAAAAACACAATCAAACATTAATAACTTACCTAAACAAGGCTCTCTTCGGATGTTTTCTAAAAGTCAGATAGTTGTTTATTTCCTTGACATCTGGTGGGAGGGTGTTCCACAGGGCGGGCACCACTACCGAGAAGGTCCTCTGCCTGGTTCCCTGTAACCTCACTTCTCACAGTGAGGGAACCGCCAGAAGGCCCTTGGAGCTGGACCTCAGTGTCCGGGCTGAACGATGGGGATGGAGATGCTCCTTCAGGTATACAGGGTTGAGGCCATTTAGGGCTTTAAAGGTCAGCAACAATACTTTGAATTGTGCTCGGAAATGTACTGGGAGCCAATGTAGGTCTTTCAGGACCAGTGTTATGTGGTCTTGCCGGCCACTCCCAGCCTCCAGTCTAGCTGCCGCATTCTGGATTAGTTGTCGTTTCCGGGTCACCTTCAAAGGTAGCCCCACGTAGAGCGCATTGCAGTAGTCCAAGTGGGAGATAACCAGAGCATGCACCACTCTGGCAAGACAGTCTGTGGGCAGGTAGGGTCTCAGCCTGCGTACTAGATGGAGCTGGTAGGCGGCTGCCCTGGACACAGAATTGTATTTTCACCATTTCTTTGGTCCCCCCCGTCAGCCCTAGGAAATGGACGCAACTTTTGCATCAAGGCAGCGGGGATTAGATGAGGAGGTTTGAATTATTTTCTCCCCTGCCCCAACCCAAGGCTGGTGGATACCAGAGATGTTGACTAGGCAGGCAGCTGGCTGTTCGCTATTGGTCAGGCCCTGTTGAGTGATGGCGTGTTGTGATGCAAGACTTGAACACACAGAGTATGTTCTCCAGGGACGGCAGCAGCAAAAGCAATCAAATCCATTAAGGTGCCTTATTCAGATCCATTTGGCCAATAAGTGTGAATCCCTGCTTCCCTTCCTTCCTGTCCCGCCCCAGCAGCTGAAAAGCAGAAGCAGCACGCAGGGGCAGAAGGCAGAAGGCAGGCTGTCTCACAAGGCACTACAGTGGTACCTTGGTTCTCAAACACACTGGTACTCAAACAGCTTAGAACTGAATCCTGCAAACCCGGAAGTAACTGTTCCGGTTTGCGAACTTTTTTTCGGAAGCCGAACATGCTCCATTCTGACTGCCACACTTCTGTTTAGAGTGTTACGCTGAGGTCTGTCTGTTTTTGCTATTTATTTTGTGTTTTTGAGGCTTTTTTTGTTTTGTTTTTGTGACCATGTGGGACCCAGTTCAGCTCCTGATTGATTGATTGATTGTGTATGTGACTGCTGTACATTGTTTATTGGTTTCATTTTGTGGGTCAATGGTCTCCTTAGAGAGTAAAATTCATGTGAAATTGCTATTTTAGGGGTTGTTTTTAAAAGTCTGGAATGGATTAATCCGTTTTGCATTACTTTCTATGGGAAAGCGCGCCTTGTTTTTGGAATGCTTTGCTTTTGGAACGGACTTCTGGAACGGATTAAACTTGAGAACCAAGGTACCACTGTATCACAGTTGAAGAAGACATTCCAGTTGGGAAGGGCATGGGAAAGGGTTGGATAGGAGGTGTGACTTATAGGGACTCCCATGTGCCAGACAGGGAGGTCTAGAGATTCCTCATGCCAGTTGTAAAGACTGACAACTGTTTCTCTTTCTCTCTCCCTCCCTCCCTCTCTCTCTTCCTTCACAGATTTACTTCATTATGTCTTCCTCCAAACTCCAAGATGCGGATGAGGTTTTCGGTAAGCTCCTTATTCCTCCCCGGCCTCTCCCTATCCCTGCGCCACCCAGGGGCTGCGCCTAAAAAGAAGCATTTGTAAACCTCCTAGGACCCTCACTACAGGTGGCATGTTGGTGGGAGGGTGGAGGGTTTTTTTGGGGGGGGGTCTTTTTATATTGCAAACTGCCCTGTGACCTTCGGATGAAGGGCGGGATAGACGTTTAAACAATAACAACAAAAATAACGTGGCAAGGGAAACATTCTGCATGTGCTCAGAGACACTCTCACATTCATAAGGCCCCCATAAAAAGGTAAAAGGACCCCTGACTGTTAGGTCCAGTCTCGGATGACTCTGGGGTTGTGGCGCTCATCTCGCTTTATTGGCTGAGGGAGCCGGCATACAGCTTCCGGGTCATGCCACTTCCGGCAAACCAGAGCAGCGCACAGAAATGCCATTTACCTTCCCGCCGGAGTGGTACCTATTTATCTACTTGCACTTTGATGTGCTTTCAAACTGCTTGGTTGGCAGGAGCAGGAACTGAGCAACGGGAGCTCACTCCGTCGCGGGGATTCAAACCACCGACCTTCTAATCGGCAAGCCATAGGCTCTGTGGTTTAACCCACAGCGCCACCTGTGTGCCTTTCATAAGGCCCCCATAGAGATGGCAAGTTGGAGACACACAATTCCCGTGAATTGTTCTCGCATTGGCGGCACGTATTCTATTACACTGTGGTTCAAAAGCCTGTGTGCAGTGACTCCTTGCAGGGACTGAGGCAGTTTCCCAAGCAAACACACAGAGCACAACGTTCATCCAGGGCCCTAGATTTTAAATCGCAGGCCCTGCCCTGAGCGCAGTGTGAATTAACTCTATTTTTTTTAAAAGATATTTATTGAAATTTTCAAAGTGTTACAAAAAATAAAATAGAAGCAGAAGAAAATACAAATAAAAATAGTTGACAAAGTAGAAAAAGAAAAAAATAACAAACCCCTTCCCACCATATGAGTAAAAATTCAAAATAAAAAAGTGACAAGAAAAAAACCAAAATACATCACAAACCGTTAAAAACATTTAAAAACAAATTCATTATTTTCAAATCCTTAACTGTCATTGCCTTCTTTCTTAGACCTCCTCCTCCTCCCTTTCTTTGTATCCTAGTTATTAATTATCCCAGCAAATCCTTTCCATGTTTCATAATATTCTGTCATTACATTACCCTAAACTGTTTTAATCTTATCTTTCTATAAAATAAACCTTAAAGCTTAAAACTTAAATCTTATCCTTACCAACTTCTCATAACCATAATATTCTTTCATAATTCTTTAAACATCTTTGCTAAAGCCAAGTAATTTCATTCCAACATTTTTCTAACATTCATCAATTTTATAAAACAGTTCTAATGGTAGAGAAAAGAGATACAAACAAATCCAATCTTCATCCAACGTCCCTTCCTCCTGGTTCCGGGTTTTGTCAGTCCTTATTATCCCGTCGATCTAGCCCATTAACCTGGCAACCTTATATCCGAGGCCCTCAAGTCTCTTCCATGTCCCTTCCGCAGCTCTTTTTCATATTTGTAACTGTATTTTCCCTTGTCTCCTGCTCGTGGTAACTCCAGCTTGACAATGTTCTTAACCCTTCTCGACAGATCAGCCCCTTTTCCATATTCAACACTGAATTCCATGTAGTATTTAAAAGCATGTTTCAAAGACCCTCCAAAATTAAGAGCCCCCACAAACCCAAACATCTCACGGCCCATTGCCATATTTGAAAAGTCCAAACGTCCCAGCATAGGGGGGTCAATCCAGCCCCCCATTTCCAAGCCAAACCAAACTTTTCCTTTCCAAATCTGGCTTTTTCCAAGTTCATTTGTCAAATCCGAAAACTCATATTCCTGTTGGGCCTGTTCTGTCAAGACACACTCCTGATTTAATTCCTGAGTGGGCTCCACATATTTTCCCACTGTCTGTTCAAAATTTCCCACTGCCTGTTCAAAATTTCTAGTCGAAGTCGCCATCCAATTCACCTTCTCGTGTAATTGTTCCAGTAGGGCATTTGTTTTATAGAGAGCACACAACAAAGCTTCTGAATACATTGTCCTGCAAGGTCAGATGCCTGTTCCCACGGTTGTAATCTGTAACAGCTGCCGGCTCCCTGGAGTTGGTTACAGTTTCACAGACTCCCTCGAGGGGAAAACTTCTATTTGTTCTTGCAACAAAGTTTCCCTTTTTGAGATACTTTGTCAATATATATTCCTTTAAAATGCGAAGGGGAACAGTGGAATCACTATGTTTCTCTTCTTTTAGCTATCTGTCAAAAACACTTGTCTTTGGTCAATGAACTTCAAACGTCAGTCCTGACACCCCGCTCCAGGATCAGGACGGAGGAAAGTTACTTTACTTTAAAGTCACTTTAAACAGTCCAAAAAGATCCCCCCCCCTTCTCCTGCTGTCGAAGGGGGGTTCCACAATTTTAAATGGTGAAATCCAATCCTTTAAAGACGATTTTCTGAGCTCTAGTTTAAATTGTCTTTGCTTTATTCTGTTTACAAAGGAACGGAAGGCTGACTTCCTGTTTAGACCTTCCTGTTCCGTACCAAATTAGAGTAAGTTTTTAAAATCCAATTCTTTTCTACTCGTTAGTCCTTATTTGATGTCCAATTGTTCAAAGTCTAAGTACTCACGGGTGCTTATTTTAAAGTCCAAATTGTCCCAGGAAAAAGGCAGCGCTCTCCGGCAACGGCTATGCGGCTTCGCTCCACGGAAATAGCAGTTGACTCACAGCACCGCGCCACTTCCCCCTCTTCACTTCGGAGCCCGTTAGTGGGTTCCTTAGCGGGTTGGGGGGGCGCTAATGGTGCCCGCCGAGTCCCATGGTCACAGGCTTCATCCGCCTGTGATTTTTAAAAGGGTCCCCGCTTCGCCGTAGCGGAGAAGACCCGTTTCCCGCGGAGCTAGTCCCTCCAGTTCAGAGGGAGTCCGCCATTGCCGGTGGCGCCACCCCGGAAGTCCAGTGTGAATTAACTCTAAACACAGCTACAAACCAAGCTATTGGGGATTAAGGATGGAGCAAAATGACCCAAAACAAAATGCCAATGCTCAGCCACACTCATTGTTGGATTTGATGCTGCTGGCATGGTGCCCATTGCTGCCTGCTGGGCATTTTCCATTTCTGTGCTTTTGAGCTTACAAACCTGGCGTCTGGGGGAGGAGGCAGAGAGGCAGGGCTTGGGGTCACCATCCTAGCTTCTCATCTGCGTCTTGAATCTGGGGGGGGGGGGGGAATGTCACTTTCTGCACGTTCTAGCATGACCCAGAAGAATTTATTCCTTGTGCGATGCCCCCTTCTTCCTTTTCAAATACTCATATCCTGACCATTTGGCATGTTAAGACACAGCTGGAACATAAATGGGGTTGCAAGCTCCTCCCATCACCTCTAACCATTGGCCATGCTGGCTGGAGCTGATGGGACTGCGCTTGGGGGTCTGCAGTTCCCCAGCTCTTCTTTATGAACTCAGGCAAGAGAAAATCCTTCTCATTACCTGCTACCTGATCCTTTTAAGTGGAGATGCTGTGAGATTGAAGTTGGGGCCTTCTGCAGTCAAAGCATGCGCTCTATGGCTTCACCACCCTGAACACGTGCTAGATATGAGTTGGGGGAAATAGCAGTGCCATATTATTTTAGTACATCTATACAGTGGTACTTCGGGTTACAGACGCTTCAGGTTACAGACTCCGCTAACCCAGAAATAGTACCTCGGGTTAAGAACATTACCTCAGGATGAGAACAGAAATCATGTGGCGGCAGTGGGAGGCCCCATTAGCTAAAGCGGTACCTCAGGTTAAGAACAGTTTCAGGTTAAGAACTGACCTCCAGAATGAATTAAGTTCTTAACCTGAGGTACCACTGTATATATCTTAAGTCCCCCATCACCATTAGAAGCTCAAGGTGGCATGCCTGCTTCCCGCCACCCATTTTATTTTCACAACAACCCTGTGAGGTGGGTTATAGGCCGAGAGAAAACAGCTGGCTCAAGGTCACTCAGTGAGCTTCACAGTGAGGTGGGGATTTGAACCCGTGTCTTCCCAGTGCTCGTCCTTCCCAGCACTTTAACCACTATACCACATTCCCACTAGCTTTAGATAGAAAGAGGAGTGGAACCTAAAAATGATTTCTTCCCCTTTATTTTAAACAAAACATTAAAAGAATGTAGATAAACGAAACTTTAACCAAGTGGGAGGGGGAATAAAAGGTAAAGGGACCCCTGACCATTAGGTCCAGTCGTGGCCGACTCTGGGATTGTGGCGCTCATCTCGCTTTACTGGCCGAGGGAGCCGGCGTACAGCTTCCGGGTCATGTGGCCAACATGACTAAGCCGCTTCTGGCGAAGCAGAGCAGCGCACGGAAACGCCATTTACCTTCCTGCCGGAGTGGTACTTATTTATCTACTTGCACTTTGACGTGCTTATGAACTGCTAGGTTGGCAGGAGCAGGGACCGAGCAACGGGAGCTCACCCTGTCACGGGGAGGGGGATAGTCGTCTGCATTTTTCTGGCACTTAAAAAAATGGTTAGTTAAGACTTCCGTCTTAAAACTGTTCAATGGGCAACTAAAGAACTAAAACAAAATGAATAAAACTCTTTAAAGAGTCACAAAGCAGTGCAAACATTGTAGGGGAAAAGGGTAGCCTTACTCATTCTGAATCACAGAGGTGCATTTGGAATCTCACCGTGCAAAAACTTTCTGGGGTGGCATGATTTAGAAGGAAGGAAAGAGGATGGAGGTTAGGCTCTCAGTACCTACAACCAAAACATGGCCATAATATGCCGTTAGTTAAGAAATTGTAATTAAGAATCCAGGCATTAACTTATACCTGAGCATGCCTGTTTCCTCCTCCCTCACCAATCCAATTTCCTTTTGTGCCATGGTTTTTCAGATTGTAATCTCGAGGGCAGTCTTTCTCCCTCTTTTTAAAAAAATCACCCTGTAAGCCGTTCTGGAAGGAAACCTTTTTTGGCTGCAGTGCAGGCTAAAAATTACTTAAATAAAATATGAATGTGTGGGCTCCCTCCGTGACGTCAAACACCGATAAAAACTCATTGGGACGTACCTTTCTATGCTGTGTATTTCATTCTTGCATTTTAATTTTACTTGTGTACCACCTTGGAAAGTTTTATATCCTGAAAGCTATGGTTGGATGGAAATGAGTGCTGGAGAGGGCTGACTCACCCAGTCACTCCGATTGTACAGTGATGCTTTTCTTCCTGCCTGAACAATCGTGGCAATGCTCATGGTAAACAATTCAGAATATCTGGTTGCAATGAGGGCAAGCTGAATCTAGGCGGTGCAAAAAACTACATCTGCTCCACATTCTTCTGTTCCTCATCCTATTATTCACCCAGAGCCAGATTTCCCCCAGCTTTTTCAAATCTATGCCCAGATTAGATTTCTGCACATGTACGCATGCATATTTCATGTAAGGGGCTGCATTACGAAAGCATCTCTGAGCATGTGCAGAAAACTCTCTTTGTAGAGTAACCTATAGGTAAAAAAAGGTAAAGGACCCCTGGACAGTTAAGTCCAGTCAAAGGTGACTATGGGGTTGCGGCGCTCATCTCGCTTTCAGGCCGAGGGAGCCAGCGTTTGTCCACAGACAGCTTTCCGGGTCATGTGGCCAGCATGACTAAACCGCTTCTGGCACAATGGAACACCGTGACGGAAACCAGAGCATATGGAAACGCTGTTTACCTTCCTGCCACAGTGGTACCTATTTATATACTTGCACTGGCGTGCTTTCGAACTGCTAGGTTGGCAGGAGCTGGGACAGAGCAATGGGAGCTCACCCTTTTGTGCGGATTCGAACCACCAACCTTCTGATTGGCAAGCCCAAGAAGCTCAGTGGTTTAGACCACAGAGCCACCCGCACCACTACAATCAGCCTCGACGCAGCTGGGATATGGGGAGCAGGTGCCCTATGGCTGAGAGCATCCATGCAACCCGAGCCCTTTCTAAAACTAAGCAGTGTTGTGTTTTGTCTTGTATGTGCAAGCACATGTTCTCTGCCACCTCTCCAACTTTGCTTGCTGATGTTTCATGTCTCCCGATACCGTTGTTCCTCGTTTCCCACTCCCGGCATCCCTGTGTAGTCAATTAAGCGATGGCTGACTTTTTGCTCCCGGGAGACACCTCGCCGCACACATGGCTACACGCACAGCGACACACACACTCACACAAACAAGCGAGCCCCTCGCGCTTCCTGCCTCAAGATGCCTTGCGGATCTGATTAATTCATGAGGCTGTTCTGTATGCAGGGAAGGCGCTGTTGGGAGATGGCGCAAACATGCGTTGCAAACGGCAAGGGAGATAGGACTACCGTACCGTTGATATGTGGGCATAATTGGAGCATTTGAGGGCCCAGGCAAGCATGTGTGGGTGTCTGTTTGTGTGAAAGAGAGAGGTATGTACGGATAAATGGTTTTGTCTCAGAACTGAAATCTGCGCACGGCGGGGTCAAAGTCCGCGGTCAAACTGCGAACGTGGGGAACTGTAATCTGACAGCTACGTTTGTTTGCTTTAAAAGCCACTTCAGAAAGACATGATTGCAAAAGTGGCACAGAGGGAAGGTGCTTAACCTTTCTTCAGCCGCCATTTCCCCCTACTAAATCACACACACACATCAATAGCATTCCTCCATGAAAGATGCTGAATGTATATTTGCAGGGGGGGGGAGGAAGAAAGAGAGCAAAATAGTGTTTGTGTACAGCAGCAACAAAAGTAAAAATATGTGTGAGAAATACAGAGGTGTACATAGGTGTCTATGTATAGCTCTCATGTACTTCTGTGTCTGAAGGGGGGGAAAATGAATGAAAAAGAAATATGTTTCTCTATGTGAGGCTTGGTCTGCAGCTGGGAATTTGCCCCATTGAACTTGACAGAACTTACTTCTGAGTAGACATAAGATGTCTGTATTAAGAGTGGGTAAATGCTTCTTTGGGAACGCAGTATGTTTGTGTCACATCTGGGATTTGGCTACATGATACTCATATTTCACAGCCGATTTGCACTAGATTCAGGGTAACCACATGCACATCACCAGAAAAAGAGGAAATAATAATAATAATAATACTCTGGGCAGCTCCCAACAGAATTAACGATGATAATGATGATGATGATGATGATGATGATGATGATAATAAAGCGATAAAACATCAGATAGTAAAAGCTTCCCTAAACAGGGCTGCCTTCAGATGTCTTCTGAAAGTCAGGTGGTTGTTTATTTCCTTAACATCTGATGGGAGGGCGTACCACGGGGAGGGCGCCTCTACCAAGAAGGCCCTCTGCCTGTTTCCCTGTAACCTCACTTATCACATATAGGGAACCTCCAGAATGCCCTCGGCGCTGGACCTCAGTGTCTGGGCTGAACAATGGGGGTGGAGATGCTCCTTCAGGTATACTGGACCGAGGCCGCTTAGGGCTTTTAAAGGTCAGCACTTTGAATTTTGCTCAGAAACGTACTGGAAACCAATGTAGGTCTTTTAGGACCGGTGTTATATGGTCTCATCGGCCACTCCCAATCACCAGTCTAGCTGCTGCATTCTGGATTAGTTGTAGTTTCCTCCACCGCTACCTTGTGGCATAGATTTGCATAAAATTTGCACATGTTGATTTATAGGAATAGAAGAAAATTTAGAAAGAATTATTATAATTTAAACTGAAATACAGTGCATTTTATTACTTAGTTGGGACATTTGTAATCCTCGGCACATTTGGGAAGGAGCACACTAAAAAATAAATCAGAAGCAGTGGAGTCTAAAACACTGACTGTAAAAAAACGGTAAGAAAACTTTTTTTAAAAAAACCCCACAAGACATTCTGTCAGCCCAGTGCTTCAGACCCAAGACATTTTGCTGCTTAAGGCAGAACAGAAATGGTGCCTCTACCTAAGGTCTAGTTCTTTTGCCACCTGAGGTGGAAAAATCCTATAGGAAGTGGAGTAATAACAGCAGCAAATTGCTGCCCTTTCCATTCAGTTGCTGCCGTTTCTAAAACACACGCCGGGTGCCATTTTGAAAAGGAGTCCTGACAGGCAAACTATGTTGTTTCAGCCGTGTTTCTTGTTCACGCTGCCTTCCTTGTTCGTGTGTAAAGTGAGGGGTGGATGGAACATAGTTTTTAAATCAAAATGGGAAGAGCTGAGATTTCCTAACTTCAACGGGGTCCCCCAGCCCTGCGGTAGGGGCAAGTTAAACAAGTCTCCACATGTAAACCCTCTAACATTTCTCCGATAAAATAATAATAACAATAATAATAATAAATTTTATTTATACCCCGCCCTCCCTGGCCAGAGCTGGGCTCAGGGCGGCTAACACCAGTAAAATTACAATAAAAACATAATAGGAAGGGGGGGACCCAATTTAAAATACAGTTTAAAATGCAGCCTCATTTTAAAAGTAGCCCATAGATCAAAACCGTAAGGGGAGGGAAACATAAGGGTCAGACTGATTCCAAACCAAAGGCCAGGTGGAACAGCTCTGTCTTGCAGGCCCTGAGGAAAGATGTCAAGTCCCACAGGGCCCTAGTCTCTTGTGACAGAGCTTCCACCAAGTTGGGGCCAGTACTAAAAAGGCCGTGGCCCTAGTTGAGAGCAATCTAACCAATGGGGACATTGTATTCAATAATAATACCCTGCCCATCTGACTGGCTTGCCCCAGCCACTCTGGGGGGCTTCCAACATACCGGTAAATAAAAACAACAAAACATTAACATTTTTAAAAACTTCCCTGAAGGGCTGCCTTCAGGTGTCTTCTAAAGGTTGTCTAGTTACCTCCTTGGTTGGGGGGGGGTCGCATAACTCCATCCCCTCTGACATTTCTCCGATGAACATAGGGACGTCCTAAGGAAAAGCGGGACATTCCGGGATCAAATCAGAAACTGGCATGGCTTCTGGAAATCCGGGACTGTCCCTGGAAAGTAGGGACATTTCGAGGGTCTCCCAGGCCAATAGGTGTAATAGGATGCCCGCCCTATAGGTAGCCTGTTCTGTTCTGGGAGGTCATGTCTTTGAAAGGATACTACTGAATGACGGCTGTGCTCTTCTCTTCTCTGAATGCTCTCTCTGTGTGTCTCCTTCCCTTCTTGCCCTCCATTCCACCACCCCTTTTCTGTGTCCCCCTTACTCGGTGGGGCTTGAATTTCACTCGTTTGCCCCCTCCCCGCTTCCCTCCTTCCTTCCTTTACGTTGCATCTTGCCCTCTCCGCACTCCATCCTTCCTCCCGCGGCCGCCCCCCCGGCCGCTTCTACGCTGACCTCTTCCTCTCACGCTCGCTTTTCCTCGCCTGCCACCGCTCTGCCCCCCTTCCCGTTTCTCTCTTTCACCCCCAGATTTTAATGATGTGATTCCAGAGACCCAGAGGCTGGACAGCAGCTTGCAGAAGGCCCGAGCCCAGCTCTCCGCCAAAGGCAGGCGGCAGCGCCCCTCCAGGTCCCGGTTGAGAGACAGTGTCAGCTCCACAGAAGGGGATGATATCCTGGAGAAAAAGGTCAGTGTTAAGTTGTGGGTGAACATATCAGACGACACAGCGATTCTTCAAACAGCTCTTGTTTATTCCCAGGCCAAAACAGAACTGTACTGAAGGGTTCAGCCAGCCTGCTTATATAGAGCTCCACTACAATGCAACAGTAACCACTTTCTGTAACTAGCCAATCACGGAACGTCACTTTCAATTCCTTATTTGCATATGTGGACCTGAGTGAAAACTATCTACAGTATCCCCCTGCTGGCCCAGGGTGAGAACTTCAGTACATAACAGTCAGTGCCCGGCCGATGCCCCACCAAATATCTACCTATGCATTACTCTCGCTTTCAGACCCTCCAACATCCCACGGATGAAAACAGGGATATTTCTCACTCCCTCCACCAATGGACCAAGGTGGATAAAAATAAATGAATTAAAAAATATTTTAAAAATCTCATATTTTTAAAATTTAAATAAGATTTTTTTAAAGTTTAAATTGGATTTTTAAAATTTAAATCGGATTTTTTAAAAATAAAATGCTTTTGGAGGAAAATTTTTCTAAAGATAGTTTTCTATTGAAGTTACCTTATAGTCCAAAGGCTATTCATCAGGTAATAAGGATTTGTTTTAAGTTTTTCCATGTGTGCTAAAATTCAGACTAAGCTTTTAAAAAAAATAAAAATAAAAAATTGTTTAACCACATCAGTTAACAAACATGGATACATATGCTATAATGTTATTGTTTCAGTTAAACAAATTATTTAAATTGTTATGAAGGAAATGATTGTTTTTCTCCTTCCAATAAAGTGTAGCAGAAAAGTTGTCCAAATATAAACTGTTAACTCATTAAACCTCAAAATAATTTTATAATTATCTGCCTATGTATTTCTAATAGTATAACCAAATCAGTAATTTTTGATATTACTGTAAAAATGACTGAAAATTTATCATTCCAAAAATGAAACCTTTGTCTGGTTGTAAATATTAAGATTATACCAGCAAGAGTGAGTCTTTCTGTAAAAAAATGATTTAAATCAAGTCTTACTGACTAGTGATATAAATCAAGTTTCACTGACTCATGATTTAAATCGATTTGATTTAAATCAAGTCTACCCTGCAACGAACCCTCCTCAACCCCCAACGCACACACCCCGCGGGGCGGAGCCTCAGTGATGACAGTCTCTCCCAGGTCCGGATTTAGGTTTGATGAGGCCCTAAGCTACTGAAGGTAATGGGGCCCTTTACATGTCTGCTGTCCTTTGTCAACAACAAATTGCTGCTGTTTTTTTGAGTTGAATATATGCTATATGGTAATTTATGGACCTAATAGGTATCTCAAGCCATTTGCACATCTTGCTATGCAACCAGTCCATGGCGAATGTGGGCAACCTATATATAGAAAGGAGCAAACCGGTGATATTTTAGGCTAGCAGGCAGGGCCCATTACTTACATCATAGGAGCCTACACAACACAAAACACTGTTGCTGTATGTAGGATTTATTTACTTTGCTTTTTATCTTATATTTTGGAAATGTACATCCAGGTTTTTTTCCTTTTTAATTTTTTGGGCGCCCCCAAGAGAGTGGGGCCCTAAGCTATAGCTTGTTTAGCTTATACGTAAATCCGGCACTGGTCTCTTCCATACACTCCAACATTTCTCTGACGAAAATAGGGACTTCCTAAGGTAGGGACGCTGGTGGTGCTGTGGGTTAAACCACTGAGCCTAGGACTTGCTGATCAGAAGGTTGGCAGTTCGAATCCCCGTGACGGGGTGAGCTCCCGTTGCTCGGTCCCAGCTCCTGCCAACCGAGCAGTTCAAAAGCATGTCAAAGTGCAAGTAGATAAATAGGTACCGCTCTGGTGGGAAGGTAAACGGCGTTTCCGTGCACTGCTCTGGTTCACCAGAAGCGGCTTAGTCATGCTGTATGCCGGCTCCCTTGGCCAATAAAGCGAGATGAGCACCACAACCCCAGAGTCGGTCACGACTGGACCTAATGGTCAGGGGTCCCTTTACTTTACCTTTTACCACCTTGATGTCAAAGTGCATGTCAAAGTGCAAGTAGATAAATAGGTACCACTCCGGCGGGAAGATAAACGGCGTTTCCGTGCACTTCTCTGGTTTGCCAGAAGCGGCTTAGTCATGCTGGCCACATGACCCGGAAGCTGTATGCCGGCTCCCTCGGCCAGTAAACCGAGTTGAGCGCCGGAACCCCAGAGTCGGTCACGACTGAACCTAATGGTCAGGGGTCCCTTTACCTTTAAGGAAAAGTGGGACATTCCGTAATAAAATCAGAAACTGGGACAGCTTCTGTAAATCTGTGACTGTCCCTTGAAAATAGGGACACTTGGAGGGTCTGCCTTGAGCTCGCAGGTGAACCCACCACCCTCTGTATCCTAAGCATCATCTCCTTGGTTTGGGCTTTCAGAGATGCCTGTTCATCTCCTGGTGGTTGAAACATCAAGGGATCAAATCATGTTGCCTAGAAGGCTGCCCACCCCTGGGTGGACCTGGAAGGTCACTTAAAGGCCCACTGGGGGGTTGCAGCCAGATCTCAGGTGGGGCGCCGCAGGAGCACTGCCAGCATGCAAATCTAGGGTGAAAGCATAGGAGCCAACTCCTGGGGGCTGAGGTCCCTTTGCTCCCCCCCCCCAATAAAATGTTTGAGGGGAGAACCCAAAGTTGATGGGCATTGCCATTCAAATGGTGCGTGTGTGCTGCCTCTTGTGATGGACTATGCAAGGCAAGGCTTAGCTGCCTCCCCTATTTTATTTGATTTTATTTGATTTTATTCAGGTTGGCACTGGGGTTAAGAAAAGGGGTCCCAGAGGCATGTTTGGGTTAAAAATGGTTTCTGGGTCTGAACAGGTTGACGATCATCTGGGCAAAATGCCCTCGTGGTACCGTACCTTACAGAATATCATGGGGCAGTGACCCAAAAGTTGACATTTCACACTATTTCCCTTGGATTATGGGATGCCCCTTTCACTGCTATGTGAAGTAGCAGCCACCAGTTGTTTCAGATCACTTGTGGAAAATATACTTTTTTGGCCAGGTGAAAGTTTGAGCGTTCATTAAGTACCCAAGCTCTTGTTTTATATGCCTCGACACAACCATTTTACTAGTTTTATGTTGTGTTCTTGCTTCCACGACATTGTTTTGCTTCTGTGTCGTGCATCGCTTAGTTTTAAACATTAAGCAGTATATAAACACTTTTAAATAAAAGGAAAATAAGTAACTTTCATCTGGTTTGCCATTGTTAAACAAGGTTCTAAACTGGATAAGCCATTGGTCCAACTTTTCATTTATTCCTACATATAATATCACAGATAAACCATTAATCACTCCAATAACAGAATCCCTAGTGGGGCCAGTTCACCCATTCAGATGCCGGTTCATAAGTTATTACAGTTCTATAGAGATACATTGTGGATGGACCAGCCCTAAGCCTCCCTAATATCCAAATTAGTGTTGCTGCTGTACACTTTCTGTAGGGAAGGTGGTCATAGATGTACCGTATTTATCTTGTTATTTACACCCAGGCAGCGAATGTGTTTAATCCTGCTCGTAGCCGCCTTCTGTCCCCATAATTCTACTCACTCCACTCCACCCCCAGATGAAATCTCTCATGAAAGATCTGGAGGGGCTGTTTAGAGGATCACTACAATTATTGTCCATTAGCGTTTTCATCTCTATTTTGCAAATTGCAGATTGTACTTGATGGCCACATGTTTAGATGGCTTTTTAAAAGCAGATTGGGCCAATTCCTGGAGGATGAGTCCATCCATGACTACAGGTCGCGATGGCTATAGGCACCTTCTAGATTCAGAGGCCGTATGCTGTGGGACCCTCATTTCTGTGGCCTAAGAGAAGGAGAACGTTATTGTCCTCTTGTCCTTGTTGTGGGCTTCCCACTGGCATGTGGTTGGTCAATGTGAGAACTAAGATGCTGAACTTAATGGGCTGATCTCGCTGGGGGTCTTATGTCTTTCCTCATTCTAGTCCAGTGAGATAGCACCACTTTAGCTAATGGGGCCTCCTGCTGCCGCACCGCCGGAGCACGATTTCTGTTCTCATCCTGAAGCAAAGTTCTTAACCTGAAGCACTATTTCTGGGTTAGTGTAGTCTGTAACCTGAAGCGTATGCAACCTGAAGCGTATGTAACCCAAGGTACCACTATATTACTATTAGTATCATTACCATGGATGGTTAGGTGGCCATTTGTTGTACTGTGAGACCCCCCTCCTGGTCCACTGGGCATGCAAGTCTGTCTGCAGTCAGAATGCCCAGGCAGCTGGACTCTTTTCTATCTGCTTCTCCTTGCAGGCGGGTGATAGCTGTGGAAGCCCTCTCCACCGCCTGAGGTCTCCTCTCCACGGTTCCCTCCAGGCCTCATCTCCTCTCTCCGGTTCCTCGCCCTTCACTCGCGCCGGCGAGTTCTCCTTTGATGCCCCGACAGTCCGGAGGTCGGTGGAGCAGGAAGAGCAGCCGTCGTCGCCCCTCATCCGTTACCGACCTCTGACCAACACCTCCTCCCAGGAGGCCTTAGGGGGCACCCCCACCAGCTCCTCGCCCAAGTCCTGCCACAGTTCAGACAGCTCACCCATCTATGCACGCAGGGAGAGGCACAGTGAAGGTAAGCAGGGGCTCTGGGCAGCTTGGGGCTGGGGGAAACCATAGACCTTGCCACAATACATGTCATCATTGAGGGAAGAAGTACCGTATTTTTTGCTCTATAAGACGCACCAGACCACAAGACGCACCTAGTTTTTGGAGGAGGAAAACAAGAAAAAAAACATTCTGAATCTCAGAAGCCAAAACAGCAAGAGAGATCGCTACGCAGTGAAAGCAGCAATCCCTCTTGCTGTTCTGGCTTCTGGGATGGCTGCGCAGCCTGCATTCGCTCCGTAAGACGCACACACATTTCCCCTTACTTTTTAGGAGGGAAAAAGTGAGTCTTATAAAGCAAAAAATACGGTACCTAAAGGGCACATAACCTGTCTGCAGATGCACAAACCTACCTGCAGATTGATTTGATGCAGAAAAGGTTAAACCTCCATCCTCCCAGAAATATCCTGTAAGTTCTTAAAGAAAGTAAACACACAATAACCTCAAGAAAAGGTTATTTCTGTATGCCACCAGTGTTTTGCTAGTCCCCAAATTGAAAATGAGCAAAGTCCCAACTAGAGAAGAATGGCAACTTAAAACTGACAGAATATATGCAGCTTGCGGAACTAACATATAGAATAAGAGAACAAGAAGCACATAAGTTTAAAGAAGATTGGAAAATGTTTACTGAATATATGGGAGGAAATTGTGTACACTTGAAAACGTTGGCAGCATTAAGATAAATTCAACAGTGTAAATAAGTTTTGATGGATGTAATAATGGAATAAAAGGTAAAGGTAAAGGTACCCCTGACCGTTAGGTCCAGTCGCGGACAACTCTGGGGTTGCACACTCATCTCGCTCTATAGGCCGAGGGAGCCAACGTTTGTCCGCAGACAGCTTCTGGGTCTTGTGGCCAGCATGACACAGCTGCTTCTGGTGAACCAGAGCAGCGCATGGAAACGCTGTTTACCTTCCCGCCGGAGCGGTACCTATTTATCTACTTGCACTTTGGCGTGCTTTTGAACTGCTAGGTGGGCAGGAATTAGGACTGAACAATGGGAGCTCACTCCGTCGCGGGGATTCGAACCACTGACCTTCCGATGGGCAAGCCCTAGGCTCTGTGTTTAGACCACAGCGCCACTGAATGGTATAGTTTATGTAAAATATGCAGAGATTTATGTTATGCAAAATGAACCATGAAAAGAAAAGAAGGGAAGTCATTGATGTTTTAAGGTTATTTAAATGAATACACTAAATTGTAAAACATTTGCGCTTGAATAATATTCCTTACACATCTTTCCAAGCCTTCATTTCAGCCAGGGCTTCATTTCAGAGCTTAGTTTTCCAACCCCAGGCCATATGCGCAGAACACAGGAAATATTAGTAAAAACAACGGAGCTCTTGAGCATGTGCAGAAAGTTGGTTGGCGGGCGGGGGGAGTATAAAAAGGAGAATTCCCCAGATGCCAAGATCCAGGTTTGGGTGCAAGAAATCTTTGGTGAAAGAACCCCAGCAGATATTTAAAACCACAAAATATGCAACAAAGCAAAGCATGTAATATAGGCTACTGTGCCTTTAAAATATGCTCTTCTAAGGTCCTTCTAAAGTCTTCCATTTTCCGTAGCACAGAAAAAGACCACACATTTGGAAAGCTAATAATGTTTACTTACAAACTCTTCAAAGGTCAGGTTTTCCATACAGCAGTCAGAAAACACAGGCATCAAAACTTAGGCTAATTCAAAAGTGGTTAAAATCCCTACATTATTTGTGTATCAGGCTTTGGCCTAAGCACTTCTCATTTCAGAAATTAAACACTGTTCCCTCTCACCTCCCCGTTTCCCCTTCCAGATGACAGCCGGGACACGAGCCCGCCAGATCCTGCAAGCCCAACTATTGGTCTCGACAAGAAAACCCGACGGAAGTTTCTGGATTTAGGGTGAGTCTTGAAAGCCGGCTATTCAGAGACAAGGAGTGGACCACACTGATTCATTTGGTATCTTTGGGGTCTCTTTCACAGCCCCCTCTGCTTGTGTGCTTTCTACATATCTCAGAACTGCACCTGATTTTTCCACATGTGCCTAATTGTCCCCTTCCTGATGCACAGGGTCACCCTCCGAAGGGCATCTTCTGGGAAGAGCAGGAAAGAAAAAGGGGGCAATCGTCTCTCCATGGGCAACAGGTAAGCAATTGGCAATTTCCTGAGGCTCCTCTCAAATTGATTTCTCGTGGAACCCTGGAAATTATGTGGAAGGTGGGTGATACACAGACATGCGCACGCACACACATAATAGAGGGGCGTCAGAAACACCCACCCAAAAAAGTGTCATGCAATTGTGTCCCTAGTGATAGCTTTTATAGGTTTTCCCAAACTTGGGTTTCCAGCTGTTTTTTTTTGACTACAGTTCCTATTATCCTTAGCTAGCAGGTCCAGTGGTCAGGGATGATGGGAATTGTAGTCCCCAAACAGTGGGAGCAGCGTCGGATTTACGTATAAGCTAAACAAGCTATAGCTTAGGCCCCCACAAAATTTAAAGGGGAAAAAACTGGATGTACATTTCCAAAATATAAGATAAAAAACAAATCAAATAAAACCTACATACAGCAACAATGTTTGTGTTGTGTAGGCCCCTATGATGTAAGTCAAGGGCCCCGCCTGCTAGCCTGCTCCCTAAAATATCACTGGTTTGCTCCTTTCTATATATAGGGTGCCTACATTCTGCTATTCATAATCAGTAGTAGTTTGCATCATATACTTACACCTATTATTATTTCATGTTATAGCAAGTTTCTAGGGACTAGATTATGAGTCTTTGTACATTGCGTTTCTAAAGGAACTTTTGTTATTGCCAAATACCAATGTGTTTGCATTATTAAGTTTGTTATGAATAAAAAAATCATTTTAGGCTAGTTTAATAATTATTTCAGTATTAATATACTTCTTAATTGTATTTCAGTTCAATAATTACTATGATAAAATACATATTTTGTTATGTGCAAATGGCTCTAGATACCTATTAGGTCCATAAATTACCATATAGCATATATCCAACACGAAAAACAGCGACAATTTGTTGTTGACAAAGGACAGCTAGACATATAAAGGGCCCCATTACCTTCAGTAGCGTAGGGCCTCATCAAACTTAAATCTGGGGGGAGAGTTTGGGAAATTTCACAACTGTGCTGAGGCATATATGTGAAACTAATCCGTCTCTGACTATGTTTCATCTTTGGATTCATGCTCCCCATCCTGATCACAATAAAAATAAATAAAAATTAAGATTTATTTTTTAAGTGAATCTTGTACAGATAGAATAAGGAAATATAGCTAAATGCAACAAAATACCATGCAGTTTATTGGTTCTTTTAACAGTACAGTGGTACCTTGGTTCCAGAACGGCTTAGATGTTGAACGAATCGGCTCCCAAACGCTGCAAACCCGGAAGTAAGTGTTCCGGTTTGCGAACGTTTTTTGGAAGCTGAATGTCCGACACAGCTTCCACGGCTTCCAATTGGCTGCAGGAAGCTCCTGCAGCCAATTGGAAGCTGTGCCTTGGTTTCTGAACGGTTTCGGGAGTCGAACGGACTCCTGGAACGGATTAAGTTCGAGAACCAAGGTTCCACTATATAATGATTGTATCAGTTCGGATTATTTATCATTTCTCACTTGCGTGACTGAAATTGCTTCCAATACTGCTTTTCCAGCACCTTAGCACTTAGTTCTGATCCCAGTATTGCACAAAGGACGTGGGTGGCGCTGTGGGCTAAACCACAGAGCCTAGGAGTTGCTGATCAGAAGGTCGGCGGTTCGAATCCCCGCGACAGGGTGAGCTCCCGTTGCTCGGTCCCTGCTCCTGCCAACTTAGCAGTTCGAAAGCACGTCAAAGTGCAAGTAGATAAATAGGTACCACTCCAGTGGGAAGGTAAACGGCGTTTCCGTGTGCTGCTCTGGTTCGCCAGAAGCGGCTTAGTCATGCTGGCCACATGACCTGGAAGCTGTACACCAGCTCCCTCGGCCAATAAAGCGAGATGAGCGCCACAAAACCAAAGTCGGTCACGACTGGACCTGATGGTCAAGGGTCCCTTTACCTTTACCTATGTCAGTATTCCAGTGGGAGTCTCTTTTCCAATCCCGCGACCTCCCCAGATTTTTCTTATCGCAAGTTATATCATCAGCTTTGCAACCCCATTTCCTTGCTGTTTATACTTGTCCCCCTTCCCTGCAGGGAGCTGATGGAGGGCCCCAGCCGCTCCTCTGCCTCGACCTTCATGCCTTTCTCCTGGTTCACGGACAGCGGCAAAGGCTCCGCCTCCTCAGGAAGTACTGCCTCCCCCACCTCCTCCCCCAAGAATGAGGCCTTCAGCCGCAAGAAGTCTGCCTCGCAGGTTATGAGTCCGTCTGATGGGTAATGGGCTGGTACCCCAAGCCCCATACTAGGGCATGGTTGGCAGTGGTGTAGCGTGTGTGTAGGGGATCACAGGGGCGGTTGCCCCAGGTGCAAGATTGTTAGGGGGCACAAAATGTCAGCACCTGGTGCTGCCTCAATACAGTCGCTGGGCTCCGTTGAAAACGGCTTCTCTGTGCAAACCAGGAAGGGACCTTTCCAGACAACTTCCTGGGCGCTGTTGGTGCCACTAGGCAGTTGAATGTGCATGTGTAATCCGTCCTTTTCCCTCCCTCCCACCCTCTCCGCACTGCCCCGAGCACTGACAACCCATGCTACACCACTGACAGCTTCTGCTGTTTTGGTGAAGCTGAGAAAGGGCAGCCTTTCCTAGCAAGCGTGAGCTGGGTTATTGGAAATGAGGAAATTCATCGCCAAATGAGGAGACCCAGATTTGCATACAGTTTGTGTATGCAGACATTGTGTGTCATCACTCCCCCCCCCCCCCGGTTATACGTGATCAGCTCGTGTGCAACCACGTATACGCGTGGCACTGGTAAATAAATAAATAGGTTCAAACCAGGAAATGGAGAGCTCGAGAGTCCTTGTGCTTGAGAGGACATCCTCCCCGGAGCCCAGAGAGGATGTCAATGAAGGCAGAAGATGCCCAAAGAGAGCAGAGGTGCCCCATTCATTTAGGCTGCTCAGCCTCCCTGCCTAGCAGCTGACTTATGGGGTAGCGTAGCAGCTTTAGTTGAGGAGAGAGTTGTGTGTAGAGAGAGAGCAGAAGCAAGAGCAGAAAGGAACAGGCATTTAGAGGCCTGACATGGGTGGCGCTGTGGGTTAAACCACAGAGCCTAGGACTTGCCGATCAGAAGGTCGGCAGTTCGAATCCCCGCAACAGGGTGAGCTCCTGTTGCTCGGTCCCTGCTCCTGCCAACTTAGCAGTTCGAAAGCATGTCAAAGTGCAAGTAGATAAATAGGTACCACTCCGGTGGGAAGGTAAATGGTGTTTCCATGCGTCGCTCTGGTTCGCCAGAAGCGACTTAGTCATGCTGGCCACAAGACCCGGAAGCTGTACGCCGGCTCCCTCAGCAAATAAAGCGAGATGAGCGCAGCAACCCCAGAGTCGGCCACGACTGGACCTAATGGTCAGGGGTCCCTTTACCTTTACCTAGCCTCTTGCATGATTTTTGCATGTGTGCAGGCCTCCAGAATATAACCCCCACATGAGTGGTGTTATTCCTGCATAAGACTGGTGTGTCCGTATGTCCCCCCCACCCGCCTCCAGTACAATAATTGTTTTTCCGTGTGCCACTTTTCTGCAGTAAACCATGCTCAATGTACTGCATGCCATCAAAAACGACCAGCTAATTCTGTAAGAACTGCAATCTACCTCAACATTTATAAACAGTAATGCAAATATAAACAATATTATTTATTTATTTATATTTATACCCCGCCCTCCCCGGCCAAGACCGGGCTCAGGGCGGCTAACATCAACTATAAAAACAATTGATTAAAATACAACTTAAAAACAGGATTAAAGTACAACTTAAAATGCAGCCTCATTTCAGTGGAAGCTCAGATCAAAAACTGTTTTGGGGTGAGAAAACGTCAAATCTTCACCAAGGCCAACTATCCAGACTGGTCCTACGTGGGCCAGAAAAAAGCAAAAAGCCAGGGAAGTCCCCAAATAGGGGTTCCGTCACAGAAGGAAAAGGAAAGAGGGGGATCAGGCTGGTTCCAAGCCAAAGGCCAGGCAGAACAGCTCTGTCTTACAGGCCCTGCAGAAAGAAATCAGATCCCGCAGGGTCCTGGTCTCATGAGACAGAGCGTTCCACCAGTCCGGAGCCAGTGCTAAAAAGGCCCTGGCTCTGGTTGAGGCTAATCTGACTGCCTTAGGGCCCGGGATCTTTAGAGTATTACTATTTATGGACCTTAAGGTCCTCTGCGGGGCATACCAGGAGAGGCGGTCCCGTAAGTACGAGGGTTCTAGGCTCCTATGAATAAATATTCAGTAAAGCACTCGCCGATAGCAAGAGCTAACAATAAAGAATAAGATACGGATAAGTAGCAAACTAGAACACATATCCCAAACTGAATCTTGACTCCAGAAGCAATCCCTAATTGATATCTCGCCCCGATGTTTTCTGCTAGGAACCATAGGCAGCAGAAGCAGCCTTTGTAGCTGGAGTCAGTCAGCCCACCCCCACCCCCAGCCTGGTCAAAAAGGGCCAGGCTGAGAGTCGCCTTGCAGGACTTTTCCTTAACCCTTCTCTGTCCTGCCAACAGGAATCTACCCTGAGTGATGACTCCACCCCTCCCAGCAGTAGCAGCAGCCCCAAGACCCTGAGTGGAGCTCATCCTGAGACGACAAAGTGCTCCTACCCCTACCACACCCTGTCCCAGTCGTCTGATGAGGTAAGTCCCCTGGCAAGCGATGCCCCGGTGCACCTGGGTCTTTAGAACCACCTGCACAATGCCACCGATATCTCCACCAGGGACGCGGGTGGAGCTGTGGTCTAAACCACTGAGCCTCTTGGGCTTGCCGATCAGAAGGTTGGCGGTTCGAATCCGTGTGATGGTGAGCTCCCATTGCTCTGTCCCAGCTCCTGCCAACCTAGCAGCTCGAAAGCACGCCAGTGCAAGTAGATGAATAGGTACCACTGTGACGGGGAGGTAAACGGCATTTCCGTGCGCTCTGGTTTCCGTCACAGTGTTCCGCTGCACCAGAAGCAATTTAGTCATGCTGGCCACATGACCCGGAAAGCTGTCTGTGGACAAACGCCAGCTCCCTCGGCCTGAAAGCGAGACGAGCGCTGCAACCCCATCGTCACCTTTGACTGGACTTAACCATCCAGGGATCCTTTACCTTTTTACCTCCCTCCAGTCTGCCCTTTAATGAGGACTAGTAACTTTTTTCTCTTGGATCCTGAGTGCACCTGTTTTTGGCTCAACCTGCTGTTCTGAGAGCCGATATCTTGAGCAAAGACTCACCAGCACTGAACCATGTGAACAACTAATAAAAAAACAAGGCCCTTTGAGCATGGGCAGAATACACCACTTGCTACCGACGACAGCCCAAGCTGGATGATGGTCTCTCCTTTTATACTGCTAACCGCCCTGCAATCCTCAGATGGATAAATTTAATCAGTGCTGGTTTTTTGGAAAAATAGTGCCAGAACTCATCATGAACACCACCCATTGGTGCCCACCTGAGAGGTGCCGCAACCGAGTTCCAGTGTATTCCAGCTGGGGGGTGGGGAGTCCTGAATTTAATAAATAAGTTAAAAACAAAAACATCAAGATGCATTATCGTCATCATCAGTGCTTTTCTTCTAGGGGGGAAAAAGGTGCCGGTACCATGTACCCCTGAGTACCCTCAGAAAAAACAACAACACTGATTATCATCATCATCATCATCATTCATTGCATACTCTCATAATCCTCTCTGCAGTTCCTGGATGAGCCTCTGAGTGCAGCTTCGACGTGGAGCAGTCAGAAAGTGGGGCAGTGGTTGGAGAGCTTGAACCTGGAGCAATACATGGCAGAATTTGCCGCCCAGGAAGTGGACGGCCAGCAGCTCCTCCTCCTCGATGGAACCAAGCTGAAGGTGATGGAGAAGAGGGGCGAGGGGGTTTGCATCCCAGCCACACTCCTGCTTTGCAATCGCTGCTGGCGGGGTGGCAATGCTTTTCTGCTTTAGTGGACTGCAGAGAGCTTTGGGGTTCTTCCTTTGAGCAGTGGGCGGCTGGGGAGCCGCTGGTGTATACCACTAAGATGGGTTGGGCTCTGACGTGGTCGCTAGGGATAGCCTAACTACTGTTGTCTGTGCTTGGGTAACCCTCAAGGTTAGATTACTGCAATGCGTTATACGTAGGGCTGCCTTTGAAGATGGTCTGGAACTTCAGCTGGTGCAGAATTCAGCAGCCAGGTTGCTCACTGGAGCAAGATGGTTTGAGCATATTATACCGATCCTGGTCCGACTGCACTGGCTACCAATTAGTTTCCCAATTCAAAGTGCTGGTTTTGACCTATAAAGCCATAAACGGCTCAGGACCGCAATACCTCAAGGACCGCCTCTTCCCATATAAACCTACCCGGACCCTGAGATCATCTTCTGAGACCCTCCTTCATGTGCCTCCTCCTTGAGAGGTCTGGAGGGTGGCAACAGGAGAACGGGGCCTTCTCTGCAGTGGCTCCCCGTCTTTGGAATGCTCTCCTCAGGGAAGTTCGCCTGGCACCTTCATTACACACCTTTAGGCACCAGGCAAAAACGTTCCTCTTTAACCAGGCCTTTGGTTGATCCAATTTGCATCCTATGCCCTTTTAAAATGTGGCTCTTTGGGGGGTGGGGTATTATTGGGTTCTTGCTTTTATTTTTATTTTATATACTGTGATCCTTTTATGCTAACTGCCTTGAGACCTCTGGGTATAATAAAATAGTAATAATAATAATAATATCCACCTTGCAGATAAGGTTCAATACAGATACACAGAACCTAATTTTTTTTAGTGTTTACTAACGAGGACCTAATTAACTTTTGCTGACCCTGCAAAAAAAGGTGGCAAAAGTTAACTAGGACGGCACATGCAGAATTAAAATGAACTCAGGAACTTTCAACGGGCAAGGAATCCTAGGAGTACATGAAGCTGTTTTGTCCGGAATATTTGTCCATGTAACCCAGTACCGTCTACTCCAGCCGTTGCCAGGATGGTGCCATCATCCCTGCTGGAAACGCTGGCTTGGGGTTATGAGAGTCATTGTTCAAAAAATCGGGACGGGTATCACTGTGGCTACCCTTGGCCTGCTGTACCCAGCAGGGACTGTCACAGGGTCTCAGCTTTCCCAACACCTGCCATTTGATTTTTTTAAACCAATGAAGCCAGGGGTTGAGTACAGGACTCTTTTTTGACAAGATGGCACTTTAGGATGAGAAAGGGGAAAGAAGAGCAGGTGTACCATAATGTCAGAGACTGGCAGGCCACTGGGACGGAGGACTGGAGTCTGACTTGGGAAAAGGGGTCATTGATTTGGGGGGAAATCAGAGGCAGGGGAAGTTTCAGAGCTGGAGGGTTGAGCACAGCATAGGTCGGAAGAAGGGGAAGAAGAGGCAGGTCAGGCAAAGGAAGGACCCAGGTGCTTCCCCACCCTCTCCTGCACCATTACTCCGGAACCAGGAGGGGACTGAAGAGGGAGGAGCAGAGGAAGTTTCCACTCAGGCCAGGTCTCAGCTCGTCAGGGGAGGTACATAAACTGGTGGAGGGAGAGTGGTCCCCTGTTGCTGTAACTGCTCCATAGAGCGTGGACCCGGGAATAGCTGTCTAGACGCTAGATTGTTGTGCGTAGTTATCCAGAGCTGCAGAAGTGGCAGGGTTATCTTAAACAATAGAGACTTAACTATCTGCCATGTTCATTCCTTTGGCTGAGAAGTGCCCTTGACACACATTTGAGTGTCTGACCACAGCTTACCGCCTAGTCAGCCAGCTTAAGAACCTCTTCTGTGAAGGTGGTGTCTGAGCCCTGACCTCCACTGCAGGAAGAATGGAGATACAGAAAGCGATGCTATTGCTGATATTCAGGAGTGCCAGCTTGCGCCCACGACTGTGGCTGCCTGGGGACATGGGTGCCTTGCAGTGTGCACTGAAATTTGTGGGTGCCCAGCCCTTTCATGGGGAATTTTGTGGGTGCTCGGGCACCCAGGGCCCCAGGAAGTTGGCACCTGTGTGGATATTTGTGTGGAATTTTGTGGGTGCTCACGTACCCAGGGCCCCAGGAAGTTGGCACCTGTGTGGATATTTGTGTGGAATTTTGTGGGGGCTCACGCACCCAGGGCCCCAGGAAGTTGGCACCTGTGTGGATATTTGTGTGGAATTTTGTGGGTGCTCACGCACCCAGCGCCCCAGGAAGTTGGCACCTGTGTGGATATTTGTGTGGAATTTTGTGGGTGCTCACGCACCCAGGGCCCCAGGAAGTTGGCACCTATGTGGATATTTGTTTGTGTGTGTGTGTGTGTGTGTGTGTGTGCTGAGGACACAAACTTCTGAACTTTGCATGTTCCAAATTCTCCCGTCACGTCCCTGCAGGCTCTCGGCGTCAGCAACTCTCACGACCGTTCCCTCCTCAAGAGGAAGCTGAAGGAGCTGAACGCGGCCGTTGAGAAGGAGAGGAAAGCTCAGGAGAAAGTAGAGAAGCAAAAGAAGCAGAAGAAGAAAGAGCGGGAACTGGAACAGAAGAAGAGCTAAGATAAACGGAGTGTGGGGGGCGGGAAATACGGGGGTGGCCGCTTCCAGGCACACGGGGCTCACACCCTCTTCACCCACGGAGCATTTCTAGGGTGGGGGTGGGACGGATCATCTGCAAACTGGGAAACGGACGGGGGAGGGACCAGAAGCAGGCGGCGCACTGCCGGCAAAGGTTAAGGGTTTGGGTGGGGGCTGAACCTGCTGTGGAACCGGGCATGACAGAGATGGCGGTGGCAGCCGGACACCACCGCCGATGGCCGAGTTGGGCCACGGAGAGAAGGCGATACCTCTGCCCAGTGGCGTCCTCACCCCCTTTCATTGCCTGGACGGTCCAACCGCATGTTCAGCGGGCCCACAAGCCCTCCTGCTGCTGTGATGTGGGAAGGGCGGTGGCGCAGATGCGAACCGAGGCCCCGACCTGCGAACATCTTCCGATCACACCTCCCGTCGACTCCATTCCGTTCCCTCCAGCGGCCCGGATGTGTCCGCGCCCGATCGGTGCCATTTGGGTGTCCCCTCACGCCGCCTCGTTCCTGCGAGGCGGGCCACGGCTGCCTCAAGAGACACAAGCCACAGGTACACTTGTGCGCACAAACACACTCACACACGATTTCCCCAAACGGAAAAGGACGAGATGAATGCACAACACCACTACCTTGTCTGTCTCTCCCCACTCCCCAGCCCTGCATCCTCCCTCCTGAACGGGTTCTGCATCAGGTCTACTCAGGCCTGACTTCTTCCCCACCCCGCTCCACCTACCTGGCGACCTGCATTGCGGAGAAAGGGGGCAGGGGGAGGCGGGGGCAGGCTCAGCCGAGAGGAAGAACTGTGTGAGATTGCCACAGATGTCTGGTGAATACACAATGAGGAACCACAAGGAATAAAAGAAAGTTTTAAATTGTTCCCAGGATGTGCTCCTATTTTTATTATTATTATTTTAATTTAATATTATTTTTTTGCATTGAAGGGGAAGTGGCGGGGTGTTGTTGTTGTTTAGTCGTTTAGTCATGTCCGACTCTTCGTGACCCCATGGACCAGAGCACGCCAGGCACTCCTGTCTTCCACTGCCTCCCGCAGTTTGGTCAAACACATGCTGGTGCCTTTGTTTCACAACCTCAGTTGTCTTCAGGACCTCATAACTCTAGCTATGTTTTCTTGTAAGCATTTTCTAGATCTTTTTACCTTTACCTTACCTTATCTACATCTTTTTACCTTTACCTTACCTTATCTACATCATGTATATGGGGGGGGGGTGTTTATCCTGATGGGCCAGATCCTTATCTTCTCTCATCTCCTGTATCAACTTCAGCAGCTGGGTGGGACAGCCCCCTTGTCAAGTTATCTGACATCTGGTGATTGACACCTATCAAAAGTCCCTTATGCAATGCTTCACAAGCACCCAGCAAGCTGCCAGTTCCCAGGTGGTTTCTCACCCCATATCCAGTTGATGGGCAGGTTCTGCCTCTCAAAGCGTTCTGAACATTGATGTGCGGAGTTTTAATTTTAGGATATTGCTGGAGAATTTCTGGGCCTCCCTGCTCTGCTCCTCCTCCTATCATCACACCTTCAAAAAGAATTCTCCTGGCTGCAATGAGGACTAGAAACCTAGATTTTAAAAGTGTTGCAAACCATGCCCTTTCTCTAACAGTTAAGTCTCGTCTCTTCAAGACTCTGCAGATCATACCCACTTTTAGCAAAGTCTTTGTTTTAGCAACCCAGCCAGATATAAATATTATTATTATTGTTGTTATTATTAGCTTAGGTCTTGTGTTTGCCTGTGAACTCATAGCAAGGACACAGACTCCTGTCCCCACATCACAGTGTGAATTCCAGCCTGGTTTATTTTTAGAGCTTGAAATGTCAGGCTGCGGTGTGATTTATATATGAAAAATTTCATGTATGTGTTTTTAAAGACACGTGACAGGCACAAGTTGTCACTGCCTGGGCTGCTGTGATGTCACTCGATGATCTCACCAGTTGCAAGTGCTGAAAAGTAGAAATAAGTTGATTGCTTAAATTGGATGGCCATCTGTCATGGATGCTTTAGCTGAGATTCCTGCATTGCAGTGGGTTGGACTGAACCATGATTCTACAACGGATAAGTGTGTGCCTTTTAGCTTCTAGGATTCCACCCACACAGACTGTCACACCTTGAACCTGCAGTATCTGGGGAGATACTGTATTTTTCCATGTATAAGACTAGTTTCCCCCCCTTAAAAATAATGTCTAAAATCAGGGGGTGTCTTATACATGGGGCCATCTCTCCCCATTTTCTTAAAACTGAGTCCCCCCAAAAAGGGGGCATCTTATTGCCAAAAAAATGTGGTAATTTGGATCTATTATTTCTTCAAAGCTCAAGGCACAATAGTCCACAGAGGGATTTCCACACATGCTGAGCACGTTCCATGGTTATTCATTCTTAGAACACAACTCCGTGCAATAAAGGAGCACACACACAAGAGCTTTGCTGGCTGAATAAGAGGACTCAGTGTTTTTTTAAAAAAATAATTCCATGCATATGACACTGGGAGTTTGGCATCTGCAGAGAACAGAAGCCAAAGCTGCAGGGAACAGGAAAGAGCTCCAACGGATCAAAGGGACTCAAAGCACCAACGCAAGACACACCTTGGGACCAGCGGTCGTGGGAGGAGACACAACAGTGCCTTTGCACCGGGTACATTGCGTCTCAGAAACCTGCCCTTGCAGAGTGTCTTTCGGCGTCCAAAGAAAGGACAGGAAAGGAGGAGTCCCTTTTCAAGGGCACTCCCTAAAATGCTTCATCAGCTTGCCCACGCCACCAGGAAGAACGTGCCAAGACTGGGTGCTCTTCAGCGACTTTGCTCCAGAATAAAAAAAATTGAAGCAAGCGAAGCCATACGTGGCAGCTTGCTGATGGGACATCTATTCCCAAGGGTGCCCCGATGACTGAAGGGTACTGCCCCTTGGGTCAAAGAGGCCTGAAAAGAGACGGTGGACGGAGTAGACGTCCATGGAAGGAACAGCCAAGAGCCCCTTTCCCATGGGGAGTTTTTCTTTCCTTCTCCGCGGGATGACAAAAGCAAAGCATAAATCCGTAACTCAATCCCCACCAAAGGAGCCAAACTATATGGGATATCAATGGCATGGATCTTTCTGCATGCCCAAATGTTGCACCATCAAACGGTCCCGGTTTCTAAGCAGGATGGGGGACAGTGTGTCCTTCAGGATGGTGCTGGGCTTCCAACGCCAGTCATTCCTGGCCGTTGCTAATGCCAGCTAGAGCCAAAGGAGTCCGACGTCATTGGGAAGGCCACATGACCTCCCGTCTCTGAGATAACAGGGGTGGGTATTTACACCTGCATGTATTTTTGTGTTTCTTGCCAACAGAACTATCACAGGTTTCCAGAGAAGCCGGCAAGCCCCAGCGGCTCTCGTGTGTTACTCGACAGGCCTTTTGTTCGCTAGCATTGCCCACTGCCCGTGTGTGTCTGTGTGTGTTCCCAATGCCTGCTTGGATCAATATACACAGCCAAACCTTGGTTGTCGAACATAATCCATTCCAGAAGCCCATTCGGTTTCCGAACTGTTCAACAACCGAGGCGCAGCTTCCGATTGGTTGCAAGAGCTTCTTGCACTCAAGCGGAAGCCACATTGGACGTTTGGCTTCCAAAAAAGTTCGAAAACCGGAGCGTTTACTTCCGGGTTTTCGGCGTTCAGGAGCTGAAACGTTCCAAAACGGAGCTGTTCAGGAACCGAGGTTTGACTGTAACATCATTCATCCTCTTAAAACAATTTGTAAACCATTTTTCATAAAAAGCTCCACCACGTGGCACCAGGGTATGTCAACATCATCTCTCCAAAAGCCTTCACGATGCTCTACCACAGGGGTCAGCAAACTTTTTCAGCAGGGGGCCGGTCTACAGTCCCTCACACCTTGCGGGGGGCCGGACTATATTTTTTGGGGTGGGGTGGGGGAATGATCGAATTCCTGTGCCCCACAAATAACCCAGAGATGCACTTTAAATAAAAGCACACATTCTACTCATGTAAAAACACCAGGCAGGCCCCACAAATAACCCAGAGATGCATTTTAAATAAAAGGACACATTCTACTCATGTAAAAAAATCACACTGATTCCCAGACCGTCCGTGGGGTGAATTTAGAAGGCGATTGGGCCGGATCCGGCCCCTGGGCCTTAGTTTGCCTACCCATGCTCTACCACATGGGAAGACTTTCGGAGAGATGATTTTGATTACTCAAACATAACCATGGTTTGAGCCAATGCTTAAAGCATTCATCGTGCGCGCGCACGCGCGCGCGCACACACACACACACACACACACACACACACACACACACACAGTGAATAGGTGGTGCCATTTTTGCAAGCCTTACAGCCATGTCCTAATAACGTCAGGATTCCTTCCACTTTCTGCCACACCTAATGGAGCCCTCACTTTGCAGCTCCTCGAGCCACGAAGCACAGAGGAAAGTGATGAGAACATGCAGCTGGAGGTATAATGCTGTGTTTCTCAAACGACAACCCTAATGGCTGCTTCTTTCATAAACCAAAGAGAAGGGGAAAGCGCCATTACAGGAACCAGTGACCAAGAATCTGTCCGATGACCTGCATCTTGCTAGCCAAGTGCATTTCAGAGACATACTCCAAATCTGAGCTTCAGAAGCACAAGGGGGTGAACCAAGCCTCTAACAGAGCATTCTCCCGTTCTACAATTCCTCGAAAAGTCAGTAAACGTGGAGCGACAAAAACCCAACACCAAAAAGTCAATCCGCAATGAAGCAACGCGTCACACAACCAGGGAGGTAGGGTTTAAAATTTAATGGTTCTTTCCCCCCGATGGTTCGTCAGCGAGCAAAGAATACTGCGGCAGTTTTTGTGTGTCCATGGTTCCACCCAGAGAATAAAATAGATCTATCTATATATATATATGTACATGGAAACTTCAAGACAATTCGAGAGCGTGCCATGCAGGAGGTTCCAAGCAAAGGTTGGCTGGCAATTGCTTGGGGAGCCAGAAGGTGAGATCAGAAGAATTTGGGGGAGGAGCGCAGGCGATTCCTGCTCAGATGAATTGGGGAAGTGGCCGGAATGGAAAGCAATGACAGGAGTCAGATGGGGACACTTTGCCCACAAACCCATCACCATTCCCATTTGCTTCGAACGAGGACCAGAAATGAGGGACCCTGGCAGGAGCTACAGGAGAAGGAAGGAGGACTGGCAGAGGGAGGTCCTACAGTCTTTGCACTTCCCAAACTGGGCGCCAATACTGCAAACAGTGACTTCTGCCTATCACTTCCAAGCACCGTAGTCGAGGAGACAATCCCTTTCTTCTCTGGGCAGAGACCCCCACTTGCTCCACCGGAGTTGAAAGGGGAAGCCCTCAACACTCCCCACCCCAGCCTCTCCCTCACCCACCACAACCCACTGAACTAGGCCCAGTTGCTTACGCAGCCATGTTTTTCCCACAAGGCTTTGCTACAGCGCCTCAAGCGACCTAGCAGCTCTGTGTGGCTCCTGCAAGCATCACGTGGGAATTCTGGCATTGCAAGGCTCGCCCAAACTGCCCACGCCGTTCGGGGGCAACGCTTTGGCTCACAGAGAACAGGGTGCGCAGGATTTTTTCCCCACCACGAAGGGAAGCATGTCAGCATGAGCCTCACTAGGAGCAGATCTGCGCTGTCACGAAACCATTTCAGCCAATGGTGGGTGGACAAGCCGATTTGAGCAGGGAGCCACCAGTGAAATTTTGAGCCCTCCTTCCAACGCTGGCACAGATCCCACTGCACACCTACGGTCTGTCTGCCCCTAGTGTGGGTACCCATTTCCCACCTACCCAACCCACAGTTAAAACGGCCTCTTTTTCATGTCAGTCCTCCCTAGCTGGGGAGTCATACACATTGGGAAAGGTACAGAATGTAACGCAAGGGTTTCTGTGTACCAGAAACCCCCCTCCCTCTTCTGCTTGCGTTGAAAAGCAACCCAGGTGGCCTTGAATTTTCTCAAACTTGCCTGCTCATTTCAATAGGTTTATCTGCCTATGGTTGCCACTTCCCCTCTGTCCGCCATGTCAGGAAATGAACACAGACCACATGCGCCAGCTGCTCTGACATTCCTTTTCTTCTTGTAGACTCCCTCCCCTTTGACTTTTCTCTAAATCTTAAGTGCCCAATCCTTTAAGCTCTTCCGTTTTACGGTATAATAATAATAATAATAATAATAATAATAATAATAATAATAGATGGTGTGCAAAACACTTAAGTATGATCCAAACCACTCGTGGAAGGCAAACTCCAATCGGCTAGGCCAGAGGGCAGTTCTGAGGGTGGGGCAAGGAGAAGGAGAAGAAGTTCCATGCGGGGCTGTGGCAATATTTGTGAACGAGATCTAGGCTACGTACTTCCAAAAATCAAATCGGAGAAGCTGCCAGGCTCCAGGCCAGCCACGAGCTCTTGCAGAACGAGGTGGGTTTGTGCTGGTGATGATCATCCCGTGTTGCTCTTTCCCGCCCCAAAGTTTTGGTGCCTCCGTCGTCGAGGCCGGGCGTCAAGACACTGTTCCCTCGAGCGAGCAAAAGTCTCGGTCTTAGGTCACCCTGTACGTGGAGGTGTTCTTGGGCTCCGTACTGGGCACGCACCAGTCGTCGGCTTCCTGGATGGTCTGGTAGTGGCGCCAAGCCGATTTGTTGTATACGGGAAGCCGCTCCACAGAGTCTGTTGACAAGGCCTGGGAAAGGGACAAAAGCAGCATGGGATGAGGGGCTCCTGGCAGGGCCAGGTGCACGGCCAACACACCTCCAATGGCAGCTCTGGGGCTGTAAGTGCCCAATCCACCGTGCCTTCAACCCCCTGTACCTGGCAGTGCCCACAGGGACCACCAGGTGACCACTGTGGGCCCTGCAAGTTGGAGAGCTCACTCTAAAAGGGAGAGCCAGTGTGGTGCCCTGCAGATGCTGGACTACAACTCGCATGATCCTCAGCCACTGGCCAAACTGGCTCAGGGAGATGGGCGTTGTAGCAGTATGGATTTTTCCAATGCCAGGTTGTATCTTTGGGGTGGGTGTGTTTTTAAAAGGTATGTGTGGGGAGGGAGAGACAGAAAAAGTAACAGCCTTCCCACAGTCCCTATTTTAATAGTAACAGGAGACTCATATGGAGTTCTTGTGCAGAGTCAACGGCTGAAGGAGGGTCACAAAAACTCTCGTAGAGGTTCTCCTAACCCAAACATGCATCCATCCAAAACAAAGGTCCTCTTCACCCGGGCTTCTTTTGGAATTCCCAGTGACACTTCAGGGCTTTCGGAAGAAAGTACAGTGAGGGGGGGGGGGAGTATTTGATCCCCTGCTAAATTTGCCCGTTTGGCCCCTGACTAAGAAATGACCAGTCCATAATTTTTATGGTAGGTTTATTGTAGCTGTGAGAGACAGAATAACAACAGGAAAAAACCCCAGAAACCCAGAAGACAAAAGTCAGAGATTGATGTGCATTCTAATGCGTGAAATAAGTATCTGAAATAAGTACCTATCAACCAGACAGATGTCAGGCTACCTGGTCTCTTCACTGTATGTAACGAGCTGAGATTAGAAGCACCTGCTGTAAGGGAGAGGTCTTACCTGTAATCCCAGCTCGTTACAGTACCTGTACAAAAGACACCCGTCGACAGAAGCAATCAATCCAGCAGATTCCAAAGTAGCCACTGTGGCCAAGACCAAAGAGCTGTCCAAGGATGTCAGGGACAAAATTGTAGACATGCACAAGGCTGGACTGGGCTACAAGACTAAATTCCAATAAAAATGTCTCTTACAGCTACAATAAACCTACCAATAAAATTATGGACTAGTCATTTCTTTGTCAGGGGGCAAATGGGCAAATTTAGCAGGGGATCAAATACTTTCCCCCCTCACTGTTAACACGTGTGGCAAAGTTAACGCCCATCCTTTAAGCCACCACCTAACCAGAAAGGTTACGAGTGCTCGGAAGTGGCTTTCCCTACCACGCCCACTTTCATAGGCACTATGAGGCAATGACCCAACTGATGTCACTCGTGGACTCTCTGCCCTTGGTTTTCTTCCAAGGCAAATGACCTCAGGAGCATAAGGTGCACAAGTCCTTGGGCCTTGGCTCAGCTGAGCCGCTCCAAAGCAGATGGCCTGCAGAGCGAACATCCCTAAGCTTTCGTTTCGAACGCGTGTTACGCTTTTCATTACCTGGCCGTGTTAACCACGCCACTGCTTCCTTGTGGTTTAAAAAATTTACCTGATTGAGAAATATTGTTTCAATCTGCTTTTAATACTGGATTTTAAATTGTGGCAACCTGCACCCTGGGACCTTAGGATGAACAGCGGGGTAAAGAAACCAAACTGATAACAATAATAACGGCAACTACAGCCTCTTGCGGAGAGATCCACAAAAAGACAAGCCTGTTACAAGGAACTGAGGTCCAGTGCTGAGGGCCTTCTGGCAGTTCCCTTGTTGCGAGAAGCCAAGTTACAGGGAACCAGGCAGAGGGCCTTCTCGGTAGTGGCACCCGCCCTGTGGAACGCCCTCCCACCAGATGTCAAAGAGAACAACAACTACCAGACTTTTAGAAGACATCTGAAGGCAGCCCTGTTTAGGGAAGCTTTTAATGTTTAACAGACTATTGTATTTTAATATTCTGTTGGAAGCAGCCCAGAGTGGCTGGGGAAACCCAGCCAGATGTAAGGTAAAGGTAAAGGGACCCCTGACCATTAGTCCAGTCGTGACCGACTCTGGGGTTACGGCGCTCATCTCGCTTTATTGGCTTCGGGAGCCGGCGTACAGCTTCCAGGTCATGTGGCCAGCATGACTAAGCCGCTTCTGGCGAACTAGAGCAGCGCACGGAAATGCCATTTACCTTCCCAGCAGAGCGGTACCTATTTATCTACTTGCACTCTGATGTGCATAAATAATAAATTATTATTATTATTACATTCATCTCTCCTGAGAAGCAGGAAAGGAACAGCTCCTCAATGGGTCAATATGTGAAGAAACCAGGTCAGCCCTCAAAAGAAGGAAGTCACATTTGTGGGTGGGGGAAGGAAGACAAGGACAAGACCAACTCACCTTCAAATAGATGACAGCATCCGTCCCAAACCCCTCCATGGAGAAGAGCTGAAGGTCACCTTGGAAATACTTGGCATAGAGTCTGGAAATTGGCAAGCCGTACCCAAAGCCAGCCTGGTTTTAGCAGGAGGAAAGGACAAGAATGTGGTTAGTAAATGGTCTTCTCTCACCCCCCCCACCACCACTCTGGGCCCAGTTAAGAGCACATACCAGGGGCGTCCCTCCAGTCCCCAACTCTGGCTTGGGTGCTGTGGAATACATATAGCTGAAGAGCCGCTCTATCTTGCGCAGAGGGACCCCACCTCCGCGGTCGCTCATCTGCTCCAAGACAGGGAGGAGAAATAGCATCAATTATGATGGGGTAGGGGGGGCAGTTACTGCTGCTAGATGATGATGATAATAATAATAATAATTAACAATAATAATAATAAATAATAATAATATTTATACCCCACCCATCTGGTTGAGTTTATTATTTATACCCCGCCACTCTGGGCAGCTCCTAATCGAGTGTTAAAAACAATACAGCATTAGATATTAAAAACTTCCCTAAACAGGGCTGCCTTCAGATGTCTTTTAAAGATAAGATAGCTGCTTATTTTCTTGACATCTGATGGGAGGGTGTTCCACAGGGCGGGCGCCACTACCAAGAAGGCCCTCTGCCTGGTTCCCTGTAACCACACTTCTCGCAATGAGGGAACCGCCAGAAGGCCTTCGGCGCTGGACCTCAGTGAATGATGGGGGTGGAGACGCTCCTTCAGGGATACAGGACCAAGGCCGTTTAGGGCTTCAAAGGTCAGCACCAACACTTTGAATTGTGCTCGGGAACGTACTGGGAGACAATGCAGATCTCTCAGGACTGGCGTTATGTGGTCCTGGCAGCCACTCCTTCTGAAAGATTTCCTTCTGAAACTCCTCCCTTCCCAGTCTCCCCGCTTACCCTGATGGAGAGGTCTTCTTGGCCCAGCGACACCATCACCTTGATGGGCGGTAACGTGAGGCTGGACTCGTGGCTTTCTACGGTGGCTCTCATGGCATTCTGGAAGGCAATGGAAAAACAAGGTCTCCGCTAGCCAGACTTTTCTAAATCAGACCTCCCTGCACCACTGGGTTGAATATTTCAGCTTTCAAATTCCAAAAAATGTTGCAACAAGACTTGGGCATTCAAAAGACACTTTGGTTGAATTAATATAATTTAGCGTTGCTCGGTAAGTAAACAGCAGGTAAAATTGCATAGAAATCATTAAAAATGATCCCCAAGTACTTGCAGTTATATATTATTATTAGTTAGCCTGACCTGACATTTTCAGAAGGTAAAATCAAAATTACTTGGTTTTCTAAAAGCAGCTTAGGTGATTCTTCATCAAACCTAGACTTAGCAAGCTAAACACTGTCCAACCACAAAAGTAACAGAAGACTGGAATTCCTCACACCCAAAAGCATATTTTTAAGACCCTTCGCTGAATAAATTTGGAAGAATTAAGCTTCACGCCCCTAAAAGGGAACACCCAACTGCCACAGGTTTGCTTCCTGCAGTTAGAATGTACCTCAGCAGTCGGCCATTAAGGACAACAAGGAAATGCATACTGGGGGGAAAATGGCTGACTGCCATCAAGGTAACTCAAGCAGGTAACTCGCTATGGATCCACAAAGGGATTAGGATTCCACTGGAAAAGTCAGGCGACAGTTTCCTCCAATTGCTCTTTTGCTCAGTAATATTTATTGTATTAAACAGACATGCGCGTTTGAGAATTTTTTTAAAAATGGTTATTAATCTTCTAAGTGTGACTTTGATTTATCGAAAGTACCAAGACTGCTTCCCATGCCAGAATAAGCGACGAAAAGAGGGACTTCCAATGACTGGTATTAGCAATTGCATTATAATTGGCATTGTTATAATGAGGCTATTATTGGACTGTAATAAATAGATAAATTATTATTATTATTATTATTTATACCCTGCCTATCTGGCTGCGTTTCCCCAGCCACTCTCGGCGGCTCCCAACAAAATAATAATAATAATTTTAAAAGCTATAAAACATCAATCATTAAAAACTTCCCTAAACAGGGCTGCCTTCAGATGTCTTCTAAAAGTCAGAGAGCTGTTTATTTCCTTGACATGTGATGGGAGGGCGTTCCACAGGGAGGGTGCCACTACTGAGAAGGCCCTCTGCCTGCTTCCCTGTAACCTCACTTCCCGCTAGGAGGGAACCGCCAGAAGGCCCTCGGCGCTGGACCTCTGTGTCTGGGCTGAACAATGGCGGTGGAGACGCTCCTTCAGGTAGTATTATTATTATCAAAACCGCAGGGAAAAATTACCTTGAACAGCTCGAAGAGCATGTGGTACAGGTGAGATGGGACATACACCATGTGGATGGACTGGTCAGGTTGGTTAGCTAGGAAGCAGGAGAGGAGAGGAGAGGTCATTGAAAGCACAACGGCGGCTATTCTCTACCTTCCCTTCCACCAACCCGCCCCGTGCAAGTCGCCCATGCTTCCTGCTGCATTTACCTGCCAGTTTTCAGAAATGCTGCTTTAGCCACACAGATTCCATGTTCAAGGTTAGATGTTCTGGCTCATGTCAGGTGCTGCCCCCAAGACACCACACCCCCAACGCCGTCATGCCAAAATACAGGATGCCTCAGCCACTCAATCAAGCAAAGAAGGGCTCACAAGCAGAGGAGACTCCTTGCATTTCTCTGCTCCCTAAAGCCTTTCCCCTGGCTCCTAGTTTGGCTCCCTGGGTGGCTGGGAGCCCTCCAAGACTTCCTTCTTTTAGCTCCCCATCAGGCTGACATTGGGATGCGGGTGGCGCTGTGGGTTAAACCACAGAGCCTAGGAATTGCCGATCAGAAGGTCGGCGGTTCGAATCCCTGCGACTGGGTGAGCTCCCATTGCTCGGTCCCTGCTCCTGCCAACCTAGCAGTTCGAAAGCACACCAGCACAAGTAGGTAAATAGGTACCGCTCTGGTGGGAAGGTAAACGGTGTTTCCGTGCACTGCTCTGGTTTGCCAGAAGCGGCTTAGTCATGCTGGCCACATGAGACGGAAGCTGTATGCCGGCTCCCTCAGCCAATAAAGCGAGATGAGCGCCGCAACCCCAGAGTCGGCCACGACTGGACCTAATGGTCAGGGGTCCCTTTATCTTTACCGGCTGACATGTCAGCGTTTCTATTGCTCTTCACAAGTCCTCCCCCCCCCACACACACTTCGACATGCACAAAACTGCTCCCATTTCCCACAAGCACAATCCCCAAATGCCTCTACAGTCGTACCTCAGAAGCAGTGCCGGATTTACGTATAAGCTAAACAAGCTATAGCTTAGGGCCCCACTCTCTTGGAAGCCCCCCAAAAAATTAAAGGAAAAAAAACAACTGGATGTACATTTCCAAAATATAAGATAAAAAACAAATAAAATAAAACCTGCATGCCGCAACAGTGTTTTGTGTTGTGTATGGACATATTAGGTCCATAAATTACCGTATAGCATATATTCAACACAAAAAACAGTGACAATTTGTTGACAAAGGACAGCTGGACATATAAACGGCCCCATTACCTTCAGTAGCTTAGGGCCTCATCAAACCTAAATCCGGCCCTGCTCGGAAGTCGAATGGAATCCGTTCTGGAAGTCCGTTCGACTTCCAAAACGTTCAGAAACCAAAGTGCGGCTTCTGGAAGCTCCTGCAGCCAATCGGAAGCCGTGGAAGCCCCGTCGGACGTTCGGCTTCCCATAATAGTCTGCAATCTGGAACCCTGACTTCCGGGTTTGCGGCGTTCGGGAGCCAAAACGTTCGAGAACTAAGCTGTTCGAAAACCAACGTACGACTGTACGTAATTCTAGTTCCTGCAGAACCATCAGATTTTGCAAGCTAGTATAAAGCAGCGTTGGAGGTTATGCACGTTTATTCAATGGCAGAATGCAACCATTTGGCTGTCTGATATCAAATGTGTGCTGATATGTGTTCCCCTTTCATGAGCTGGACTCTCCATCCCTCCCCCCCCCCCAATTATACTACTGAATGCTTGGGAGGGTCCACTTGCGGGCTAAATGCTTTTACCATCCTGAGCAGAGTGCCGCTGAAACAGACCAAAGATCCCTCCAATCAAACATCGTGGGCCGAACAGATGCCTCTGGAAAGCCCACAAGCCAAGCATGACTGCAACAGCCCTCCCATTCAAACTCAAATCCGGGGTATACTGCTCTTGAACATGGAAGCTTGATCAATTTAGCCACTGCAGCTTCATAGTTTTGGGCAGACTTCTCCTACGTGAATCGGGGTTGTCTGCTGTTAGTTGGTGGAACTTGGATGCTTTAATACATGGGTGATGAAAGTGGTTTGTTTACCCCTTGGTGATACCTGAGAAGCAGAACCACTATCTGCCCCTGTCTAGTTTATCTTGCTTATCTCCCACCGCAAACCCAGAAAAAAGAGACCTATTGCTAATAAATTGTAGGGCTCTTCCTTCCTTCCAGAATGAACACAATGGGCTGCATAACTGTGAGAGAGAGATTGTTTGACTGCAAATGACCACTGAAAAATAGCAAACGAGAGCTTGTGTTTTTCTGTCTTTTATTATTTCAAGATCAGTATTTGCGTTCTGTCAAAAGGCTGCTCTGTATTTATTAGAAAATACTGGAAAAGTGCAAAAGCAATATCCTTATTAAACCGATTTAGTCCTGAATGCAAAAAATAAAATAAAAAAGCAAACATGCCCCCAAGTCTTGATGAAAGAGATAAGTTAAGCATCTACTCTAAGTTGTCCGTTAACTAGGATCGCCGGTTACTGCAACTTCCACGTTGCAAAGAGCTGCACCTGTTGAATTCTCCATGCCATGCCACCAAGTAAAGGGACGGGAGCTGCTATCATTTGGTTTAGGAGGCAATAAAAAAAAAGCCATAAGGAAGGAAGCCGGGATTCTAGCAAAGCTTTAGCCACTGAGCCACAATGCTAACCTTCAGGACAGCCTGCTGACTGAATGATTTACTTACTAGGCCACGGGTGAGGTCCTGTTCCAGAGGCTGAATTAAAAGGGGGAGGAAATGAATGAGGCCAAGAGTTGCTCTACAAGCTGAAAGGATGGACTTCCTCTCTTTTATTTCATTTAAAAAGGGAAGCCTGGAGAGAAAGTTTCGAAGTCTAAAACAGAAACGGACTACCCCGGGGCATTTTCCACCCGTCAGAATGTTATTACAAAGCCCATTTCCCCAAAATTACACTCCAGCGTAAATTAAGGTCCTGTCTCTGCAACATTTATGATTATGAGCCTCATATTCAGATGGAGGAGTAGCACCTCTGTTTATCAGGAAGCCTTGCAAAACCTGTCTGCAGTCGAGAGGACCTTCCACAGCTGGCCTGCAAGCACAGTACTGATCACGTCTACTTAGAAGTAAGCTCTGCTGAGTACGACAGGCTTGCTCCCAGGTGAAGCAGAGTTAGGACAACGGCCTTTGTCGATGCCCACCAGCTCTTGGCCTATGCACCCCCGGAGCACCCATGTTTCCTTTCTCACCCTGAGTTTAAATGAACCCCCTTTTCAATTTTGCCGCCCTTCCTTCTGGCTCTGCCCCCTGCAGGACTCACCGTTCACTTCCTGGATCTCCAGGTCGGGAGAAGCCATGTAGTATTTGTCACACAACAGCTTGGACATGTCGTAAGCATCTGCAGCAGGAAGAGACACCCAACATTTTAGGTTGCTGCAGGAGCACAGTCTGCTTTTTTAATAATAATAATAATAATAGTAATATTTTTATTCATTTTTCAATAAAAATCTTCCTATTATTAACAAATCAGATCAAATCATATACATTAGCGCCAATTATAAATTCCAAATTAAATAATTTCCAGGGACTCCCCATGTCCTGGTTTCTAGAGGTAATATATTTTATTTCTATTTTGCTTTCTTGCTTGTTGGTTCCAATTTCATAATTCTGATTGTCCATCTTCATTTTATCAATTTGTCAGTCTCCAGTAAAGGTAAAGGTAAAAGGCAAAGCGGTACCTATTTATCTACTTGCACTTCTGATCGGCAAGCCCTAGGCTCTGTGGTTTAACCCACAGCACCACCTACGTCCCGCTTCAGTCCGGTATGTGACTCAAAATCTTGTTTTAACAAGTCTTTAGATTTAATTAGCACAGTCTGCTTTTGGAACTCTTTTAACATGATGGTTTTGCTGCACGCTGGTATGAATTAGCAGGAGCGGCTGCTACAAGATGGGATTAGGGAGTATTTTTTCCCTGATCTTCCCCTTAAAGACCCAGCTGGCCCCCCAAGTAATAAAATCACCATTCATCAAGTAATAAAAAGAGAAATAGGAGGCAGCGTGAGTTGTATCGCTTCTGTTTCTTTACCACGGAAGACTCTCTCTCCGCTTCTCTCTTGGTATTTCCCTTTTAACTGATCTTTGGGAACACTCAAACTCAGCTATGAAAGAACTGCCTGGCTTCGGTTGTCTGTGCCCCTGGTAACCTGCAGGTTAGACTACCACCAAGCATTGCATGTGGGGCTGCCCTTGAAGACAGTTGCGAATGAGGCAAGATTAATTGACCCAAGGCCTTGAGTAAACAGGAAAAGTCTTAGCTTGGTGTGGAAATGTCAACAAGGCCGGCGCCAGGCGTGTCTATCTGTGGAGAGAATTCCACAGACTCCTGAAATGGCCTGTTCTCATGTGGCAATCCTCCTCACAGCCCTCAGGTGAAGGCCGTGTTCGAAACTCCCACTGTCCTAGGTGCATTTTGTGACAGGGAATTTCATTAGCAAGGGCAGTTTCTGAGCTCTGGGTACAGTACTGCACCGAAGATTTCAGATGAAAACGGTAGAGTGAAAGGAAACAAGGACCGTTTTCCTCCTCTACTTCCAGCTACTCTCTGAAGAGAAGAGACCCTCTTAAGAATATTAGGGGGGTGAGCAGGGGGAAGGACTAGACCATGTGAAAAATGAACATAATACAGTGGTACCTCGCTTTCCGAACGTAATCCGTTCCGGAAGACTGTTCGAGTTCCGGAACATTCAAAAACTCAATACAGAAGCCTCAATATGGAAAACACAATACGGAAGCCGCGTGGCATGTTTGACTTCTGAGGCATGTTCAAAAACAGAAGCATTTACTTCCAGGCTTACAGCGTTTGAAAACTGAAATGTTTGTCAACGGAGACGTTCGAAAACCAAGGTTCCGCTGCATTTTAGCTGCAGTTCATTCATTTTCAGGAAGGAGCAGGAGGGGTGGGGAGACACAGAAGATAAAAGCCCACCAACCTCTGACCACATCTGAGACGTTGCAGTTGGGATCGATGCTGCCAATATGCTTGGGGTGGGCCGGGTTGGTGCTGCCGTCGAAAATCAAGGCTGTAAGGGAGGGAAAGGGTGAAGTAAACAAAGGCAGAAACCATGGCATGTGGCAACCATGACAGGGCAGGCATGAGGAGATCCTGGCGCACCAGGAATGGGGGTCGGGCTGCCCCACGCACAGGCGACTTCACTTTGAGGCGGTGACAGGCCCCAGGATATGCAGAAGGAAAAAAAAAAATTAAACTGTTTTAAGTAAAGGATTGGGAAGCATGTAGGTAAAAGGTAAAGGGCCACCGGACGGTTAAGTCCAGTCAAAGGTGACTATGGGGTTGTGGCCCTCATCTCGCTTTCAGGCCAAGGGAGCCGGCGTTTGTCCACAGACAGCTTTCCGGGTTGTGTGGCCAGCAGGACTAAACCGCTTCTGGCAGAACGGGACACCGTGACAGAAACCAGAGCACACGGAAATGCTGTTTACCTTCCCCGCCGCAGCGGTACCACTTTATCTACTTGCACTGGTGTGCTTTCGAAGTGCTAGGTTGGCAGGAGCTGGGACAGAGCAACAGGAGCTCACTCCATCGCGGGGATTCAAACTGCTGACCTTCTGACTGGCAAGCCCAAGAGGCTCAGTGGTTTAGACCACAGCGCCACTACTATGATACAGCAATAAGGGGAGAGAAGGGAACTGCTGTGAAAAACAGGGTGGGAAGACAACTTTAGATTTGTATTGAATTGTATTAATTGGATGTAAATGCGTCAATTTTTTTGAAACCTGATAAAAATTAATTAGCAAAAAAAGAAAAGAAAGCAAAAGGAATTGCACAAGCAGTGTTACAGACCAGGAACAAGGAGGATGAGGATTGGACAAGAATCCAAGATGGCTGCCACTGAACTCACTGTGCTGGTTAATCAACATGCGGATGGAAATGCGGCTCAGGTAGAAGCGGTCCAGGAAGTACTGGATGTTTTGGTTGGTGACGGGGTCGTCCCCATAAGCTTCTTTGTACTCGATCACGCCTTGCGCCATGGTGGGGACCACGTCGTTGTGGCGGTTACGGATCGTGACCAGGGCATTCGTGAATCTGGGAGGAGACAGGTCACAAAGGGGGTGGGGAGAGAGAGAGAAAGAAGAAGATATTCTCAAAAATGGGAGGGAGGTCTTCTGTCTGAGAGCGGAACAATGTCCTTCAAATTTTCCTGACAAGGCAAGGGCCCAGGTCTCCTACTCTTCACTGTGTGCTAGAGGAAAATCACACACCCTGCCCCATTATGGCATCTCATTGGGGATGTGAGGAATTCCAATCTGCTATTATTTATGTGGTAAGTTTAGGTCTGATAAAGATGCACATAAAACCGCTTTCGGATTTTAATATTACCTTCAGAAAATATTAATACATAACTGCAAGTACTTGTCAATCATTTTGAATGATTTCTGTGCATTTTTACAAACCTCTTGCTTCCCAAGCAAAGCTAAATTATATTGATTTAATCAAAATATTATGTTGAATTCCCAAGTCATGTTCCAATGGGAGGAGACCAAAGATTGTTGATATTCTCCATGCAGGAAAGATGTCACATAAAAAGTGCAGTGATGCTGTGAGGTGGGGTTCTTGTATGTGCTGTGCTCAACAGCCTCCTCCCTCCCCTCACAAACCCAAACTCACTGTCCCAACGTCCCTTGGTCCTCAGGGTCTTTGTCCAGGAACACCATGATGTCCAGCAAGCTCTGCACGTACCTGGTAGGAGGAAGAGAGAAAGAAGAGTAGGGAGCACTTGGATGGAAAAGAAGTTTGTGAAGAGTTGCCTGCAGCCTTCATGGACTGGGTATGTGAAGACCGCCAAGACCACATAACACCGGTTCTGAAAGACCTGCATTGGCTCCCAGTACGTTTCTGAGCACAATTCCAAGTGTTGGTGCTGACCTTTGAAGCCCTAAATGGCCTCTGTCCAGTATACCTGAAGGAGTGTCTCCACCCCCATCATTCTGCCCGGACACTGAGGTCCAGCACCAAGGGCCTTCTGGCGGTTCCCTCAGTGCGAGAAGTGAGGTTGCAGGGAACCAGGCAGAGGGCCTTCTCGGTAGTGGCACCCGCCCTGTGAAACGCCCTCCCATCAGATGTCAAGTAAATGAACAACTATCTGACTTTTAGAAGACATCTGAAGGCAGTCCTGTTTAGGGAAGTTCTTAATGTTAGGTGGTGTTTTTAATATTCTGTTGGGAGCTGCCCAGAGTGGTTTGGGAAACCCAGCCAGCCAGGTGGGTGGGGTATAAAAATAAATTATTATTATTATTATTATTATTATTATTAGTGTTAGGGCAAGAGGCTAAAGGAGAGGCACATATCTTTAGACCACAGAATCAAAGAATCATAGAGTTTGAAGGAATTGTGAGGGTCCTCAAGTCCAACCCCCTGCAATGCAGGAATCTTTTGCCCCACATGGGGTTCGAACCCACAACCCTGAGATCAAGAGTCTCCTGCTCTACTGACTTAGCTACACTCAGGGCTGTGGATTTGAGCCCCACGCTTGGCAAAAGATTCCTGCCTTGCATGGGAGGGGGTGGACTTGCATGACCCTCATGGTCCTTTCCAACGCTACAATTCTAAGATTCTTTGATTCTATGTATATATCTATACAGTGGTACCTCGCATTAAGTACTTAATTTGTTCCGGAGGTCCGTTCTTAACCTGAAACTGTTCTTAACCTGAGGTACCGCTTTAGCTAATGGGGCCTCCTGCTGCTGCCGCGCTGCCGGAGCACAATTTCTGTTCTCATCCTGAAGCAAAGTTCTTAACCCGAGGTATTATTTCTGTGATCCGTGTGGGATGCAAGTTCGCGACCCGCAGCGTTCGCGACCCGCGTCTGCACACGCGCAGGTTGCGATTCAGCGCTTCTGCGCATGCGCAAAGCACAATCTAGCGCTTCTGCGCATGCACGGCCGCCAAAACCCAGAAGTAACCCGTTCTGGTACTTCTGGGTTTCGGCAGTCCGCAACCCGAAAAAACACAACCTGAAGCAGCTGTAACCTGAGGAATGACTGAATTTGTGTTTGTGTGAATGTACATGCACAACAGCATCACCTATATTCCACCTGCATCTCTCCTTTGGGTTTTGATCTGTGGGAAAGAGAGAGAGATGGCTGCATGGAAGGAAAGAAGCATATTTATTAATAATAAAGTAATAAAGTATAGCAAGGAGGCGATGATAAGGAAACAGGCAGGTTTCAACACCAGCTTGGGCACTGGGTGGGTGCAGGGAGAGAGGGTTTGCTACTATCAACTTGCCACTTTTCTCTGCAGTGGGGGAACCACGGTTTTCCTACGCTGCGTTTCTCCGGCAACTGCGAAGGGATGTTGAGAACAGGGTGAAGCGAAGCAAACAAACAGTCCCTCATCACGTGCTTCCCTCAAAGTAGGACAAAGTTCGTGCAAGCTGCTTAAAAGCAGCGGCACCTTCAGGCAAAGTGAAAACAAAACAAAAACCCTTTCCTAAAAAGGGGCGGGGGGGAGGAAGAAAAGCGGAATGAGGGAAACAGAAGTTAAAAGACCCAGGCAGGCAACCGGCCAAGTATCTTCCTTCCTTGGGAACCGAATCTGACAAGGTGCTACACTTTTCTGAGCATGCGTAGGGAGCCACGTGAGTGTGCTGCAGCAAGAAAACAAACACAGTGTGTTGTGGCACCGTGAAGCCTCCTTTGCCAACCTGCCGCCCTCCTGATGTACTGAGGCGTTCACAAAGGAAGGATTGAACTCTGATTAATAAGAATACACACAGAGGCTTGAACCAGCAAGACTCTGGGAAGGGTGCGTATAATAATCTCTCTCTCTCTCTCTCTCTCTCTGAGTCTCTCCACCCCTCGGCCCAGGTCGTTTTAGTCACAAAAGAACTTTTTACAGAGTGTTCGTAAGAACCAATCAGATTTCCTCTGAGCATTTCCACAAACCCTACATGGGGAAAAGTTAAACTAATTAAAACTAATTAGCATGCATATTTCTGGGGTAAACAAAGAACAGAACTACAAAGGAGAACATTGGGCAACCCCTGAGGTCATAAACAAGCAATATCCATGATAAGGAGGATGGCCAGGAGGACAGAGATCATTATCACCTTTATGTGAAACCTGTTTCCTGACCCTAAGATTAACATCCTGAGATTAACATAGTGGAAAGGCTACTTCAAAGAAGCTTGCCCACTATCTTTGATGACCCAGGAGCCTGCCTGGCGGAGCAACTGGGCTGTGTACGTGACTGGTAAAGAAAGAGAAATGGAACAGGGATGCAGAGGTGTGGATTGATCAAGAATCATATCAAAATAGTTTAAACCCAGTCAACACAATGCTTTCATTGCTGACACAGATGGCTTACTCTATATTTGTTATAATTCCTCATAGCAATCCCACCTGATCACTACAATGTACCTGGACTGAAACGCCCATCCGTTCCACTGGCTGAGGCTGGTGCCACTTGCATGTGGAGGGTACCGGGTTGGCGATGGATGCTTTAAAGGCCAACAGATTTATTGTGGCATCAGGTTCCAAGCACAGACCTCACCTGTTCTCTTGTAGGTTTACAGAGGTACCTCAGGTTACAGACCCTTCAGGTTACAGACGCTTCAGGTTACAGACTCCGCTAACCCAGAAATAGTACCTCGGGTTAAGAACTTTATCTCAGGATGAGAACAGAAATCGCGCGGTGGCGGCGGGAGGCTCCATTAGCTAAAGTGGTACCTCAGGTTAAGAACAGTTTCAGGTTAAGAACAGACCTCCGGAACGAATTAAGTTCTTAACCCGAGGTACCACTATATTTCTTAAGAGTCAGCCGCCAGGTTCACCCACCCAAAGGCTCACAGCTGCTGAAAGTGTTTTAGAGCACAATCTGGGCGTTTGAAACTACATGACAATCCCTCCCCAGCCCCGTTGAGACAGGCCACATCCCTCCTCAATGCCTTAGAATGTTTAAAAATATTTTTAAAATCAGATTTTTTAAAATTTAAATTGGATTTTTAAAATAAAATGCTTTTGGAGGAAAAATCTTTCTAAAGATAGTTTTCTATTTAAGTTACATTATAGTCCAGAGGCTATTCATCAGGGAATAAGGATTTGTTTTAAGTTTTTCATGTGTGCTAAAACTCAGTTGGTTTTTTTAAAAAAACAACAATGTTTAACCACATCAGTTAACAAACATGGATACATATGCTATAATGTTACTCTTTTAGTTAAATAAATTGTTTAAATTGTTATTAAGGAAATGATTCTTTTTCTCCTTCCAGTAAAGTACAGCAGAAAAGTTGTCCAAATATAAAGAGTTAACTTATTAAACCTGACAATAATTTCATAATTATCTATGTGTTTCTAACAGTATAACCAAATCAGTAATTTTTGATATAACTGTAAAACTACTCTGAAAATTTATTATTCCAAAAATAAACTGGTTGTAAATATTAAGATTATACCAGCAAGAGTGAGTCTATCTGTAAAAAAATGATTTAAATCAAGTCTTCCTGACCAGTGATTTAAATCAAGTCTTCCTGACTAGTGATTTAAATCGTGATTTAAATCAATTTGATTTAAATCAAATCCACCCTGCTTAGAACCTATTTCCACTCTGACACACAGACAGACACAAACACACTTTTGCAGATCAGGGCAAGAAAAACACTGCATTATCCTATGTGCTCCAAATCATTATTCCTAAACATATCTACATGACCCGAAGCAGCCAGTCCCATTACTGCAGGAGGCCAGCACGGCTGATGGGAGTTGTAATTCAGGGGATGATGGGAGTTGTAGTCCAGCAACATCTGCTGGTCCCTCTGTTGTTTCTTGTTTCTCTCACATAACAGCTCCCTGATCTCCACCAAAACCACCGGTCCTTCTAACTCAGAGCTGCCACCTTACCACCAAAAAAACCCACAAAAAACCGGCAGCCATATCTTCGGTTTGAGAGATTGCAAAAAGCCCGTGTGCTTCCAAGGCAAAAAGGGGGGGGAGCACCTTGACAACTCAATTATTGAAACGTAAGCTCTTGTGGAGGGACGCGGGTGGCGCTGTGGGTTAAACCACACAGCCTAGGACTTGCCGATCTGAGGGTCGGCGGTTCGAATCCCCGCGACGGGGTGAGCTCCCGTTGCTCGGTCCCTGCTCCTGCCAACCTAGCAGTTCGAAAGCATGTCAAATCACAAGTTAATAATTTCTTCTGGAGGTCCGTTCTTAACCTAAAACTGTTCTTAACCTGAGGTACCACTTTAGTTAATGGGGCCTCCCGCTGCCGCACAATTTCTGTTCTCACCCTGAAGCAAAGTTCTTAACCCAAGGTACTATTTCTGGGTTAGCAGAGTCTGTAACCTGAAGCGTCTGTAACATGAAGCGTCTGTAACCTGAGGTACCACTGTACATCTTTTTAAAACTCTGTGTGTGAGTCATGATATACCAAAAGACAAGCCCCGAAGAGAAAAGTTTCTCTGCTTTGGTTTTTGGGTGCCAAGATGACAATTCTACAGAGGGTTAAAAGGTAAAGGTAAAGGTACCCCTTAACCATTAGGTCCAGTCGTGACCGACTCTGGGGTTGCGGCGCTCATCTTGCTTTACTGGCCGGTGTACAGCTTCTGGGTCATGTGGCCAGCATAACTAAGCCGTTTCTGGCGAACCAGAGCAGCGCATGGAAACAGCGTTTACCTTCCCCGCCAGAGTGGTACCTATTTATCTACTTGCACTTTGAGGTGCTTTCGAACTGCTAGGTTGGCAGGAGCTGGGACCGAACAACAGGAGCTCACCCCGTCACGGGGATTCAAACCGCCGACCTTCTGATCAGCAAGTCCTAGGCTCTGTGGTTTAACCCTTCAGCGCCACCCGCATCCCTTCTACACAGGGTTACCCGAGAGTAAACCCCTTTGAACTGAACAGGACTGATTGATTGATTGATTGATTGATTGATTTAATTGAATTTATATGTCACCCTTCATCAAAAGATCTCAGGGCGGTTGACAGAATAAAATACAAGACAAAACACAAGAAAATAATTAAACCAAAACAACAAGAAGAAAACCTCAGTTTGCCCAGACATATTTAAAAGGCTGTAGAGTATTAATCAGCCAAAGGCCTGGTTTAAGAGGAACGTTTTTGCCTGGAGGTTAAAACTATATAATGAAGGTGCCAGGCAGGCCTTCCTGGGGAGAGCATTCCACAAACGAGGAGCCACCACAAAGAAGGCCCTTCTCGTGTTGCCAGATCCAGACCTTACGCAGAGGAGGCACACGAAGAAGGGCCACAGAGGATGAACACAGAGTTTATATTTCTGAGTAGACTTGTGCAGAATGGCTCTGTAAAAGAGCCCTGTGAATGAGAAGCCCCTAGGGAACTGCTGAAGGGTGCCGGGCACTGTGAAACTGCCTTATATCGAGCCAGAAGATCTACTCCTCCAGCCGAATAACATCCGCTTCAGGGCTGGAAAGTCACATTGGTTTGGCAGGCTGGATACTAAAGGAGCCTCTGATCATCCTCAGAGGCCTGTCTTCGTGTGTCTCCTCCATGAGAGGACTGGAGGGTGGCAACACAAGAACAGGGCCTTTGCTGCAGTGGCTCCCCGTCTATGGAATGCTCTCCCCAGGGAGTTTTGGCTGGCACCTTCATCATACACCTTTAGGTGCCAGGCAGCAATTGTTCCTCTTCAGGTAGGGTGACTGACATCCAATGCACTTTTAAATGTGCCGTGGGAGGGGGCGTTTTCTTTTTCTTTTTTTAACTATCAATTCTTTATTGATTAAAAGATTTTCATGTCTATACAAACATTATGTACTATCTCTTAAAAGGTAAAGAAAGAAAGAAAGAAAGAAAGAAAGAAAGAAAGAAAGAAAGAAAGAAAATTATATAAAATAGAAAATTTATAAAGAAAAAAATAAAGAATTAACAAAGATAAGAAACAAAGAAATCAAATAAAAAAGGGGGGAAGAGACAAAGTAAAAGTACTCATCCGCACAATACTTCCCATCCTTCTCATTATACTGTTTGATATAACATTCTTTTTTACACAGGTTTACATTGTATAATATCATTTCTTTCTGCTTTGTATACATTCCTTTGATCTTTCCCTTTACAAATATCACTCAATTTCTGCTAATATGGAGTTATTTGTACAATAAAGTTTTACATAATTCTTAAATATGATCCATTCTCCAGTTGTTTTTTGTTTCGCTATTCCTCTAACTGATCCCGTCAGTTTTGCTAATTGCAGATATTCTAAAATGAGTATCTATTGGTTTGTTTTCGTTCTTGTTTTCATTGTGTACGGTTTTTTTATATATATTGTGATTTTATCTGCCCATAAACATCTAAACAAACAGAAGGGACTCACCAGCTTTGCACCAGCTGAACGGAAGGGGTGCTGAGCACACGGTCTGGGAGAAGGTTGATTTCCTTCATGATGTTTGCCAGCCGGACAGGGAGTTCTTGGCGGAGGAAAGTGAATGAGGTCTTCTCGCAGGCATTGCTGGATCCTGAAAAGAAAAACACACCCTGCTATCAGCTGTTCTGGCGCATGCCCCAAGGAAAAGGTTACGCCAGCCAATATTTATTTATTTGGCTGCTGCGTTTCTATCCCTTCTATTTTTCCCCCTCCAGGAGCTCAAGGTGTTATGCATGGGTTATGCCAGTGTGGTGTAGTGGTTAAGAGCGGTAGTCTCGGAATCTGGGGAACCGGGTTCGCTTCCCCGCTCCTCCACATGCAGTTGCTGGGTGACCTTGGGCCAGTCACACTTCTTTGAAGTCTCTCAGCCCCACTTACCTCACAGAGTGTTGTGGGGGAGGAAGGAAAAGGAGAATGTTAGCCACTTTGAGACTCCTTAAAGGGAGTGAAAGGCGGGATATCAAATCCAAACTCCTCTTCTTCTTCTTCTTCTTCTTCTTCTTCTTCTCCCCCTCCTCAAATAGCCCCCACAACAACCCTGTGAGGTAGGTTAGACTGAGAGGCAGCGACCGGCCCAAGGCTTTATGTCGGGTGGGGATTTGAACCCTGGTCAGGATCCCAGGTGCCACTCTGGAATGTTACTGCAAACCAGCCTGCGATCCCCAACGAAGGCCCCCTAATCGGAGGATAATCTATAAAATTCTAGCCTTGTAAGATCCAGATCAGGCATAGGCAAACTCGGCCCTCCAGATGTTTTGGGACTACAACTCCCATCATCCCTGACCACTGGTCCTGTTAGGGATGATGGGAGTTGTAGTCCCAAAACATCTGGAGGGCCGAGTTTGCCTATGCCTGTTCCAGATCCTGCAATTAACTATGTTACCACGTACCTACAGTATTACAAGCGCAATATGCATGCACGCACGCAGACAAACACACACAAATTTTGTATCTTCCTTCACTGTCCCCTCCATATTTATGATGACAAAGGTTCTCATCAGGGAAAGCTCAGGTGATGCTCTTAGTTATTTAAGGTGTCTTAATGGCTCTCTGTTGCTTTTGCTATGTTGGAGTAAGATAACGAACACGGAATAAGCTAGCTGCTCAGGCTCTGCTCCTTGAAAGTTGCTAGACCTCATGATTGTAGAGAACACACTGCAAAGAAAAGGGGGGCAAGTTTCTGCTCAAGATTTAGAAACAAAATGGTAGATTCAAGCAGTCAGGCGCCAAGAGTTTGTATAGCCACACACTTTGCCATTTCAGCTGCCAACAAATCCATTCACCCAGCTGCTACAGCTCCATTTCTGGGGTGGATTTCCAACATCTGCTACGGATTACCTCGGATTTCAATGCTTTCCATGTTCCCTTACTCAATGGGCACTAAAACCACCTCCTGGGGTAGATGGAAGTGCAGGAACGGAGAAAAACAGCACAAACCTAACCACGTCTACTCATAAGTAAGTCTTCTTCAGTTCAAAGGATCTTAAAAGGTAAAGGACCCCTGACAGTTAAGTCCAGTCGTGGACAACTCTGGGGTTGCAGCGCTCATCTCGCTTTACTGGCCGAGGGAGCGGATGTTTGTCCGTAGACAATTTTTCTGGGTCATGTGACCAGCACGACTAAGCCGCTTCTGGCAAAACCAGAGCAGTGCACGGAAACGCCATTTACCTTCCCACCGGAGCACTGGTGTGCTTTCGAACTAACAGGAGCTGGGACAGAGCGACGGGAGCTCGGGATTCGAACCGCCGACCTTCCAACTGGCAAGCCCAAGAGGCTCAGTGGTTTAGACCACAGCACCACCTGCATCCCTTTCAAAGGATCTTACTCCCAGGCAAATGAATTAGCATAGCAGGCTTTAATCCCTCACATGCAACTGCTGGAATTTGTTTTCGGTGGCGCAGCTTGACCTTGAAATCCACGGTGGTTAAAAAAATACCCGGCTTATTTTACAAAAGTCCTGAGAGCTTAAAAAAAAGAAAAGCAGAAACCACTGTAATGCATTAGTAAGAAGCACGGGGTGGGGGTGGGGAACCAGCTTTCCAAAAACAAACGCAGGATCGGATGGTGTTATTTCAAAGCCCTGCCACCTCTGAATTCTATAAATCAAACTGTATGGAAACAGGGAATTTCTCTACTAACAGGAGGAAGGTCTGCAGACAGCAGGGACGTGATGTGTTTATTACTGAAGCAGATGTGTGGAAGCAATTTATGATGTCAAAAAAAGGAGGAAGAACCCAAGGTGAGAGCGTTGGGCAAGGACAGGGAAACAGGGAGCTGTTCAGCAAACAGAGGAGACAGAAAAGCAAGCAGAGGATGTAGGAGAAGGCAAGCTGGGCCCCGTACATCCAAAGGTTTTTCCCACCGCCCCCACCCCTTCCATCCAAACTCTCCACGGAAGGAAACCTGCACACAGGTCAAAGCACTAAGCAGCAAGCTGAGCTGTGCAAGCAACTGCTGGAAAGGGAGACAAGGAATCCATTGTGCATGTTTCTGTTTGCTACCGAGGCAAAGAGTGCGGAGTTCTTTATTTAGCCCCACTGTTTTGAAAAGAGCGTCAGACACCATCCTCGCAGGCTTGGAATGAAGCACTGCAGGGAAAACGGAGGGAGGGGGAAATTGGCCAGAAAAACCGGCAAGTGGGGCTAGGGGAGGTCTTGACGCTGAGGATCCCCCAATCAGCACCGCTTGTCCTTCATAGCCTTCAGAGGGCATCACACAAAACTCCCCCCTCCCAAATCACCAGCATAAACCCAGAGCGAGGAGGCAAGGTCTTTGCAATTCACAAGAATCGCTTCTGCCATCAGGGAACTTTGAAATATTCTCCGTCCTGCTCCCTCCCTCTCATTCATCTCTGATGTCCTTTCGAAAAAGCAGTGTGTCTGGGGAGATGTTGATCCAGGTGGACATGTGAGCAAATCCTGGCAAAAGGGCCCTGTTGGGAACAGAACTTTAGAAGTTGTACCTGCCCAGATTTAGTCCAGGTGTTTGGCTTGCAACCTTGTGGATATAGGGACACGGTGATGCTGTCACCGTTCAGATTTGGGTCATTTAGCAGCATTGAAACTATACGGCAAAGAGGCTAGCCCCCTGCAGGTAAAACTGCTGAACCAAATGACAATTTGGGGGGTAGGGGGCTGAATGCAGCAATTCCCTAGCTCAAATATATGCATATTTAGCCCCCAGGAAACACTGGTCCCGTATTTAAGCATAGCCTTCTGCACATCACAAATCTCTCAGAACCATGGCAATGGATTAGCAAGGAAGGGCACAAGAACTCTATACAAAACAGAATGTTTACGTACAGAAACGGGAACGATGCAGACCCCTTTTGGGGTTACCACATTTATCTGAGACACACAGGACATATTTACTTATGGAAGTGCACTCTGAGACTTGTGGAAGCACAGAGATCAGCCTGAAGTATCTAGTTGTGGAAATGGGTGTGTGTGTGTTAAAGGCATGGGAGCACGCAGGAGGAAGAGATTAACTGGACTGCACGGGAGGCAAAGAACAGGCTAAATTTGAGGAAAGTTGGGTGGCTGCACACTTATGGCGGTGGAGTGGTGAGTTGCATGTGCATAGGAATGTTTATCTACTTATATAATCTTTTAACTGGAGATGTCATTGAACCTGAGACCTTCTGCACACAAAGCGAGCTATGCTCCCAATCTTCTCTCTCTCACACACACAAACAAGAGGAAAGATCACCTGTTCCGGCTGCCGGACATTCCTCCATAGGTAAATAGGGAATGCTGTTCAGAGAGCCAGATTAAAGTGTTCCTTGGTATATTTACGCAGAGGAGAGGTGTTCTGAGGTCAGCTCATGATTCACCTGGTTACACTGAACTGTTTGATCCACAACTGATCTACCGGGTGCCAATTCTGTAGGCAAACTGACCTGGCAGCCAATTCCACTCAACTCAACAGGACTTGCTTCTACTCACACTTGCACAAGACCACCACCCTGTCAAACCTGTTCAGGTACCAGGGACTTAGAACATCTGAAACAGAATAACTCAACTTTGATGAAGTCCCAAGCGCAGGGGATGGGCTTAACAAGGTTAGGGAGGCCAAAGGAGAAGCGGGTCCTTAATCCAGTTTAGCTGGGCGCAGGAGGGTGGGGGGCAGCCGGTTCTCGCTTCCCTAAAGCATGCATATTATCTCACTTTCCCCCCTACAAAACACCCAAGGCAGCTAAGAAAAACAACGCAGCAACCAGTGGCTACAACTCTACATGCACTTACCTGGGAGCGAGTCCCCATCCCCCTCAAATCAGGTCTTCCTTCTGAACTCACTCGCAAGACAGGAATGTGCTCCAAAACTCCCCCTCCCTTTTAATTCACCATTAAAATAAATAATAATCTATGGAGCAGAAGCAAAGCAGAAACGCATCCAAAGCGTCCCACTCCTTTTGTTTACCATTAAAAAAAACTTCTTGTCTGTCGCTGTTGTTTAAGTAGCAACAGAGCAGATGCAAAGAGATTTAAACACACATTTGTGCGGATTGACTTGTTATTTTTGGAGACAGCAGGGAGACCCGGCTGGTGGCCCGCGATAAGCCCGGCAATGCGCCTCCTTCCCCTGCCTGCCCGCCTCCCTCTGCCCGTCCACGCACCGAAGTCCAGGAACTGCTTCATGGAAAGCGGGGACGGCGAGAACTTGCTGAAGTGCTCGATGTACTTGGGCGCCCCGGCCAGCGCCGAATGGCCCTTCAGCAGGCAGCGCAGGAGGCGCATCGCGGCGGCTGCACTGGCACCAGCCAGGCCCCGGCAGGCCAATTCAGCGGCCCTCCCGCCTTGCAAGAGCCGACCCGCACTCTCGGGCGGCTCAGAGAGCGACTGGCAACAGCCCTGGAAGAGCCGCCAACCCCGGAAAGGCACAGCCCCGCCCTCGCCTGCTCCCGGCCAATCCGAGGCGGGGGCCCGCCCACCCACTCCGACGGGCGGCCGCGACGGAAAAAAACAAGACGTGGCCGGCCAATGGGAAGGCGCTCGGCACCACGTGGAAAAGAAGGGGCGGGGAGACACGCCCATTTAACTCTTCCTTTTTCTGCCTGTTAGTGTTGCCGTCGTCGTAAGGTGCTGTTCTAGAAGTCGTCCGATTTGTAATTGCATGTTTATCGCTTCTTGCATCTATTATATCCAGGGCCGGATTTAGGTTTGATGAGGCCCTAAGCTACTGAAGGTAATGGGGCCCTTTGTATGTCCAGCTGTCCTTTGTCAACAACAAATTGTCGCTGTTTTTTGTGTTGAATATATGCAGAATTTATGGACCTAATAGGTATCTAAAGTCATTTGCACATCAGAATGTAGGCACCCTATATATAGAAATGAGCAAACCAGTGATATTTTAGGGAGCAGGCTAGCAGGCCTTACATCATACTTACTTAGGAGGCTAGGCAACACAGAACACTGTTGCTGTATGTAGGTTTTATTTTACTTGTTTTTTATCTTATATTTTGGAAATGTACATCCAGTTAGGTAAAGGTAAAGGGACCCCTGACCATTAGGTCCAGTTGTGACCGACTCTGGGGCTGCGGCACTCATCTTGCTTTATTAGCCAAGGGAGCCGGCATACAGCTTCCGGGTCATGTGGCCAGAATGACTAAGCCGCTTCTGGCGAACCAGAGCAGCGCACGGAAACGCCGTTTACCTTCCCGCCGAAGCGGTGCCTATTTATCTACTTGCACTTTGACGTGCTTTCAAACTGCTAGGTTGGCAGGAGCAGGGACCGAGCAACGGGAGCTCACCCTGTCGCGGGGATTCGAACTGCCGACCTTCTGATCGGCAAGCCCTAGGCTCTGTGGTTTAACCCACAGCACCACCCACGTCCCTAGCAAGAGTTACTTCTGAGTAAAACACAGACGTGATTGGTCTGAGTGTGAGCTCCTTCTTTCCTCTTAGTTTACCAAACTTTGTCCTACACTTCCTCTTCCCACCTCTGATAAATCCATGAGTTGCATCATGTGCACTGTGTGGCTCACAAGACTATCCATTCACTGATGTCAGGTGATATTTCATTAATTGCACTTTGGTCAGAGCTTACATGTTCCACCTTCTTTGCTATTTGAGTAGTGTCCCCTTTATTTCTGCTGTGTTGCAAGCTGTCGCCTGGACTGCCACGGCCTGTGCACAAGTATTACTGGTAAACAAGGCAGCCTGGATAGCCCAGCCTGGTTTGAGCGTGGTGCTGATAACACCAAGGTATTGCAGGTTCAGTCCCCGTGTGGGGCAGCTGCATATTCCTGCATTGCAGGGGGTTGGAATAGATGGTCCTCAGGGTCCCTTCCAACTCTAAGATTCTACGATTCTATTTGTGAAACCCGGCGTGTATGGGAAGATTGCAATGAATGAGAAAAATTGTGCTAACTTCTGTTCATGGAATAAGTCCACATTACTTCAACAACCTTTGGCCTACAGCAGTCTCTGGCATTCTTTAATCATATATAGCTGGGCCATTACGTATAAAACCTGACTTCAGAGATGTAACATCAGAAACATGGGACTTCTCTCTTTTGTATAATGTGGAATAATCCTCTTCTTAGGAATGGAACTCTTGACCCCAGGCTTTTTAGATACTACGCACCGATATCTAAAATGAGAGACACGCAGGCTTAAGTGCTAAAGGGACGTTGGTGGTGCTGTGGTCTAAAATGCTGAGCTTCTTGGGCTTGCCGATCGGAAGGTCGGCAGTTTGAATCCCCACGACGGGGTGAGCTCCCGTTGCTCTTTCCCAGCTCCTGCCAACCTAGCAGTTCAAAAGCACACCAGTGCAAGTAGATAAATAGGTACTGCTGCAGCAGGAAGGTAAACAGCGTTTCCGTGTGCTCTGGTTTCTGTCACAGTGTCCCGTTGCACCAGAAGCGGTTTAGTCATGCTCGCCGCATGACACGGAAAGCTGTCTGTGGACAAACGCCAGCTCCCTCGGCCTGAAAGCGAGGTGAGCACCGCAACCCCATAGTCCCCTTTGATTGGACTTAACCGCCCGTGGGTCTTTTGCCCTTTTCTAAACCATCTTCAATCAAAATTGAGAAAAGCTGTCTGTGGACAAATGCTGACTGCTTCGGCCTGGAAGCAAGATGAGCGTCACAACCCCATAGTCGCCTTTGAGTGGACTTAACCGTTCAGGGGTCCTTTACCTTTTTTTACCTAAGTGCTAAAGACCGTTACCATTTCCCAGACGTACAGGGAGAGTCGGGATTGTTTACCCTGGTTCTATTTGATCTGGGTGTGTTGGCTGGGCTATACGGATTGGCTAAGCCCTTTGTTCAAATTGTCTTCTCACTGGAAGCCCCAGTTTAGAGACGATCAACTCAAGTCAGGGGTGTTATCCTGCGTTCATGGAATACTTCTGTATACCTCGAGCCATCGCCGGCAAAGCCACAGTTTTTCAGCAGACCCTGCCCTCCTTTGAATGTGCAAACATAAATCAGAGGCTGCTGAAGTGAGCTTGGGGATTCTCATTCATTAAATTAAAACAAAAACCTGAAGCCGCAAGTTACAAATCAGAGTCATTTTTTTATTCATAAAATAAAATAGCCACTCAAGCTTATTTACAACCAAGGCACAATGATTCCAGACCTCCAGTACCATAAACAGTGGTAAATTCCAGTGAGCAACAAATATATATATATATTTATATACACATAGCTATAGTTAAGTACATTCTTAATAATTTAATATACAGCTGGGAAATGAGGAGAGAGGGCAGAGGGTGTGTGCTCATTCTCTGATATTCAACACAACCGTAGTTTCCTTAACTGTGATGTGTGGAAGGGGATATTTCAGATTTTCTCCCCCCTTTTTTTTGCAGCCCAGATCAGTAGTTTCCATTGGTGCCAACCACACTTGTAAAACAGTGAGGAACTGTGTCTTACGAACAGGTCAACACTTTGGATATTTAGATACGAAACCTGAAAATGGAAACATGCTTTTATAAAGAACCCCAAATCCAGCTTCAGTAAGTTCTCCGAGTCAGACACGGGCAAGGGATGTTTTGAAATGAAAGCATCGCGGACTGAACTGTCATGGGCACCTACTTCTTGGCAAGACAGGCGGCTGTGCTGCCCAATCGCAGAAGCAGTTGCCCTCAAACCCCGCCCCTTTCTGATGTGGAACGTGGAGCACACGAGGCCAACTTTTCCTCAGGATTCAAAATGGCGGCTGGGCAGTGGGGGAGAAGCGGGGAGCAAGTCTCGTTCTGCCTTGCTGTATTCCACTGAAATGCAGGCTGTCCCTACCATCCCATCCTTTCTCCACAAGCGCTGAGCAATGTCTGAAACGGGAGCTTTAAGCCTGCCCATTCTTGGCATTCACAAACGCCCCATCCCCATGAACTGGCTGTAGCTGGTCAGTTTTGAGAGAGAGAGAAACCCTTATTACTAACACACCTTCCAGGGCCAACTGTTTTGGCCAAGACCACCAGCATCCTGGGGCAGCTAGCACCTCAGTAGGGCCCATGAATGACACTTCCTCTGGAACTCTTCATTAAACAAAAAGCTGCCCAGGCGCTCGAAGCAGCTCTAGTTACCATTTACACTTCACATAATATTCATGGCATTGTGTTCCTGTGAGGCACTGTGAGGAATTAAGTTGGTGGCTAGACCTAGCTCCCCATATCATCGTATTTTTCACTCTATAGGACGCACCCGACCATAGGACGCACCTTGTTTTAGAGGGGGAGAACAAGAAAAAAAAATTATCCCCTTCTCTGCTTAGCGCCCCTTCAGCGAAGCGGCAGGAGAAACGGAGCCCCTTCCATTTCTCCTCCCGCTTCGCTGAAGGGGCGCTGCGCAGCTCTCCCTCTCTGCTGAAGCCAGGAGAGTCTTGATCTCCCGGCTTCAGCAAAAGGAACCCGAAGCCTTTGGAACGCAGCGCGAGTTCCCGCTGCGCTCTAAAGGCTTCAGGCAGCTATCCCTGAAGCCTGGAGAGCAGGAGGGGTCGGTGCGCACCGACCCCGCTCGCTCTCCAGGCTTCAGCGAAAGCAACGCAAAGCCTCCGGAGCGTGGAGGGTGCGCTCCCTCTGTGCTTCGGAGGCTTCGCATTGCTATCGCTGAAGCCAAGGAGTCTGCATTCGCTCCATAGGATGCACACACATTTCCCCTTAATTTTTGGAGGGGAAAAAGTGCGTCCAATAGAGCGAAAAATACGGTACTTGTAGCACGGTCACCCAGAAGTAAACTAGGGGTGGGCAACTTCCTGGGCCTAACTAGGTCCAGCATGGATCCCAATTTGGCCCCCCAAACTATGCCCACCAGCCATACCCCTGAGGACATAATAGAGGGGCTTTGAAGTGTGCTTTGAAGTAGCACCTTGGCAAGGGGTGTTTGCTGCCAGCGCCAATCAGCTGGCAGGTGCTGACTTCAAGCGCACTGGGATGAGCTTTGCTGCGGGGCTTGCTAGGTGCTACTGACCAAGCCTGAACTCCACAGCACAGCAGAACCCTGCAGGAAGCATGACTTGAAACCAGCTGATCGGCTGTGACGTCAAGCCCGGCTTGGGTTTTCCTCGGCAGTGTGACTCGAACACAAGCCACGCTACAAAGGAAAAACGGGTCACCTGATGCCATGGTGATATCTGGTGACTGACAGGTCAGCAGCCTCACCCACCTGTCTGAGTGGGTTGGCAGGAGTGGGGAAACCCAGGATCTGGTCCACTGGCTTGAGAACAATTCCTGCCCCAGAGGTAAGCCAACCGGGGCTCGCAGATCGAGGAGAGAACCCGCCAAAGAGTACATTGCCCAGGGCCTCCTCAGACACAAAGCCTGCCCTGCGTAGAGCCCTCTTCCCTGGCATTCCCCAAAGTGCAGAAAGTGGCTTCACATCTTTTCCAACAGAATGAGCAGAAAGGGGTTTCAAAAGGAATCATTATAATATTTCTGCCCACTCCCCGCATTTCAAGCTCAGAAGTCTCCTTTGCGCTCCTTAAGAAGCTGGACCGCAGTAAGTAGTAAAAACCACTTTCTCTCCCTCCAAAGAATTGTGGAGGGGATACAAGAAACGGCACAGTGATTAAAAAAGGATCAGTAGTTTTTGGCATAGTCAGAGCTCCAGTGGCAATACATCCAGTGTTTTTGCGGTATAGCAATATGGGGTTGGGGAAGGAGGCAGCTGAAGCCATAGCACAGGGACTGAAGTCCGTTTAACCTTCTCTCCAAATTATGCTTAGTCTAGGGTCGTTCCCACATTACATCCAACAAGTGTACAATCTGTGTACATACGTAGCTGATTTGTACATTCATAGTTACTCACATTCAGTAAGTGTACTGTAAGTCTATCACTGGAGCCAATTCCTAGGGGCTGTGGGGGCTTCGGTCCCCACAATAAAATATATGGGGGGCCGGGCCCCTGCAAAGTTGATTGGCATTCCCATTCAAATGAGGTGTGTGCACTGCATCATATGATCAATTATGCAGGGTGGGGCTTACCTTATTGTATTCAACTTGGCACCTCCCTGCGGTCTATGCGTGCAACAGCTGAGCTGTACAAATCAACAAGTTGTGTCCAGTCTTTCACACAAACACTTGTACATGTGCCAAAATGGCTTGCGTTCAGTGTAATGTCTATAACAAGGCCCTGGGTGCATGTGTGTGTGTGTCGGAGGGAAGAGAATTAAGATAGACGGGTGTCATCTATAGCAAGGCCCCAAAGGAAGGATGTTGGAATCCCTGGTTTCTCAGCAATTTAAAAAAAAAATGAACCAAGGGGGGGGGGGGGAGAAAGTGTAAACATCAAAGATAATGCTATCAGGGGAAAGTACATGAAAGCTTAGTTGCACGCATCTGCATTAGCCAAGCTAACTCACACCATGGCACACGCGGCTGTCCATGCACAAGAGGTTTTGCACAAGTGTCTGCAGAAGGTGCCTGGTTCAGCCCTCACCTCCAGGTGCAGCTGAGAAAGACGCTTCTCTGAAGCTCTGGGCAGCTGCTGCCAGTCAGTGTAGACAATACAAACCTAGATAGACCGAGGATCTGACTCAATACAAGGCAGCTTCCGATGTTCCCAAAGTTTGCATAAGAGGAACCATCTGGCTGCCCAGAGAACAGTTGGTAGAGCATGAGACGCTCAATCTCAGGGCCCCACATTGGGCAAAAGATTCCTGCACTGGAGGGGGTTGGACTAGATGACCCCTGGAGTCCCTTCCAATTCTATGATACAGTCTCACCACTAAGCTGGCATGACTCTGCAAGCTGCCGGGATGGGAGGCAGAAGCGTACCTGGGACCCCTTGCACCCTCGACAAGAAGCTGTGTCAGCGTATCCGCTCCCCCCGTGAGAAAAAAAGAAATCACTTTAAAGCAATTGCTACATTTTAGCCACCCAAGTACTCAAAAGTGTCTGGAGTGAGGGCAAAGCGAGGAGGAAGGGCAAAAATAATAATAATTGTAAGCCTTTGTTCTACATGAAGCATGGGGATCTTCTCCTGCATTTGATCTCACCGCAACAGTGGCAGTGTGTCACATATACATCACACAGTCTAGTCTCATAGGTGGTTTTTGTGGGGGGACCCTGGGACTGCATTCCTGGCGGGGCTGCTTTCACCAACCCCTAGGTACACCTCTGATGGGAGACGGCCTAAGAGCTGTTCGGAAATTGCTCCGTGCCTTCTGGAGGGAAGGTAAAGGGATCCCTGGCCATTAGGTCCAGTCGTGACCGACTCTGGGGTTGCGGCGCTCATCTCGCTTTATTGGCCGAGGGAGCCGGCGTACAACTTCCAGGTCATGTGGCCAGCATGACTAAGCTGCTTCTGGTGAACCAGAGCAGCGCACAGAAACGCCATTTACCTTCCCGCCGGAGCGGTACCTATTTATCTACTTGCACTTTGATGTGCTTTTGAACTGCTAGGTTGGCAGGAGCAGGGACCGAGCAACAGGAGCTCACCCCATCGCGGGGATTCAAACCACTGACCTTCTGATCGGCAAGTCCTAGGCTCTGTGGTTTAACCCACAGTGCCACCCACAGTCCTTCCGGAGGGAAAGCGGAGTGTAAATGCAAGAAGCAGTGGCCGTGTGAAACAACAATGGCATCTGAGAAGCCACAGCTGAGAGAGAGAGAAAGAGAGAGAGATGTCTTTGTGTTTCGGTCACCAAGACAACTTCAACACAGCTGACTTGGGTCGATCTGTCCAGAATGAAGCTAAGCTGATGGTCATACCTCACAGAAATGCAGTCCTCAGGACCCTGGTGGTGGTGGGTTGTGGGTGGGGAAATAAATAACTGGTGTAAGTGAAAAAGCTGCCCCTTTGAGCTTTGTATTTCAGGGGGTGAGGGTAAAGGGAGTCAAGCCCAGGTGCCAAGTGCAGACCCCTCCAGACTTTTACCAGGAAACAGCCTTCCACATCTCCTCAGTCCCCTTCCTAGCTGGCAGATGTCCTTGAACCGGAATGGAGAGTTAGGAGGCCTCCAGCTTTTGCGTGGCTGGAATGCAGCCTGTTGCACAAAGGTGAGAATCACACCTGTTGCTCTGTCCAATTTTTGCCTCGGGCCGCACCAGGCTGCCCCACAAAGACTGAAAAAGCTTCTCCCCCCCTCATCCTAGCAGGGAACATCCCCTTCCTAAGATCACTGCGTCCAGAGAAAGCTCTTGGGTCGTGGTCACCGACCTGAGTCACATAACTTAGGGTTTCAATAGCCATTTCGTCGTTGGTTCAACGCCAAGTCCAGAAGGGAGTGAAGCAGCCGGCATGGGTGGAGGGGGTGGGGGAGAGGAAGGCAAGCGTCAGTAGTAACTCCCCGTCTCCTGCCAGCTTGTGACCCACTGCTTCTTGTGCCTCGGAGCCAGGAAGCCGCCAGCCGGCTGGTAGCGCTCCTCCTGCCGGATCCGGATGGCGTGGTATTTGGGCATGATTCGGTAGTAGCGGGTCCGCTTGAAAAAGTTGCACTGCGCAGGGAGAGGAGGGGAAAAGAGACGCATTAGTGGCGGGACATGTTGACCGAAGTTGGGAATTTGAGCAAAGGGACGCTATGGAGAATAGAGGCAAGGCGAGAGAGAGGAAGAGGGGAGGTAGCGGAGAAGGCCGGTTCATTGGACCAGTTTCCTGTGGTGGCTGAAAGGCTGAAAAGGCACGAAATCGGTTCCAAAACGGAGAAACTAGGGTTGTGTACACACTCTACTCTGCCTCCAGTGGTTTGGGAAGTCGTGTGCACACAGTATTCACCACAACCTGTTTCTATTTTGTCGGTTCTTATAAAAGGTTGCATTTTGATGTGTCCCTCTGCCCCCAAACCAAACCTCTGCCCCAAACCATAGCTGTCAACTTTTCCCTTTTTTAAAGGGAAATTCCCTTATTCCGAATAGGATTCCTTGCAAGAAAAGGGAAAAGTTGACAGCTATGCCCCAAACATGGGTGGTGCTGTGGTCTAAACCGCTGAGCCTCTTGGGCTTGCCGATCAGAAGGTCGGCGGTTTGAATCCCCGCAACGGGGTGAGCTCCCATTGCTCTGTCCCAGCTCCTGCCAACCTAGCAGTTCAAAAGCACATCAGTGCAAGTAGATAGATAGGTACCGCTGTGGTGGGAAGGTAAATGGCGTTTCCGTGCACTCTGGTTTCTGTCACAGTGATCTGTTGCGCCAGAAGCGGTTTAGTCATGCTGTCATGACCCGGAAAGCTGTCTGCAGACAAACGCTGGCTCCCTCTGGCTGAAAGTGAGATGAGCACCACAACCCCATAGTCGCCTTTGACTGGACTTAACAGTCCAGGCGTCGTTTACCCTTTTTTACCTCTAAACCAGCTTCAATCAAAATTGAGAAAAAGAATGACCTCATTATCCTCTCTCATGTGTTGGGAGTAGTTGTCTGCCATAGACGGCCCTAAGGTAAGACTATTTTTGCAGCTTGGGGAGGAAAAGGCGGCAGTGACGTGGCCCGCCATGTTGTTTTCTGAGTGAGAGCCAACAAAATGGCAACTTGGCAACCAAGAGGTTGGTTCAAAATTGGTTTGGAACTTGGTCGGCTCGAAACTTGGTTCAAAGTTTTGCTAATTCTTTTTTATGTTGTCCTTCAGTGGTGGTATGGCGAAGGCACAATGAATTAAATGGTTTAACACTGGGATTGGCCACTGATCTTTGACATCTGCCAGGATTCTGTAACAAAACTGTGTGTGCACGTAGCAACTCAAAATATGTGAGGGTGAGCTGCCAATCTGGGTATATATTAGAGCACGGTTTCCCAAACTTGGGTCTCCAGCTTTTTCTGGACTACAATTCCCATCATCCATGACCACTGGTCCTGCTAGCTAGGGATGATGGGAGTTGTAGTCCAAAAACAGCTAGAGACCGAAGCTTGGGGAAACCCTGTATTAGAGCGTTCGCTAGACTGACTCCTGTATCAAAGTCAACCCCCGCCAGTGTCGCCAACTCAGCACCACCTCAGAACGGTCACTTGGAATGAATGGCCCAGTGAACAGAAAGAAGATTGAGAGTAAAGAGAGAGAAAGAGGAAAGTCCCTTGTCAGAGTGAGGAGGTGCCACCTCAGAAGCCACCTGAAACATAGGTGGTTCTTAAAGCCTAGGAAAAGAAACACATTTGGGTTAGTGAGACGGACAGGTAAAACAAAGAGGCCAACAGACATGACACCTGGAGACACCTGGGGGAGAGCATTAAGCGCAATGTGTGAGGAACATGCCTTGAAGACAACTAAGAGAGGGAGGGCCTGCAATGCCTGGTGCTAACTGGTGTTGAGAGGGCTGGTTTTGGAAATCTGGACACCTCAGATGTTGGATGCTGAGAGAAATGTCCAGAGAAGGGCTGAGGCCAGATGTGCTTCTCGGCCACCTGCAAATCCAGGCTCTTATCTCAGGGTCCTTGGCTTCGATAGTCAGAGTTGGGAGGTGGGAAAGGAACAGGCAGAATTCTCTGCCCCATAGACAACAAGGGTAGGCTCTTGGTTTTCCTACTGGGCACAGCCAATCCAGGGGCTTTGTACTACCTCCCAATCGCAAGGCTCCGTGTTGCACACCTGCATTTCCTCCTGCGCTGAAAGAGGGCTCTGAAGTATGAGCACCCATAGTAGCTCATTAGAGTAGAGCCAAGGCGTAGGGCCCAGTCACACAGGAGAGTCATAATCAGATTTTCTTTTTTAAAAAAAAAAGTTTTTAAAAGCGGCAGGGGCACCTCTGAATTTGATCAGAGCAGCAGAGGTGTGTGGGGGTTGCTTAACCATTCCTCCCCATACAGGGGCATAGTGTAGTGGGTGGCCAAGGGGGCTGTAGCCCCAGGCACACAATTTTGAAGGGGTGCGAACCAGGCACCCATCCTGCCCAGACACATCGGAGGGGTTGCTGTTCTCAGCTCCCCATTCTTCCCTGCCAACCGCCGGAGGTCTCTGGGCCCCAGCTTGGCCTGGCTGCTAGGTGCACTCCCCAGACTGTGAGCAAGAGTGGATGGAGAGAGATGGGCAAGGGATTCACCTGGCAAAGGCCACTTCGGCCAACTGGGCTCCCCCCTGTGCAGGTGGGCAGGAGGTTCAGCACTGCCCCACTTGCCCCCAGGTGGGGAGTGGCTAAGAATACCGATTATTGTGGTTATTAGTTGTGCTCTGTGAGTGGAGCAGACGTAAGTTAGTCCTGTCCGTTCGTTTAAATGGGCCAGCGCTTAGACCCATATACAGTCAAACTTCGGTTGTCAAACGTAATCCATTCAGGAAGCCTGTTCGACTTCCGAAACGTTCAACAACCGAGGCGCGGCTTCCGATTGGTCGCAAGAGCTTCCTGCACTCAAGCAGAAGCCATGCCAATGTTCAGGTTCCGAAAAATGTTTGAAAACCGGAGCATTTACTTCCGGGTTTTCGCCGTTCAGGAGCCAAAACGTTCGAAAACGGTGCCGTTCGCGAACCGAGGTTTGACTGTACAGAGGTACCTCGGGTTAAGTACTTAATTCGTTCTGGAGGTCCGTTCTTAACCTGAAACTGTTCTTAACCTGAAGCACCACTTTAGCTAATGGGGCCTCCCGCTGCCGCCATGCCACCAGAACACGATTTCTGTTCTCATCCTGAAGCAAAGTTCTTAACCCGAGGTACTTTTTCTGGGTTAGCGGAGTCTGTAACCTGAAGCGTATGTAACCTGAAGCGTATGAAACCCGAGGTACCACTGTAACTCAAACAGTATAAAGTCCAATTTCCCTGAACCAGCACTGGGGCAGAGCTCTCAACACCAGGGTCTTATGGGAAGGATTAAGAAGTGGAGAGGTTGACAGAGACAGTGAACAGGAGGAGTAGACCTGCTGCAAGAGCTTGATTTACCAAGAGACAGGGCAAAGGGGTGGGCAGTTTCCCCTCCCCCTGAGACAGGAGCTAGTAGCTGTCGGTCAGCCGCTTAGTTTCAGATGGCTGGATCTTCATCATGGCTTTCTGGCCTTTGGCCTCGTACATGGCTCGTGTGCTTGCCCGCCGGAAGAAGCCGCACTATGAGGAAGCAGGGGGTCAGAGGTCAAGCACAACAAGGAAACAATGTGCAATGGGTTGGGGAGACAACCAGCTCATGCGTTCCAGCCCCTTTGTTGCAAAGGATATAACTTTCAACATGCAGATGGGATTGGTCTCCTTTTATTGCCAGGCGCCAGGAGTGATAGTTTTGGGGGTTGCCAAATGCACACAATCTGGGGCTGCTGTGGGCTCCTCCGCAAGGCTACAATTCCAAGGCAAAAAATACCAAGCAGAATTGATAAGAAGTGAGCCGACACCACTGAGAAAATGGCGAATCTGGTGCCGCAAGGATGCCACACGCAGTGGTCAAAACTTCAAGCGTGCCCTTGCATTCACCTGCACAGAACCAAAGGTCAACTTCCATGCTACCCTCTTAAGAAAGCTGCAGGTATATTCACGACCCATCTTGCCTGTAGTGATCTTCCGGAGGAGAGCTTTCCACAGCAGCCAATACAGGCAACCACAGTTGGAGAGCACTTACAGGATTCACTTTCTATATTCTGAGCATCTTGGATGCTGAATTTGCAGCACACAAAGATATTAAGCAATAGGGAGGAGCAGGAAAACATCCTCTCGGGCGGTGGTTATTTTCCTGTGTTCAGTTGTCACTAGAGTAAATGAGATGCTTTTTGCCACTTCAGCTGGGCTGGTGAAACTCCCCACTTGAATATGGCCAGTTATTTCTGGGAGTTGGAATGCAACACAGAACTAGTGGAGACTTAGCTTTGGAAGTGCTCTGCAAGCCATGACTGCCTCCACATTTTTAATCTGCATTTGGTACTCTAGGAACAGGAGGTATGAATCCTTTCCCGCCCCTTTCTGGGAACCAATACAAGCAGAGGGAGGCTTGAAAACACACATTCCCTCAATGACAAGGTAATGGTTGGAGTTGCTCTGGAAAAACGGGCCAATTTAGGCTTGCGCCCCGGGAAGGTCACTTTGGTACTGCTAACGCAGCAGTTTGACTTCACCCCTGGAGGTGCACTCCATTGTCTCTTGAGACAGACAGATGCCAACAACTAAGGGATTTCTGAAAAGGGTCAGGCACACAGGCAGTACGCAGCATGCTCCAAGCAACAACAAAGTAAACTGCTTAAGAACAAGTTCAGATTCCCGCTGGACATGTAAAGAAAAAGACGGTACCTATTATCATATGTGGTGGGAGTGTAAAATAATTTAAAAATTCTGGGAGATGATATATAATGAAATGAAAAAAAATATTTAAAATAACTTTTGTTAAAAAACCAGAAGCCTTCTTATTAGGAATTACAGGTACCGAGATACCAAAGGACCAAAAAAGACTGTTTATGTACGCAACAACAGCCGCATGGATGCTATTAGCCCAGAGATGGAAGGAAGAAACAACCCCGACCAGAGAAGAAGAGGACAAGAACTTTTAAAAAAATGGGGAAAGTTTACAATCTATTTACAAGACCATTGTAAGCAGGTTAAAACATTAGCAGGATTTTAACCACACTTGCAAACTAACGAAAGTATGGATAATTTGGAAGGATAAAACTTGGATACTATTGATATGCAGTTGTAAATTTTACCACTAGGACCCATGGAAGGGATGGGGGAAGTCAAGATATTCAGAGCAATCTTGGTATTCGGATCTTGAATTGTTTTTTTGTTGTATGTTTATATTTTTAAAAATCATATAATAATAATAATTTATTATTTGTACCCCGCCCATCTGGCTGGGTTTCCCCAGCCACTCTGGGCGGCTTCCATAGAAACAAAAAATACAGTAAAATATCACAGATTCCAGCTTCCCTGAACAGGCCTGCACTTAAGATGCTAAATGTCAGGTAGTTATTTATCGCTTTGACATCTGATGGGAGGGCGTTCCACAGAGTGAGGCGCCACCGAAAGGCCCTCTGCCTGGTTCCACACCAGCTTTGCTTCTCGCAATGGGGAACCGTGAAGGCCCTCGGTGCTGGACCTCAGCGTCCGGGCAGAATGATCGACGCTCCTTCAGGTTATACTGGGCCGAGGCTGTTTAGGGCTTTAAAGGTCAACACCAACACTTTGGTTAACAGGAAACGTACACGAGGCCAGTGTAGGTCTTTAAGACCGGTGTGCATCTGGCTCTCGCTGGCCGCCCCAGTCACCAGTCTAGCTGCATTCTGGATTGAGTGCTTAGTTTCCGGGTCACCTTCAAAGGTAGCCACGTAGAAGTGTTACAGTAGTCCAGCAGAGATGCTAGAGCATACCACTCTGGCGAGACAGTCCACGGGCAGGTAGGGTCTCAGCTGCATTGCCAGGTGGAGTTGGTAGACTGCTTCTCCCTGAATGGGATTGACCTGCCTCTCCATGGACCTTCGCCTAGTCCAAGCCAGCTCCCAGGCTACGCACCCTGGTCCTTCAGGGCACAGTTACTATTCAGGACAGAGTCCTCCACATCAGCCCGCCCCTGTCCCCAAAAACCAATGCTTCTGTCTTGTCAGGTTCAACTGTTCATTAGCATCATCCATCCCTCCAACCGCCTCCAGGCACTCCACACAGGATTCCACCGCCTTCACACTGGTTCTGGTTGAAAGAGGAATTAGGCTGGGTATCTCTGCATATTGATGGACACCCAGTCCAAATCCCCCCTGATGATCTCTCCCAGCGGCTTCATTACTAGATGTTAAAAGCATGGGAGAGGGCCAGACCCTAGAGCACCACAGAGTGAGGGCCGGAGATTCTGAACCTCCATCCCCACACCACCACTTTCTGAACCACGTTAGGAGGAAGGAGGCGAAACCACTGCAGCAGTGCCCCCAGCTCCAGCCTCTGGGCGATTCCAGGATGTGTCAGTGCTGCTCAGCCTTCAGAGATCAGCAGAACCAGAAACAACTCTCACCTTGTCCCTAGCTCGCGGAGATCATCAGCCAGCGTGACCAGACAGTTTCCAGTCCCATGGTGAGGCCTGAATCCCGATTGGAAGGGATCAAATCTATCTATACTCCAGTGGTACCTCCAGGTTAGTGCCAACCTGAAACTGTTCTTAACCTGAAGCACCACTTTAGCTAATGGGGCCTCCTGCTGCCGCCGCGCCGCCGGAGCCCGATTTCTGTTCTCATCCTGAAGCAAAGTTCTTAACCTGAAGCCCTATTCTGGGTTAGTGGAGTCTGTAACCTGAAGCGTATGTAACCTGAAGCGTATGTAACCTGAGGTACCACTGTATCTATCGATCTATCTATCATCTATCTGTTATCTATCTATCTATATCTATCGCTCAATGAGTTGGTGAAGGACCGACCATAATACAGATGACTATTGTTATCATCTTATCCTGAGGTATGCACCAAAGGACCCCAAATACTCAGCTGATGCCTTGGTTAATCAGGTTCTAAATATAGTTTCCTTCCAGTCCAACCGGTTTCTCTATGGTGACAAAAACGGCTAAAGCAAGCATCCCACAGATACACTGAGCTGCTTGGCTGTTCTCCAATATTAACTGCACAAGCTAAATGCAAACACCCAAGTCAGAGCAGATTACATCACTTCTGGATAAAGCTGGGGCAGGAAGCAGTTAACTTCCTGCCTGGTCCATTTCAAACTGGCTTGGCTAGTTTGTTTGTTTTTTTTGTGACGGCTGAATGCCTGAACATTTTGTTCTCCAGCGAGGCCAGCCCGCCTATAGCATATTTATATCAGCCCTGAAAATACTGCTAAGGCATTTGAGCTTGCCACAGAAAATTGTGTGGGTTGCTGCGTGTTTTCTTCTCTTTTGTGCGGCCCGGGTTGGCTTTGCAGAAGCAGTTTTGAGAGTGTCTCTCTACAAATATGGGGGCCAAGAGAGAGGAAAGGAAGGAGCTGCTGTTTCTAGCCTGTCACCCCTTGCTCCCCAATTTCAAAAAAACCCTCCTCTTCTCACCTTCCACAGCAGTAAGACGATGACGCCCAAAAGCAGAAGTCCGGCTGCTACGGCAACCAACACCAGCCAGAGCTCAATCTCGGTTGGTTGCTCCTCGATCAGCTCAGAGTCGATGGTCACTGAGAACTGAAGGAAGGGGGGAAAAGGGGAGAGATGGGTTTGCCTCAAGGGAGGAAGGGCAGAATGGAAGGGACACTGACTCAGCGCTGAATTTTTCAACTTTCAACTTCCCCAAACAAGGGGTGTAACATGACTTGGGAATTCGAAAGGTATTTTGGTTTAAATGAGTATAATTTACTTTTGCTTGGTAAATAAAATGTGTGTCAAGCTGCACAGAAATCATTAAAAATGAGTTCCAAGTACAGTGGTACCTCGGGATAAGAACTTAATTCGTTCTGAAGGTCTGTTCTTAACCTGAAACTGTTCTTAACCTGAGGTACCACTTTAGCTAATGGGGCCTCCTGCTGCTGCTGCCACGTGATTTCTGTTCTTATCCTGAAGCAAAGTTCTTAACCCGAGGTACTATTTCTGGGTTAGCGGAGTCTGTAACCTGAAGCGTCTGTACCTGAAGCGTCTGTAACCTGAGGTACCATTGTACTTGCAGTTATATGATGTACTGATATTATTATTTATTACTGTACAGTGGTACCTCAGGTTAAGTACTTAATTCATTCTGAATGTCCGTTCTTAACCTGAAACTGTTCTTAACCTGAAGCACCACTTTAGCTAATGGGGCCTCCTGTTGCTGCTGCCACGCGATTTCTGTTCTTATCCTGAAGCAAAGTTCTTAACTCGAGGTACTATTTCTGGGTTAGCGGAGTCTGTAGCCTGAAGCATATGTAACCTGAAACGTATGTAACCTGAGGTACCACTGTACTGTTATTATTTAGCATCACCTGAATTGTCAGAAGGGGAAATTCATTAGTTTTCCCGAGAGCAGTTCACGTGCTCCTTCATCAAATGTTGATTTACCAAGCTGATTGTTGCCCAGTCATAAAAACAATGGCAGATTTGAATTCCTCACGCCCAAAAATATTTTTTAAGGTTCCCATCCCCACTGAAGAAATGTGCAAAAATTAAGTTTCACCCCCTAAAACCTCATCGACCTGGTGTGTGAAGATCAACGTGGCCACACCTGAGGTAGAAAGTGGGGTTCAAATGCTCCCAGCTCAGGCCTCGTATTCTCATCTCGGTAAATTAATTCATCAACATTGGGAAAAACATCCCATGCCTAGGCCTGAGTTTACAGATGCGGATGTGAGGGCAGCTTTGCTTTGAAAATGAATCAATTTCATTTGAATTAACAAAGCTGCTGCTCAAGAACTAACGGAGTTCGCTAATTATGGGAGTTTAACTGGGAGAGAAAAAGGAATGGTGACTGGGAGGCCTTCCATTGGGATTGGTAGTTGGACCTCAGGACTTTCTGAAGTTTCCTCAGCCAACAAATCCAGTTTCACTCACCCACACAGTGTCGTTTTTCATGTTGATGGTGGAGGAGTTTGTCCTGAGAAACAGCGTGGCTTTTCCATCCACCTTCACGCGGTCAAAGTTGTTGTAGTCCTACATTTCCATGGGGGGTGGATAGGAAAGAGAGAGCATATCAAAAAGCAGCAACATAAACTCTTTTTCCAATGTACTCCCACCCACTGAACACAGGAAGATGCCTTCGAATGAGAGACCATTTCACTGAACATCCTGATTTGCTGACAAACAGCTTACTTGGAGGTTAGATTACATTCTGCCTTTATTGAGAAATTTGTTTCGGTTTGTTTACAGGGCAGTTATACGGCAACAAGCATCCATCTTGCATTCAACCCGATTTGCTTTTATGACTCTTCCCATCCCATCATTCGTTCATCCCAGTCACTTTCCAAGCCACAAGTCTCAGTTTGTGTGTTTTTTCATAGTGGGTTTGTTGTACTAGGGAGAAGGGTGCCTTTTCACCCACTTTAAATTATGTAAATTGGACATTCTGGAATTTCCAGAACTGTCAGGGACCATGTTGAGGAGGGCTGCACTGAGGAAGAATGGTGGGAGCCTCCCCCTCTCCTGATCCTGAATCTTCCCAGGAGCAGGAGGACAGTATAGATTTGGAACAGTGGTTTGCAGAGGGACATAGTTCAGAAGACAGAAGCTGGGAAATACTGGATGGGGAACAGCTAGGAGAAGAAAGACTAAGAGAGAGAGAGTTAACAGATTCAGAGTCTCTGGACAGAATCCACCCGCCTCCCCCAAACTCCCGGAGAGCTCAGAAAGTGGCAGAACAGAAAGCGCAGAGGCTACAAACTCAGATTACAAAACATAGAAGTGACGTAGATTAATAGGGATGGGGGCGAGTGTAATCCTTAATTGGGAGCACTGCCATTTCTAGGAGATGGGTTCTTTGTTCTCTTGCTGTGATTATTAAAGATTCTGACTGGTAAGACGTTCCTTCCATTTGATCTCTTATCAACTGCCACGGGGGAAGGAAGCTGATTCCCCGAAGCCTGACAAGAACATTCCCTCTCTCGTTAACCAGAGAAAATCCTTGCGAGGGGACAGAACGAGCGTCTACCTCGATGAACGTGCTGTTCCAGACCCGGGCACGAACCATCACGTTTGTCACATCTGCAGCATCCCACAAGGGGCACTCAAACCAGATACAGCGACATGTTCCTTTGGAACAGCTCTGGAAACAAAGGAAGGGGGGGATAATAATAATATAATAATAATAATAATAATAATAATAATAATAATAATAATAATAATTTTTTATTTGTACCCCGACCTTCCCGGTTCAAAAACCAGGCTCAGGGTGGCTAACAACAAATTTTAAACAATTATAAAAGCAGCATAAAATACAGTATAAAAACACGAATAACAATAAAATTCAAAAATCAAAAATCCATTTAGGGGAAATAAGCATTAGATAACCCCCAGGGCTAGCTGGCTGAATTAGTCCTACTTGGGCCAGCGAGGAGGCCGGGGAGAATTAGCTGTGGGGTCTCAGAGCGGGTGATCTTCATAAAAGGGGAGGGAAAGGGAAGAGATCAGGCTGAATTCAAATTAAAGGCCAGGCGGAATAGCTCTGTCTTACAGGCCCGACGAAAGGAGGTTAAATCCTGAAGGACCCTAGTTGCATGGGACAGAACATTCCACCAGGTTGGAGCCATCACCGAAAAGGCCCTGGCCCTGGTGGAGGATAGTCTGACTTCCTTAGGGCCCAGGACCTCTAAACTATGGTTATTCATGGACCTTAAGGTCCTCAGCGGGGCATATCAGGAGAGGCGTTTCCATAGATACGAGGGCCCAGCCGAGTGTCTGGATATTTCAGACAGGTGACAATCCCAGCCCGACCAGGAGATGACAGTGGGGATTGGACCCGGGAACATTACCATTGAGCTACAGCCCAGGAATACTACAAGTCACTCCACACCACCAGGGACACTTCTGTACATCTCTCTTAGGTCCCCCCACCTTTCTTCCTAAACCAAATGCAGTAGCTCAGCTGATAGAGGTTGAGACTCTTAATCTCAGGGTCACCCCAGGGTCAGGGGTGTGAGCCTTACATTGGGGGAAAGATTCCTGCATTGCAGGGGGTTGGACTAGATGACTCTCGTGTTCCTTTCCAACTCTACAATTCTATGTGAAGTGTAGGGGGGTTCCCACAAGGCAAGACACAGAGATAACAGCAAGAACCTTTATTGAACTAACAGAACTGGACAACAGGGGCAAAGCAACTGCTTATATACATTCTTGAAGGCCTGGGCCACTCCCACTCCCAATATGATTGGCTGTCTAAACTTCCAAGCTGCGAATCATGACTCAGAGTTTAAGGGCCAATGGCAGAGGCCCAAATTCTGAAATGTTCTGTGATTGGATATCATGTATCGAATCAGAACACAGGGGCTCAGAATCCTTAGTCCAGACTCAAGCTCAGGCAAACACAGGCCCCACAGAATACATAACACTATGATTCTATGATCTGGAGGTATGGTGCAGGAATAAATGGCCGGTTATTAATTTGGAGGCCTTCACATGGGTACAATCTGAAACATTTGCATGTTTTCCCCAGTTGCCCTATAGGACACGGGGATATAGTCCAATTGAAGATTGTATCTGAAAATAGTCCAGAGGTGAAAAGGGTGCCCAGATCCCTAGAACTACTATGCTATTTCCTGCCTGAAAAAATGTACCACTCCCATTCAACCACTCACTGGCTAGGTTTGGATGGTCATAACTTGATTTAATAAGCTCTGATCTGACAAAGATTTGTGCCCGTGGATGCAGCTGACTCACCCCTCCCTTCATGCTGGCTGAGCAAACAAACCAAGAAGTCTTCAGCTAACCATGGTTTCTTGTATCGCCCAAATGAGGAAACAATGGTTAATGGCTCCAGAATATGAAGGCTTGTTTCTGAAGCTGTTTAACCATAGTTCCCAGCTTGGGACATACCTGCTCCTGAAAAGCCCTCCTGAACAGAAGTGGAAAAGACACAAGATGGCCAATATGCTCACCAGTAACGTTTCTGACTTGGCTTTTTTGGAAGCTGGCAAGGTGACGGGAAGCTCACGCTTCGGAGATGTTTGCAGATCGCGCTTCCTCCGTGCTGAGGTCCTGCTCCAGTCGTGTAGCTGGGAAAGGAGAAGAACTGGTCAGCTTTCTCTTCCTGAAAAAGCATGTGCTCAAGAAGACTATCCTCTCCTGTTGCACCAGTGCGACACACAACACCACTTGAGAACCACTGGTATAGCTAGTAAAGGTAAAGGATCCCTGGATGGTTAAGTCCAGTCGAAGGTGACTATGGGATTGCAGCGCTCATCTCACTTTCAGGCCAAGGGAGCTGGCGTTTGTCCACAGACAGCTTTCCTGGGCATGTGGCCAGCATGACTAAACTGGTTCTGGCACAACGGAACACTGTGACGTAAATCAGAGCTCACGGAAATGCCGTTTACCTTCCCGCCACAGCAGTACCTATTTATCTACTTGCACTAGTGTGCTTTAGAACTGCTAGGTTGGCAGGAGCTGGGACAGAGCAAAGGGAGTTCACCCCATCGCAGGGATTCGAACCGCCGACCCTCAAATCAGCAAGCCCAAGAGGCTCAGTGGTTTAGACCACAGCGCCACCTGCATCCCAGGTATAGCTAGTAGAAGTAGCTACATACACTACATGGTGGCAGGCCAAGGTGGAAGGTGTAGCCCATTGAAAAGGGTACAAAGAAAAAGGAGTAAATGGAGAGAGAGAGAGAGAGAGAGAGAGAGAGAGAGAATGCAAAAGGGAGAAAGGGCTCGCGCTAGAGATCAGACTCACTGTGAGGTTGCGGTTGTTGATGACTTCCCCGGGGGGTACACAGAGCCGACTCTCGTTCCCACTCCTTTTCACCAGGATCTGAGTTGGGTACAGCAGCCATTTCCCGTTGCTGGCCTCATAAGGCCATTCAAAGCCTAGCGTGATTGTTCCCGAGGATCCTAAAGACTCGCCTTTCGTGGTCACCTGAAAGACACGGGCCAGGGGACAAGATGAAGCCCCTTTTCAACCTCTGGTTGTGGTAGAAACAGTACAAAGAAGGACAACTCAAGGTGCAGCAGAGCAGAGGTCGCCCTGAAGAAAACCCTAGGCAAATGTGTGGGGGCAGGACAGGAGTTTATAAAACACACTCGGTGTCAAGATTATTCAGTTTCATCCTGTACTCTCAGAAATGGATAGAAGGAGAAGTATCAACCAAGGAGGTAATTTTCAAAAGTGAATGGACTATCTGGAAATGGCAAAACTGACAGCCAAAATAAGAGATAAAAGAGACACACATATTTGGGAAGACAAAGTGTAATAAATCAGTGCCAATACAACAGTTTCAAAAATCAAGGTCAAGGTATAAGAGCATATAGGAATTTGCCTTATACTGAGTTGGTGAATCCAGTTCAGTCCAGGCTGACTGGCAACCATTCTCCAGGTTTTCAGACTGAGGTCTATCCTATCCCTACCTGGAGATGTCAAGGATTATTATTATTTTATTACTATTTATTAAATTTATATACCACCCTATATAGGTCGCAGGGCAGTTCACAGAACCTGCATGCAGGACTGATTCTCAACCACTGATCTATTGCCCTTCCTCAGAGTATCTTGGAAGAACCAGATTTGGGAGGAAATGTCAAGAATCCATTTCAACCAAGCAGTTTACCCTTCTGTTTCAGGCACAAATAGGAAGGGAAAGAGATCTTTTCAAATATTTGGCTTAACATTTTGCAGTGGGAGAAATAAGCAGACACACATGCCCTTCAGGAACCCTCTATCTTGTGCTTGTACTCTCAACTCTACAAATTAACAAATCGCATTGGGATGGATTCAATCCTAGACTGTGTCTTAGTTACTTTCTAGACAAGGGATCAATGACCCTGTATGGAATCCAGCTCAAGTAAGCAAGCCCATGTGGGTTTTTAACCATCAAGAGACTCAGAAGCAGTTCTGGGATACCTCAGTTGGTAGAACATGAGATTCCAGGACTAGATGATCCTTGTGGTCCCTTCCAACTTTATGAGTCTATGCTTCAATTTTTAAGAGTATTAGCCTCACCTCTCAAGGAAGATCCTTACCTGGAAGTCAAATTCAATGGGACTGCCTACGTCTTCCTCATGCTTCATGGCTGACTCGCCCATGACTGTCCCACTGAAATGCGTCTGGAGCCAACGGTTGACTCTGCCACGGAGAGAGGAACACAGTGAGAGGTGAGAAGGATGGAAAAGTTTACAAAGTGAGGAACCGGGCTCTGTTCACAACTTGGATGAGCGGGTCACACTTTCCTAATTTAGTCAACCTACTAGAATTCATTTAGGAAACGTCTGCAATGTAGATTTATACTGCTGTCAGGGCTACTCGACTACCAAATCTGCTAATCGTGGAATCCTGGGAACTCAAGCAACTCCATAAAACAATATGGGAACCATGAGAGTCAAAAGTAGACTCCCAGTACGTTTCTGAGCACAATTCAAAGTGTTGGTGCTGACCTTTAAAGCCCTAAACAGCCTTGGCCCAGTATACCTGAAGGAGCGTCTCCACCCCCATCGTTCAACCCAGACACTGAGGTCTAGCACTGAGGGCGTTCAGGTGGTTCCCTCACTGCAGGGAACCAGGCAGAGGGCCTTCTTGGTAGTGGCACCCGCCCTGTGGAACGCCCTCCCATCAGATGTCAAGGAAATAAACAGCTATCTGACTTTTAGAAGACATCTGAAGACAGCCGTGTTTAGGGAAGTTCTTAATGTTTGATGTTTTATCGTGTTTTTAATATTCTGTTGGGAGCCGCCCAGAGTGGCAGAGGGCCTTATTGGTAGTGGCATCCTCCCTGTGGAACACCCTCCCATCAGATGTCAAGGGAGATGAAGAACTACATAACTTATATATGCATGTGTGTGTGTGTGTGTGTGTCCGAAGTTTGATGGCATGGGTAATCGCGGCAGGCTGGAAGCTACCTGGATTTGTTATGAGGAGGGAGAAGTCTCAGCATAACACACTTCCCGCTTTAGAATCTCATCTTGAGAGGCATTTGTATACAGTCAAACCTTGGTTCCCGAATGCCTCTGTTATTGTACGTTTTGGCTCCTGAACGCCCAAAACCCGGAAGTAACTGCTCCGGTTTTTTAATGATTTTCGGAAACCGAATGTCAGACACGGCTTCCATTTTGAGTTTCCCTATTGTATTGTGGCTTCCGCTTTCAGTTTTCGGTTGTCGAATGTTTCAGAAGTCAAACGGTCTTCCGGAATGGATTACATTCCACAACCAAGGTTTGATTGTATCACTTCTTTTCTAAACCCACGTCAAACATCGCGGTGGATACGCACATGCTCAAGGAAGCATCAATGGTGTAGTCTACCAACAGGACTGCCGACACGGGTGCGAGATCTTCTTGATAGCTGATCCTATGAGAGACAGGACATTGTTCAGAGAGGTCAGTCGGAGCCTCTCAGATGGGATGCTTAACAGTCAACAAATACAGCGCCCCTTCCCTCCTCAGTAGAGTCACACGAGAAGCCCCAGGCCATGTGGGGTGAGTCCACACAGAGGTCCCTCCCCACGCCAGTCCTTCTAGGGTTGGCCCAAGACTTTGCAGCACCTGAGGCAAACCACAAAATGGCGTCCTACTCACCAGGGAAGAAGGATTGAGTGAAGAGCTACATTGGGAACAAGTTGGGGAATCAACTCAACCTTGCCAGATGTTTGGAGTGGAACTCAAAGGTTGTTGCAGGGAAAGGGACCTACCCTGAATCATGTCAGGTGGGTGCAGACCCTAGGAGACCCCAGAGGACACCCCCTGCCATTTAGGAGAAGACTGGAAGCACCTCCTATTCTCCAAGAATCTGCTGTATTTTGGGGGTTGCCGAGGAGGTGACAGATCCAGCCTCCAAGGAGTGCACCAAAGCCGTCGCTGCCACCACAGCAATGGAGCAACAGTGAGCGACGCGTTCCTTGTGTGGCTTATGTGGATTTTGCTGCCCAAGGCGGTCACCTCACCTTGCCACATGGGTGGACTGGCCCTGCAGCCCTTCAGTCAATACTCAAGTAAAAGGTAAAGGTGAAGGTAAAGGACCCCTGGACAGTTAAGTCCAGTCAAAGGCAACTATGGGGTTGTGGCACTCATCTCGCTTTCAGGCCGAGGGAGCCGGCGTTTGTCCACAGACAGCTTTCTGGGTCATGTGGCCAGCATAACTAAACCACTTCTGGCGCAACGGAACACCGTGACGGAAACCAGAGCTCACGGAAACGCCATTTACCTTCCCACCACAGTGGTACCTATTTATCTACTTGCACTGGCGTGCTTTCGAACTGCTATACCCAAGTACACTAGTACTGACTGGGCATCCTGATGCACGTTCCCATTTCCAACCACAACTATTTAGCCCCAGGGAGAAGACTCACGTGGAAGGCTCCACCTGCACGGTGACATCTTGAGTATTTAGAGTAACTCCAGTAACTTCAAACGTGATAGTCAGCTCTGCCTGGAAAGGAGGCAAGAGTGCACAAGCTGGTTACCCAGCATGCTTTGCTGCAGGTTGCAGAAGAAAATCAGAAGAACCAGCATTTCAGCTACTGGTCAAATAAGGGGATATAAACCTAACACTGCAGCAGCAACACCCTACATATGGAACTCCCTCTTAGTAGATATTCATTTATCTCCCCCCACCCCGCCCTCAGCAGCACTCTTTAAATATAAAAGGAAAATGTTTTTATTTTACCCATTGTGTGGTATAGTACTCTGTTACCACTGATGGGTGATACTTTGATGGGATTTGATAGGTTTTTAACTATGGATTTTTGACTTGCTTTTTTTATCAGCTGGGTAAGGTGCAAAAATGTTGCATGAACAAACAGAAACCATTCCTTTTAAAAAAACCAAACATAAATAAATAAGAATAAAAATGTGCACCCCACCACTGAGACCATTCCATTGTAAGTATCCAACCTCCCAAAATTTCAACACCTCTTGCGATGGTTTGAGCCCTTTCCGTTTTAGCAGTACAAATTCTACAAACACCTTCCATATCTCCTCAAAATTGTTTCTTCTGCATATTCCCCGTCTACGAAGATCATTCCTGAGGAATAATTACATGTGATCTGACTCTGGCACCATATGTCTGCCCTCCCTCAATGGCACACTGGGGCTGCGCTCACACAATACACACCCCTCCCGCCAAGATTCCTGTTTACCCCAGAAAATATGAACACCCACACCATACATTGAGAAAACATTGAACACCTATTTAGAGCACAGGGCTTCCCACTCAAAGGATTCTAGGAAACATAGTTTACCCCTCACAGAACTATGATTCCCCAGCCCCCTTAGCAAACCACAGTTCCTGGGATTCTCTGTGTGGGCGAGAGAGCGCTTTAAATGTGAATGCAGGCCGGTAGCAGGTCAAAGGTTCCAGTGCTTTGTTATTTCCAAGTCCCAAGGGTCACTAAGGGGGCCAAGGCCTGAACACATCTTTTGTGCTGGATGAGATGTCACAGTTCGGCTCTCCCACCTCGGAAGCCTTGCCTTTCTGGAGCACCTGGACCCAAAACAACTCACCCGCTGGTCCATTTTGAAAGGGTTGCCAAGCTCACATATCACCGTCTCCTCGAACCTGCAGGCGCCGCTCTGAAGAAAGAAAAAGCCACCTTGCTGAATATTGCCTTATTTCGTCGGCATTTCGACGCTTCTGTACAAAAGCAGACTCGATGTGGTGCAGCAAATGTTGCTCTCAGACAGGGGCAACTTCCACCAGCCCCATTGTCAGGAGTCCATTTCCCAGCTTGATAACACAGTGAGCGTAGTTAATTAAAAAGGATGCTTTATTGTCAAAACAAACAGCCCCAGACGGCTTTAACACAGCCTCCGCCATCATCAATCAAGATGACCCTTCTGAAGACTGCTTCCGGCATGACCAGAAGAAACTGAACTTTCGCTTCATACGTCTTTTGTTTTCCTTCCTATCTTGCAGCCCTCCCATTCAGCAAGACCTTGGACTCAGTGGGTCAGCACCCGCCTCTTCCCCATTCTCTGAGAGGCTGTTTCTTTCCTGCCTGTTTGTTCTTCCTGAGAGCTTTGAATGCGTTCTAGCCTGCTCTCAGCCATTCCCTTATCAGCTGGCATTCCAAGGGATGGTGGAGTTGGCACTAGCCGATGCTCATCCTGCATGGCTGTTAACCCTCTCTGTTCCTGGCTGCTTTCTTCAGCTGGCTGCAACCTTTCTGTGGTAGCTGGCTGCAAACCATCCCTGGAAGCTGGCTCATTCATGACACCCATCAAGCCATGGCCAAGGATGATGGGGAAGTGTATGAGAGGTCCAAGGTTTTCCCCACTTACCCCAATCCAAACCCTCCTTCCCAGTCCTTGGATGGCCTTAGCAGGTTGCCAGATGAACCTACCTAACAGCTGAATACTATTATTCTATGCCACTCACCACTGGTCCTGTTAGCTAGGGATGATGGGAGTTGTAGTCCCAAAACATCTGGAGGGCCCAGTTTGCCTATGCCTGTATTAGGGCATCTTTGTATATATTCATATATATATATATATATATATTACTCTTTACAGTGTTTTGTGTACCTTTTCTCTTTTCGAATCACTTTACGTATTGCTTTATAATTGATTTTTTAAGGAAAAATTTTATATATATATATATTCTTATTTTTATATAAAAAGGGGGGGGGGAGTCTCTCACCGGCCGAACAGAGGAAGGCAGCAGAGAGGGCGGGAACGTGATGTTGAGAAAAGCCTCATGAGCATCTTCTCCATTCGTGGGTGACGACGGTATATTTGTGACGCTGATGCCCAGGTTCAGCTTCTTGACATCCCGGCTGTACTGCAACACCTGCATCCCATTCCGCCTGTATCGGGGGAGATGGCACAGATGGGGGGGTGGCCAGAGGCAGAGCAGGGCTGTCCATCCACCCACCTCCTAGTTATCTCTCTGGAGGTGCCAGGGAAAGAAGGTCAGACGTGCAAAGTCTGCGTGCTGCTGCCCCTAGTGGTGAGCCAGTGAGGGTGTAAAGGGAACGTATTTCTCACCTGGGCAACTTCTGGTTCTGGTCATTTAAAAAGACAGCCTTAATCTTCAGGTTGCTGTTGCATTTGTTGTCTGTTCCACATTGCTTCTTGAACTGAATCTGAAAGCAGTAGAGTTGTTGCTATTGTTACAATCTAGTCGATTTTTTAAAATTTCTGTATCAGCAATTATATACCAGTATACCACAGAAAGTATCAAACTAGTACCTATACATACAATAATAATAATCTCTATATAGTGGTACCTTGCTTGTCAAACGGCCTGGCTCCTGAACAAATCGTCTTCCGATCGCCGCATACCCAGAAGTGAGCATTCTGGTTTGCAAACGTTTTTCAGAAGCCAAACATTTGATGCGGCTTACAACTGAGTCCAGGAAGCTCCTGCAGCCAATCAGAAGCCGCGCCTTGGTTTTCGAATGGTTCCGGGAGTCGAACGGACTCCCGGAATGGATTAAGTTTGACAACCAAGGTGCCACTTGTAATACCATAATATTTCGACTTGCTCCATTGCTTTATGTGAACAAGGCACACTGGCATGGTGTGGCTGATCTAACCAGCTGGCGTAAGAGGCTTCCCATGCAGATCTACCACCCTGGGCTGGATCTACAATGATCTGGAAAACGGTATATTAAAAAAAGTAGTCTAGTTCTCAATACAACTTTACATTGATGATCGATCGCTGCTCCACAGCACACTCTGGTGTCACATTTTTATAATGCATTTTAACGTTTTAACTGACCGGTGTAGATTAGTCCCTGGTTGGCTCCCTGGTTCACACATAACACTAAGCCAAACCATCAGTAAGCATGAACAAAGGAGAAGAGCAGGTGTTTGGGGACTGAGAGGAAAAATTGCTGCCCCTGAACTACCCAGAGCTAAGCCGCATCTTGGCTTAACCATTACATCCAAACCTGCAAAAGGTCAACAAAAACTATTTCACAATCTTTAGGTAAGAGTGTTTGTATGTGTGCCACAGAGGTGAGAGGTGCATCAGTGAATGAAACCACCATGTTATTTCAGAGCAAGCCAGCCAGTCTCTCCAAAGCCAGGATTCACCTAGAGCAGTTGTGATGGCCACTCTGACCCCATCAAACATCCAGAGAACTAAGAGCTGCTGGGATGTGTGGGTGGTGTAAATGGGGATATGTTGCAAGCAGGGCTGGATTGAGGTTTGATGAGGCCCTAAGCTACTGAAGGTAGTGGGGCCCTTTCTATGTCCTCTGTCAACAACAAATTGTCGCTGTTTTTTCTGTTGAATATATGCTATATGGTAATTTATGGACCTAATAGGTATCTAAAGCCATTTGCCCATGTTGCCATGCAACCAGTCCATGGAGAATGTGGGCACCCTATATACAGAAAGGAGCAAACCAGTGATATTTTAGGGAGCAGGCTAGCAGGCGGGGCCCATGACTTACATCATAGGAGCCTACACAACACAAAACACTGTTGCTGTATGTAGGTTTTATTTTATTTGTTTTTTATCTTATATTTTGGAAATGTACATCCAGGTTTTTTTCCTTTACATTTTTTGGGGGCTCCCAAGAGAGTGGGGCCCTAAGCTATAGTTTGTTTAGCTTATACATAAATCTGGCGTATAACTTGCAAGCCATCTTGAAGATCAGTCAACTGAATGGCGGGATATCAACCATCCAAACAAAATAAATATTGCGCTGCGAAGGGTCTCCCAAATTTTGGCTGGGCATATTTGACACAAAACACGAGCACATGTCAAAGTCATCACATGACGACTCCACAAAGGCCAGCATCGAAGCAAGCTAGTCCACCTGCATGAGCCCACGCAACTCATTTTTCAGGATGTTATTTTGTTCTGTCTTTAAAATGATGGTGAACAGGCTTTCCCACCAGATGGTGCCAGAGGGCAAACTGAATGCTGGATCTACGAAGGCTGATGATGGGAAACTGGAGACAATTTCTCACAGATATTTGTCTGCGTTTGTACGTATGTGTGTGCATGCACATAACTCACCTTAGCGTGCATGTGTTACCTGTTTGCAAGAGACCCTGACCTGCAGTCGGCTTAAGCTGCTGGAACAAATTTAGGAATATGCACAGACATTCTAACTGATGAGGGGGAAGGAGCCAGCAAAAGGAATGTTGGCAAATAGAACTGGCAAAGCTCACATCAATTATAAGGTATCAGTCAAATTAAAAATTTAAAAGGAATGAAAATGTTTCGAAGATTATATGTTAAAGTATTGTTCTAAGAAAGATATGCTAATATGCTTACAATCAAAATGTAAAGTATATGTGTGAAGTGGAAAAGAAAAGAGATAAAAGAAGGACAAATAACGATATATTTGGAGAATACAAGGATAAATGTGGAGATAGAGATTTAAAGAAGTCGAACTGTGGCGGAGAGAAGCTGCGGGTGGGTGGGGAATACTGTACAAGTGTATTTGTTTTCAATGTTTTTGAACTGTGTTTTTTTTTCTTTGTAAATTTCTTTTTTTCTGCTGATGTTCTGTTTTTGCTGTATTATTTAAATAAATAAATATTTTTTTAAAAAAAGAATGTTGGCAAATATAGCAGCGCCTGCGGCATAACTGAAAGGTCGGTGCAATTAGCAGAACGTGGGGAGATCCTAGGGGCAGAAAGAAGAACAGTATGGGAAAACCGAGCTGTCCCGCCACACTGAGCAATCAGGCAGAAGGCAGAAGGCGGGGGGAGGAGACAAAGAAATTCAACAGCGAATGAGCTTGCGCAAAGCAGGGCGGTTTTGGGGAGGGGAAATGCTTTGGATTACTGCATGGCGCTCACCTCAGTCTGATTCTCACGGGATTGATCCTCGTTCAAGATGGGAAACGCATCGAGCGAGCGCAGGCCCAACTGGAACCTCATGGGCTTCTCAGCAAGAGAATAGTTCATGGAGAACGCAATGGGGTGCAGCTTGTCCCGCATATCAGCCTGCAGAGCAAGGGAAGAGTTCATTGCAGAAAGCCCTCCACCCAGTTCTGAGTGATTGTACTCTGTCGAGGAATTTGAAAGCTCAGAGGGTCATCTCCAAGGCCGTCTTTAGCAGATGCGGCGCCGGGGTGCAAATATCCGCCCAGCGCCTCCAAATTACCATGGATAGTGTTAGGGTGGCCGTAGCTGCGCACTGCCAGCCATTGGGGGGCGCAAGTCTCCCCCATGCCGCTGAGAGAGAGCGATCCCCACAGAGGCTTGGGAGTGAAGTTGCGCCCCTCCCAAGCCTCCTCGTGAGGAGAGAGATCATCACAGAGGCTTGGGAGGGAAGCTGCGCGCCCGCCACCCATATGGTTGGCGAGGCACAGCTTCCATCCTAAGCCTCCGCGGGGATCAATCTCCTCCTGAGGAGGCTTGGGAGGGAAGCTGCATGCCCGCTAGCCTTATGGTTGGCGGGGTGCAGCTGGTGGGCGTGCAGGGAAAGGGGAGGGCACTGGCAAAGGCACGCAGCTCCCCCACTTGCTGAGGTGCCCCTGAGAGGCCGGTGCCCTGGCGCAACGCACCACTAAGCCCAGAGTGGCTGCGGAAACCCAGCCAGATGGGTGGGGTATAAATAATAAATTATTATTATTATTATTATTAGGCCATGTTTCGCTCACTCCCAGCCTTCCAAATGTATCGCTTAAATTGCCCACTGCCCTCACCTTACCCGCAAGAGGACTTCCAGGGTCTGACACTTCTCCCTTGGCATGGAAAACTGTCCCTTGTAGACAGCGGACTGCGTTCTGGCAAAATATACTCGAGGTGGACGGCGGTCCCGATCAGCTTCCACCAGGTAGTTCAACTCTGAAATGAGATGTGGAGGGGGAAGTGATAGGGTGGGGAAAACAGGCCGGAGGCACTGTCAAGACTCAGCAGGCAAGCTGAGGCACATGTGCACCCCACTCCCTCCACCCAGAAGCAGCCTGTCCCACTTTGCCACCTGAGGCAAAACAGGAAAATGTGGCTCCCGTCGTCTCCAACCCCCATCCTGCCAAATCCTCACTTACCAAGGGAGCGTGTGTTGGATAAATTAAAAAAGGGGTTCCTTGACTGGAGGTATCCCTCCCAGAAACCCAATCGAAAAGGATGCAGGCTCCAAGTGAAAATAGAAGCCTTTATTGAAATACAAACAGGCAGAGGGACAGCCTCGAAAATAAGGAGGTGGCGGTGAAGAATCACATCCAAAGCAATGTTTCTTACACCCTTGGTGATTTCATTTCAGTCAAAGGATTACAGCAATCTCGGCAGTTGCCACCCAATGTTATCATCCTGAACCAATCGAAATCATTTTAGTCTGCAGGATCAGCCCTGGTCGTAACATCCTGTGATTAAAATCATTTTTCAATGTCTTTAGTAAGACTTTGGCTCATTTTTCTGTTCATTAAATGTCTCCCACTATCCTCTTTTGTTGGCAATTCAAGATTAATCACAACGACCATGCCTAGACGATTCCCTTCTCTTGCGTACAACGGCCGCCATAGATTCTAACAGTTTATGTTTTTTCCGCGTTCTGTTAGGGACATTTGCTACATACAGTGCCTGAAAACAACTAGTTCTGTACTGTAAAAAGAAGGCAGGCACAGGCCTTTTCAGTGTGAGCCGTAGAAAAGAAAACGGAATAACCAAAACGATACAGTTTATGAAATTATTATTTTCTCCGTCACTTGGCAGCTTCTGGCAAGATCTCGTGAGATCTTGCAGAACTCTCATGAGATCACACCGGAAGGCGCAGCCATCACTGTCACGTGACCCCAATGGAAGCAGGGGCCCGCGGGGTCGGTGCCCTATGGGATTCTGCCGCCCGAGGCATCTGCTTCACTCTGCCTCCTGGATGGGGCGGCCCTGCCTCCACCTCAGCTCGGCTGTTGTATTCTGGGCCTAAGCCCCTGGTAAGGGCTGGGTTCAAGTTGAAGTTCTGAGAAAGCCCCAGAACAGAAAATGAGCTCTGGGTGCAATTTATATATTTATTTATTTATCTATCTATTCGATTTCTGCCCTGCTCTTCCTCCCGAAGCAGTGCTGGTAACGGTTTAACCTGAACTCGGGAAAAGGCAAGACTGAAAGAGGAAGGTGCCTCTGGGCATATCCAGAATGCCCACATACATTTAGGAGCGACAGTTCAAGTTCAGGTCTTGTGCAGCTGCCGGAGGATGAGCCCCCGAACTTCTCTCCTGAAAAATAAAATCCCTCTCAAATGGAACTTCTACTCACTTATGGTTTCCTTGTATGTTGGGTTTCCCGCGCTTTGGGAATAGGAGAAGCAGAGCTGCACCTTGATGCTGTTAGTCGAGGAGGTGGGGAGGGAAAGGAGAGAGAAAGAAAGAGAGAAATGTGATTGACCTGGAAGTCTTGGAGCAGGATGAGATGGGAGTAAACACAGATTCCTCCAGGCAGGGGTGTAGACCACATAACACCGGTCATGAAAGACCTACATTGGCTCCCAGTACATTTCCGAGCACAATTCAAAGTGTTGGTGCTGATCTTTAAAGCCCTAAACGGCCTCGGTCCAGTATATCTGAACCAGGGTCTTCACCCCCATCGTTCTGCCCGGACACTGAGGTCCAGCGCCAAGGGCCTTCTGGCGGTTCCCTCCCTGTGAGAAGTGAGGTTATAGGGAACCAGGCAGAGGGCCTTCTTGGTAGTGGCACCCGCCCTGTGGAACGCCCTCCCATCAGATGTCAAGGAAATAAACAACTACCTGACTTTTAGAAGACATCTGAAGGCAGCCCTGTTTAGGGAAGCTTTTAATGTTTGATGCATTACTGTATTTTAATATTTTGTTGGAAGCTGCCCAGAGTGGCTGTGGAAGCCCATCCAGATGGGCGGGGTATAAATAATAAATTATTATTACCGTATGTTCCGGCATACAAGACGACTTTTTATCCCTGGAAAATCACCCCAAAAGTTGGGGATCGTCTTATACGCCGGGTATACGCGTTGGAAAGAAGGAGAGGGAGCCAGTGAGCAGAGGCGCCCCTTCTGCCGTCGCTCCTCCTCCCTCCCCACGGACGCGGAAAGTCCTTTCGAGCGCGGCACTCAGCCGGCCGCCCGCCAAACACCTCGCCTCAGGCTGCTGCTGCTGCTACAACAGCTGAGGCATCGGAGGGGTGCGTTCTCTGCCCCTGGAGGTGCTCAAACTCTATAACTCTAAAACTCTAAAACTGAACAGCAAAAGTTGGGGATCGTCTTATACGCCCAGTCGCCTAATACGCCGGAATCTACGGTATTATTATTATTATTATTAGTGGTCTGGGATTGTGGAGGGTCAAAGATCTGCGACTATTTCTGCCGCATGGTCCCTGATGAGTCCCTGTCTCCAGCCTTCAATCAGCAGCATCAAAGGGGACCGTTTTTTCAGCCACTCTAGCCTCCAAAGCTAAGCATTTAGGAGCACCGAAAACACAAGCTTTTGTTTCAAAAGAGCGATGTGCATCTTCTGTTACGTACGATGCAGTTTCATGGGACACAAACACAACTGAAGTCACTGCGAAAGCAGATCCTGGAGCACTCCAAATCATTTGCCCGTGTATGCGTGCAGAAAGTAGCACATCCAGGGCCGGAATTAGGTTTGATGAGACCCGAAGCTACTGAAGGTAATGGGGCCCTTTATATGTCCAGCTGTCCTTTGTCAACAACACATTGTCACTGTTTTTGTGTGTGTTGAATACAGTGGTACCTCGAGTTATAAATGCCTCAGATTACAAACGCTTCAGGTTACAAACTCCACTAACCTGGAAGAGTTACCTCGAGTTGAGAACTTTGCCCCAGGATGAGAACGGAAATCGTGTGCCAGTGGCGCAGAGGCAGCAAGAGGCCCCATTAGCGAAAGCATGCTTCTGGTTAAGAACAGTTTCAGGTTAAGAACAGACCTCCGGAATGAATTAAGTTCGTAACTAGAGGTACCACTGTATATGCTATATGGTAATTTATGGACCTAATAGGTATCTCAAGCCATTTGCACATGTTGCGAGGCAACCAGTCCATGGAGAATGTGGGCACCCTATATACAGAAAGGAGCAAAGCAGTGATATTTTAGGGAGCAGGCTAGCAGGCAGGGCCCATTACTTACACCACAGGAGCCTACACAACACAAAACACTGTTGCTGTATGTAGGTTTTATTTTACTTGTTTTTTATCTTATATTTTGGAAATGTACATCCAGTTATTTTTCCTTTTATTTTTTTGGGGGGGGCCCCCAAGAGTGTGGGGCCCTCAGCTAATAGCTTGTTCAGCTTATACGTAAATCTGGTACTGAGCACATCTATCTGAAAGGCAGCACATTTATTGTGGCACTGCATCACAAATTATTATTATTATTATATAACCATAAGATTATTGCATTATTTTAGAAGGGGCGCGGTTGTGACTCTCAGGAAGGAATCCAGCACTTCTCAGTTTGTTACTGCCTCCAGGCAAACCAAAACAGAGAAGTGATCACTTTTTAAAGGGAGGCGCAGAAGCACAAACCTATTCTGAAGCCACAGCAACCAGCCTTGGAAGGCTCTACTCTAAACGCCCAGCGTACAATGGCATCCTAAAGATGTTTTGTATTGAAATGCATTCCTCGGATGCTCTTGTTATAGGACAGTGATTAATTTTCATGAGCGGCAAGTGGCATTTTGGGGGCATGGAGTTTTCTTTGAAAGAGCAGGAGTTTCCCCCCGCAGGAGAGGGAACTCCATTATTATTATTATTATTATTATTATTATTATTCCACAATTCATCCCCTCTTTCCATCATTACATATCTTTAGGTGCCAGGCAAAAATGTTTCTCTATAACCAGGCCTTTGGCTGATTGAACAAGTTATGTTCAGGGAAGTTTTTAATGTTTGATGTTTTATCGCTTTACTATTATTATTATCATCATCATCATCATCAACAATTCTGTTGGGAGCTGCCCATAATGGGTGGGGAAACCCAGCCAGGTGGGCGGGGTATAAATTATTATTAATTATTATTATTATTATTATTATTATTATTATTATATTTTAAATGTGTTTGTGGGACAGAGGGTGTTATTGGTTTGTTTTTGCTTTATTACGTATTTTGTGTTCTCATTTTGTATTTTTATGTTGTCGACTGTGATCTTCAGATAAAGGGTAGTATACAATTTATTAATTATTATTATTATTAATTATTGAAATCATCCAAAGGAGGCGACTCTGCCACATCTCTATAAAGCTTGCTCCGGTGCGCTATACTGCTCTTAGTGACAGATGTTTTCTTCATTCACATTTAATCTGAATCCCGCCCTTTCTTGTGTAAACACTCCTACTTCTTGTCCCGCAATCGGCGGGGAGGGCAAACAATTGTTCTCCTGATTCTTTCCGACATCCCCTTAAACAAGCTGAAAATTGGCAGCGTGCTCCCCTTTCATCTTCCTTTCCTTAGGCTAAATATAGCCAGTTCCATCGCATTTCTGCCGTCACACGCCTTTCAAAGAGCCCTGGAACCCGGGCAGGCGGGTGAGGAGAAAGAACTGTGAGGAGAGAACATAGAAGGAAGCTTTTACCAAGAGTCTTCGGTACAGCTGTTTGGGTCCAATGTGGTCGGGGTAACCGTGAACGACTTGTCTAAGATGTTGATCACCGGACGGGCTCTGCAGAGAGATAATGAGAAAAAAGGGAAATTAGTGGAGTACTGTTTAAGGATATTATTATTATTATTAATTGAATTCATGTACTGCCCTATAGGGACGCGGGTGGTGCTGTGGGTTAAACCACAGAGCCTAGGACTTGCCGATCAGAAGGTCGGCGGTTCGAATCCCTGCGACGGGGTGAGCTCCCGTTGCTCGGTCCCTGCTCCTGCCCACCAAGCAGTTCGAAAGCACATCAAAGTGCAAGTAGATAAATAGGTACCACTCTGGCAGGAAGGTAAACGGCGTTTCTGTGCACTGCTCTGGTTTGCCAGAAGCGGATTTGTCATGCTGGCCACATGACCCGGAAGCTGTATGCCAGCTCCCTCAGTGAGATGAGCACCGCAACCCCAGAGTCGGTCACAACTGGACCTAATGGTCAGGGGTCCCTTTACCTTTACCTTTACTGCCATATATCCGGAGGTCTCAGGGTGGTTCACAGAATAAAATCAAGATATAAAACCACAAAATACACAACAAAAATTAAAACAACAACCCAATAGCCCCCCCCAACAAAACACATCTTAAAAGGGCATAGGATGTAAATCAGATCAAGCAAAGGCCTGGTTAAAAAGGAATGTTTTTGCCTGGCACCTAAAGGTGTACAATGAAGGCGCCAGGTGAACTTCCCTGGGGAGAGCATTCCACAGACAGGGAGCCACTGCAGAGAAGGCCCTGTCCTTGTGTTGCCGCCCTCCATACCTCTTGAGGAGGAGCCACACGAAGAAGATGATCTCAGGGTCCAGGTAGGTTCATATGGATAGAGGCGGAGTCCATTTTACATGGAATTTGGTGGTTCTGAACTAACTGAGCTTTGGTTGCACTGGACTGCCATTTGCATCAAGCACCTGCTTACAGAATCGTAGGACTGTAGCATTGGAAGGGAACCCGAGGGTCATCAAGTCCAACCCCCCTGAAATTCAGGAATTTCAGCTAAAGCATCCATGACAGATGGCCACCCAACCTCTGCTTAAAAACTTCCAAGGAAGGAGAGTCTGCATTCCACTGTCAAACAGCTCCTACTGTCAGAAAGTTTTTCTTGATGTTTCGTCAAAATCTCCTTTCTTGTAACTTGAAGTTTGCACATCGGCAAGTGTTTTAAAAAGCAGCCTGATTAACTATATGCAAATATTATAAACGTATATAGTATATACAGTATAACAAATATCAAGTCCCATGCAGTACTATATACTTTTGGCAAAATGATATAAGTAGCAAAACGTAAGTATTTTTAATACAGTTATTTTTTATTTTATTTTGTTTTGTTTTGTTTTTTGTTTGGCTTCTAAGTGGTGCTAGTACATATCTGTTTATATGCTGGTTACTTTAGGAAAACCTGGAATGTATCCATGCATAATATCATACATAAGGTAAAAAGGTAAAGGCAAAGGACCCCTGGAAGGTTAAGTCCAGTCAAAGGGGTTGCGGCGCTCGTCCCACTTTTAGGCCGAGGGAACCGGCATTTGTCTGTAGACAGCTTTCCGGGTCATGTGGCCAGCAGGACTAAACCGCTTCTGGTGCATGGAAACGCTGTTTACCTTCCCGCTGCAGAGGTACCATTTATCTACTTGAACTGGTGTGCTTTTGAACTGCTAGGTTGGCAGGAGCTGGGATAGAGCAACGGGAGCTCACCCCGTTGCGGGGATTCGAACTGCCGACCTTCCGATCGGCAAGCCCAAGAGGCTCAGTGGTTTAGACCACAGCGCCACTCACGTCCCTATAGTACGTACAATCGTGTGTGCAATAATGCATATAAAATGCAATGACTGTTTTAGTGGAAATAGTAAAAAAGAAGCTCACCTCATTGAGTGTTGGTGCTGACCTTTAAAGCCTTAAATGGCCTCGGTCCAGTATATCTGAAGGAGCGTCTCCACCCCCATCGTTCAGCCCAGACACTGAGGTTCAGCGCCGAGGGCCTCCTGGTGGTTCCCTCACTGCCAAGTTACAGGGAACCAGGCAGAGGGCCTTCTCGGTAGTGGCACCCGTCCTGTGGAATGCCCTCCCACCAGATGTCAAAGAGAACAACAACTACCAGACTTTTAGAAGACATCTGAAGGCAGCCCTGTTTAGGGAAGCTTTTAACATTTGATGCATTACTGTATTTTAATATTTTGTTGGAAGCTGCCCAACAAAATATTATTATTAGTATTAGTATTAGTATTAGTATTAGTATTAGTATTAAGCCGCAATATGCATGCCATTCTGACATCCTCACAGAAGGAAGGTGGATATTAATACACAATAATAATAAAAGCCCCAATAGTCCCAGTTATCAGCAGTGGCTTTGGACAAGTCAGCCATGAGGGAAAAGAATTCTACAGACCCTCAGGGGTACATTAACTGTCCCTCTTTAAGTCTCCTCTCACCTGAGCAGTAGGATATTTTCTGAGAGTGTGCCCACCAAGAGATCGGGGTAGGAGTTCCCATCCACATCCATTCCGCCGCTGAAGGAGTAGCCAAAGGTCTTGATTCCGGGTCCGACGTCTTCGCCGCTGATAACCTGCAGAGGATGAGCAAATGAGGAAGGGCAGCCATCAAAAGGAGAAAGATCTATGTTGTGAGCTGTGCCTCAAGGTTGGTGGTGCCTTGGCCAAGCATGTTGGGCTGGTGTGGGAGAGAGCAGGACTGCCACTGATGTCACCAGGCTATACCTTGCTTTCGAACAGAGAGTGCCTGCAGCCAGTGTTCTTCATCCACACCCTGTTGGACTACAACTCCCAACAACCCCAGCCAGCTTAGTGAAGGATGATGGGAGTTGTAGTCCAACAGCATCTGGGGACCCAACACTGAACAACAGTGGTCTACATCAACAGCTCTCCAGAATATTAGACAGGGTTTTTGTTTAAACACAGGTTGTGTTTTTGTATATTCTGTTGGAAGCCATCCAGAGTGGTTGGTGCAACACAGTCAGATGTGTGGGGTACAAAAATATATAGTGGTACCTCGGGTTAAGTACTTAATTCGTTCCGGAGGTCCGTTCTTAAGCTGAAACTGTTCTTAACATGAAGCATCACTTTAGCTAATGGGACCTCCTGCTGTCGCCGCGCCGCCAGAGCACAATTTCTGTTCTCATCCTGAAGCAAAGTTTTTAACCTGAGGTACTATTTCTGGGTTAGTGGAGTCTGTAACCTGAAGCGTATGTAACCTGAAGTGTATGTAACCCAAGGTACCACTGTATATTGTTCTTATTTTCCAGGCCTATCTGGAGATGCCGGGAATTGAACTCACAGCCTTCTGCATGCAAAACATGTCCTCTACCGCTGAGCTATGACCCTTCTGTAGCTGGTGATGGTGCATGTCCATAATGGGCACTTAGCCTAGAAGTGCAGCCCCACCCCCAGTGGATCCATGTTGTGGGGCCACGCTCTGCTGAAACCCAGTCCCTGACTTCCTAATGCCTCCAGGCTTGCTGCATTAGCTGCAAAATGTGAGGAAGGCATTGCATGCGATCAGAGGAAGTTTCCTTGCCAAGCGTGGAGGGAAAAAATGATGAAGAGGAATAAGCAAAGTGAGCTTACCTGCTGGGGCTTATCAATAAGCCCTCCTGCACCACTGTGGTAGATGTAGACCTTCCCCGAACCTTCAAAAGGAGCTCCAACTGCGATATCTATGGAGGAAAGGAGGGAGGATAAGGGTCAGGTGGACTCGTTCGCCGGCTTTCCAAAGGAGGCATCTAAAACAAACCTATAGTCCAGGCATAGGCAAACTCGGCCCGCCAGATGTTTTGAGACTACAATTCCCATCATCCCTGACCACTGGTCCTGTTAGCTAGGGATGATGGGAGTTGTAGTCCCAGGCCTGAGGGCCGAGTTTCCCTGTGCCTGCTATAGTCACTCTTCAAAACAAATCTCACTAAAATCTCCCATTACCAGCAACAGCCTCCAAACTGCAGAACTTTGTTCTCCTTAAGCCAAAAAAACAACAACCAAACACCACTTCATGAACTCTTTCTGGGGGTAGAAAATGAGAACGGCAGAGAAAGGGCTAAGCTAAACCTTTTCTCTATGATTACAGTTCTCCATGTCCATGATTCCCTTCTAATTACAGTGGTACCTTGGTTCCCCAATGGCTTAGTCACCGAACAATTGGGCTCCCAAATGCCGCAGACCCAGAAATAAGTGTTCCAGTTTGCCAATGTTTTCCGGAAGCCAGACATCTGATGCTGCTTCTGCTTGAGTGCAGGTAGCTCCTGCAGCCAATCAGAAGCCGCGCCTTGGTTTCCGAATTGTTTTGGGAGTCGAATGGACTCCTGGAACGGATTAAGTTTGAGAACCAAGGTAAAAAGTAAAGGTAAAGGGACCCCTGACCATTAGGTCCAGTCGTGGCTGACTCTAGGGTTGCGGCGCTCATCTCGCTTTATTGGCTGAGGGATCTGGCGTACAGCTTCCAGGTCATGTGGCCAGCATGACTAAGCCGCTTCTGGCGAACCAGAGCAGCGCACAGAAATGCCATTTACCTTCCCGCCGGAGCGGTACCTATTTATCTACTTGCACTTTGACGTGCTTTCGAACTGCTAGGTTGGCAGGAGCAGGGACCGAGCAACGGGAGCTCACCCCATCGTGGGGATTCGAACCGCCAACCTTCTGATCGGCAAGCCCTAGGCTCTGTGGTTTAGTCCACAGCGCCACCGTACCACTGTATAAATACATTTTATTTGCATTTTCCCCCAAAATACACATTGTTTCAAAGCAATGTCCCCTAACAGAATGCATTTCCAGTAATGTATGCATGGGGGCAACAGTCGAAGGAGGAAGCCCCCCCCCCACCTTGGAAATCATCCTTATCGACGTCTCCGATGTTGGCCACGGCCAGGCCAAAGGCAGAGCTGCTGGGCCCTGTCAGGGTGATGTTGGGGCTGCTGTGGAACGTTCCCCCCAGGTTCATGTACACGTAGACGGCCCCACCCTTCTCCTCTTTCCGGTCAAAGTAGTAGGGTGCTCCGACAATCAAATCCTGCCACCTACCGATAGGAAGAGAGAGAGAGAGAGAGAGAGAGAGAGAGAGAGAGGTGTGATCACAGCCCCTCTGTTGGGCAAATGAGACATTGCTTCCCATTGGCTTTGCCGGCCAGCAGACTCACCCGTCATTGTTGAGGTCAGCCAGAGCAATGGAACTGCCAAAATAGGAGCCCACTTGCTCCCCGAAGATAATGAGTTTCCCCTGAAGAGTCGTGCCGCTGTCTGCTGCCATCAGGAAGACGGCTCCCGTGTGGTTAAACCGAGGGGCCCCACTGACTAAGGTGGTCTCGTTTTTGCGCAGAACCTCAGTTCTTGCTTCGACTGTGTAGCCTATGGATACGAGGGGAAGCGCATGAGTTCCTTCTTATCCTGATCACCCGCTTTCCAAAAGCATAATTCTCACTCACTGTCTTCCAGTCCTACGCCTTGGAAGTCAAATAGAATCTATTCCGAAAGTCTGTTTGACTTCCAAAATGTTCAGAAACCAAAGCACGGCTTCTGATTGGCTGCAGGAAACTCCTGCGTTAAGAAATCTTAGCTAGGTTGGGGTGTGTGTGTGATCCTATCACCATGTTTGTATGCGAGGAGGAAAGAAGGGAGATGTAGGCAGGCAAACAGGGCAGCGGACCAGGAAAAACCGTATTGGTTGCAGTTACCCAAATAGCTGTAGCTGTACTTCTGATCTGGATACGAGTAATCTTGCTGGTCCCATTCCCGGTCCCCTCGAAGGATCATGTAATCGGTTCCTATGCCAGAAAGAGAAAAGTTGCGACATTTTAACTCAACACAGACAAAGAGGTTCAGGGGCTCTAATCACAGAAGAAAAGGAGAGTGCATGTCTTCCCCTCAACTGGGCTCTGCTCGGCCGCTTTTATTTCATCATTTAGTTTACCAGGTAAGGCTGCATTCCTGACCTCGTCCACCCAGAAGTAAATCCCACTAAATTTAATGGGGCTTATTTAACACCGGTCATTGACCACAAGGAAGAGATGCGATGGGACGGGGCTTATTTAGGGATGGGCGATTCTGTCCGTTTCAGTTTGTCTGCTTCTCTCTCTCTCTCTCTCTCTCTCTCTCTTTTTTAAAAAAATCTCTAGTTCAGAGTTTCCCAAACCTGGGTCTCCAGCCGTTTTTTGGACTACAACTCCCATTGTTTCTAGCTGGCAGGACCAGTGGTCAGGGATGACGGGAACTGTAGTCCAAAAAACAGTCTAGTTCAGTGTTCCCCACCCATATGGACCCCTGGGGCCCCCCAGGATATTCCAAGGGGGCCACAGGTGAAAAATGTGTAAATGGGGGGCTATAGCACAAGGTCAGGGGGCCATAGAGGGAAGTGAGAAGTGAAGGGGGGGAAATGTCCCCCCCCAAATGGCTGGCTATCTGCCTAGCCAATCACAAACGTGCGTTTTCTTGGAGCAGTCCTGGTTTGTTTCTGGTGGGAGAGGGCTCTACTTTGACCAGTAGAGCCTGTGATCCAGAACCCCCAGGTCAGGCAAGTGCAGTGGTGGAATAGCAATGGGTAGGTCTGGGCAAGCCAGAGCTGCTTGTTGCTGCTGCCACTGCTGGGCCCATTGGCAGCCTGGGCTTGACTCTGCAAGGCACAGGGTGCAATCCACCCCGGCACCTAGTGGATCAGGGCCTTTGGATGTTGCCAAGGGGTGCAGGGCCCGTTGGCAGCGTCGGCCCATCTCTGCAAGGTGTGGGGTGATTGGCTTCCAGCAGCCAATCAGAAGCTGCGCTTTGGAAGTCAAACGTTTCGGAAATCAAACAGACTTCCGGAAGGGATCCTGTCCGACTTCTGAGGTATGACTGTATATGGCCTGCGAATTAATGTGCTTTTGGCAATTTCCCACCTGCTTGGTTTCGTCTCTGGCTGAATTAACCCATTAAGCCACATATTTACATGGCGACACAGGAAGGAAGGGCTGAGGAAGTGTCACAAACCTTGCCAGTTGAAAGCACCGGGGGCTCCGAAATAAATGCTGTTGGCGGTGAAGCCGCCGCTGATGCCCATCTGACACATGCCCGTTACGTCCGAGTCGCTGTTGGTGTTGCACATCTCGTTGTGGAAATGCTGCCATTCATCCTGCTCCTGCAGCTGGAGGTTGTTTCCGTGGACGTAGCATTTCCCAACCATGCGCCTCTGGTCCTCGTTGCCAGCCCACAAGACTCGGGTGTACCGGTGGGCACAAGCCTAGCAAAGTCAAGGAGACAAGGCTTTAGTTTGCACCGAAACGGGGTGGGGTGGGGTGAGGCTCTGGCCTTTCCTTGAAGGCACGCTTTCTGTTAGAATTCCTGCTCCATGATTGCAGTCATGGGATTGTTGTTATTCACATGACAGTATATGTTTGAACTCCACAGAGTGGGAAGTGACGAAGATTGTGTTACTGTGTTCTGTGAAGTGGGTCTATTGTCCTTTGTTCTTCTCTTTTTGTCTGATGCTAGAGAGAGAGGGAGCCATGTTGCAGTGCTCCATGTGTGTTTATATGTAAATAAAGTAGATTAGCCAAAATGCTGAGTTGCTGAGGTCTGTCACGCAAGTTGTGCAAACTCTGTGGATCCCTAAGTGTGCCGGTGTCGGTTGGCATCGGTCGCTGTGATGTTCGGGCTGAAGAAAGCTCTTGAAGCTCCCGAAAACGATCAACCAGGAGGGAGAGAACATGCCAGTCGGGCATGTATCTTTGCCAGGGTCCTACTTGAGTGTAGGCTGAACTCCTGACACTTTCTGCCTTTCTAAGTCCATTCCATAGCCTTCATCATTCTCCTGACGGCAATTGGGATGTGTTTCTGTCGGTGCCATGCGAGTAAGCTGGCTCATGCAAGATCACGGCACTGCTGCACTCTAGCTCACACGGCACTCTAGCTCATCCCCAGGACATTCTGGGATCAAATCAGAAGCCTGGATGGCTCCTGTAATTCTGGAAATGTCCCAGGAAAATAGGGACGGTTGGAGGGTATGCCATACCCATGATTCCAGGTTCTTTGGAGATATGTATGCATGGTCCGTGCATACTCAGCTTTAGCACTGAAAACCTTTCCATAGCCTAAGGTTCCCAAACATTTTTGGGTCACCATGCCCTTAGTTCCCTAAATTCATTCCCAGTGGCCCCTACCCTATAAAGAGCATCATTCAGAACAGCCGTTTGTGCGACTCACTAAAGAAGATAACGACACAACGAAATTCAAAGCAGGAGCAATTACTGTATTTTTTCGTCTGTAAGACGCCCCCATGTATAAGATGCCCCCTAGTTTGGGGGACTCAGATTTAAGAAAATGGGGGGGGGAGAGAGACTCTATCCGTGTATAAGACGCCCCCTAAATTTTGACACTATTTTTTAGGGGGGGAAACCAAGTCTTATACACGGAAAAATGTGGCAATTGCACATTTATTCAGAATTCAATTAAAACTACAGTGGTACCTCGGGTTAAGTACTTAATTCGTTCCGGAGGTCCGTTCTTAACCTGAAACTGTTCTTAACCTGAAGCACCACTTTAGCTAATGGGGCCTCCTGCTGCTGCTGCGCCGTCGGAGCACGATTTCTGTTCTCATCCTGAAGCAAAGTTCTTAACCTGAGGTACTATTTCTGGGTTAGCAGAGTCTTTAACCTGAAGCGTATGTAACCTGAAGTGTATGTAACCCGAGGTAACACTGTATTTAGTTGTCAGGGGCTAGATTGAGGAGGAATGGTGGGACCTGCCCTCCCCTCCTCTTCCTGCAACTTCCTGGGAAGACGAGGACAGTATAGATTTAGAACAGCGGTTTGCCGAAGGGCATAGTTCAGAGGCTGCAGAGGGGAGGAGCTTGGAAATATTGGAAGAGGAACAGGAGGAAGAAAAGGCACCAGGGGAGAGTCAGCCGACAGACTCAGTGTCCTTGGAGAACATTCCTGACCCCCCTTCTCCCAGGACCAGCAGGGCATTGAGGGTAGTAGAAGAGAAAGCTCAGAGGCAGAAAACACAGATCAACCAACACAAGGGTGATGTAGATTAGGTGAGATGGAGGGGGTGGGACTTTACTTGGAGCAACAGCATTATCTAAGAGAGACTGCATTCCTTTGTCTCTCTCTGTGACTATTGAATAAACCACTTGGTAAGAACTCCTCTTGTTGTTTTTGCTTCTTGGCATCCCACTGTGGGAAGGGATAGGATTCTCTGAAGCCTTGACATTAGTTTAATTAATCTAACAAATTTATGAACTTGATTCAGTGATACCAGCTTTCGAAAGTCTGACAGTCATTTAAATGTTTTAATGCTTTAATGTATTTTAATCTTGTTTTTAAGTTGTATTCATTCAACTTGTTTTTATTATTGGTTGTTAGCTGCCCTGAGCCTGGCCTTGGCTGGGGAGGGCGGGGTATAAATAAAATGTATTATAATTATTATAATTATAATTATTATTATTATTATTATTATTTGCAGCTCCAGAGCCCACTACCTTCCAAGGGAATCCGACCATCGAACGGCTCTGGCCATCACTTCCAACTCCCATCCTGAGCTGGCTGTGTGAGGGATAGACACTCTGCGCATGCTTACAGGTTCTCTCTTCTCTCATTGTATGTTACCAGGCTGACGGCTGGTATTGCAAACAGGCTAATTCTGACTGCACCCTGTGCTCAAATTAAGCTCTTCGCTGCATGCTTTCTAATTCCACGATGCTGTCAAGAGCACTCTGTACATGCTCAGAGAAACTTTAACCTTCATAGCATTGAGTATTCTGGGACCTGTGATTGGCAAGGAAAACAAATTTCTGGCCTAACCTAGGATAAAATTAGCTGCAAGGGACCACAATGGAGACAGCGGATGACAAAACTAGTCTCCAATAAGCCAGGGAAAGGAATGGAACAGAAGCAGCAAGCTTCTCAAGAAACTTAAACCCACCCGAAAAGGAATTACCGCTGGCATTTTCTTATAAAGCAAAAAAGAACTGGCACCTGCATTCTGATCTCCAAGGTGCCTGGCCGTCTGGCTGCCACTGCCCAAAGCTATTTCTTGAATTTCAGCAAATGCCAGTGGAGATTGGTGGGGGGTTTTATGCTTGTTTTTAAACCATTTAAAGGCGCTGATGTCGCAGAGGATCAAAATAGCTACCGGGAGAGATTCAAGGATGCGAAGGGCTTTGGGGCAGAAGTCGAGAGGATGTTATCTAAGATGTACCAGGAAACGGAGGGCCAGTTAGTAGCAGGTTTCTGAAGATCTTATGGATGTGCATAGAGGCAGCTTTTTCCTGCTTGCAATATTTGGGAAGGAGCAGGAAAGAAAAGTGGGGTTCTTAGTGGGTCCGACCCACTGGTTCCCAAACTCCCCCACTCAGACCACTTGGAAATTACAGAGGGTCTTGGTGGTCCACTTATTGATTTTCCCACCTCTTGTGGAATTTGTAATGCACTTAGTTGCTGTATTATTTTTAGTTGTATTATGGTTGTATCTTTTATTTCATGTATATTGTGCAGCATTGTATATATGTTGTATACCGCAATACAATGAAATACAATATTATTATTATTATTATTATTATTATGATTATTATTATTATTATTTTATCTTTATGGGATTCTCTAAACAGATATTTACGCAAGCAGGGCTCAAATACAAAAGTTTGGTTGTGCTTAGACTAACCTTGTGAAGAATATAAAGAATACAAAGAATTGATGGCCTGTGAAAGAACTTAAGGAAAGGAAGTGACTGAAGAACAGATGTAAAGGTGAACTAGAAATTAAGAGACATGTGGTAAATGCGGTGGAAGTCTTTTATAATATTTTAACTACGGTAACTAGGATTTTAAAAATGTAATGTTTAAAGTATAAATTTGGTACTATTGATTATGAAAAGTAGTTATTTTTTCTTTCTTTTTCCCTCTTTCTTTTTTCTTTTTCTTCTTTAGTCTGCATTTGGTAAATATGTAGATGGTTGTGTTTATATTGTTATGTATGGACTTTGTTTTTATTTTTCTATTCTATTTACCTTGTAATATTTAATAAAACTAATAATAAAAATTAAAATTAAGAAAAGAAAAGAAATACAGTGGTACCTCGGGTTAAGTACTTAATTCGTTCCGAAGGTCCATTCTTAACCTGAAACTGTTCTTAACCTGAGGTACCACTTTAGCTAATGGGGCCTCCTGCTGCTGCTGCGCAGCCGGAGCACGATTTCTGTTCTCATCCTGAAGCAAAGTTCTTAACCCGAGGTACTATTTCTGGGTTAGCAGAGTGTGTAACCTGAAGCGTATGTAACCTGAAGCGTATGTAACCAGAGGTACCACTGTACAATACAATATTTTTTTAAAATGCAATTTAAAATCAATGCGAAGAATATTTCATGAAGTTGATGTGCCATCTCCCGTCTTCAGCCACGAATGTGCAGACATCCCATGGCCCTCTGTCATGGATGTTATAGCCTATGATTCTATCATAGGAGCCAACTCTGAAAACAGTGTTACCATTTTGAATCCGCCCTTAGAGCTATAAAGCCCATGAGAACCAAGGCAATGGAGCAAATATGGGAGAAAAATGAATGCCGGTAGGGGTCATCCATCATTTTAACAGGGGAGAGGAAAGGAACTGGATTTGGCGGGCCATTTTGGGGTGACAGCCTCATGCCAAGTGTAACATGTAGTTTTGCCAAAAGCTTCTGACCCACCTTGGACTGGGCATGCCATCCTAGCAGCATTTTAACAGATGGATGGTATTTTGCACATCACCTAGGAAGTGTACTGGAAGAAGGAAAGATCACCAGTGTCAAAATTCAACTTCTTTGGACTGGTCATGCTGTGGAGATACCTGATTATCGTCTTCCAAAGCAACTGCTCTATTCCGAACTCAAAAATGGTAAGTGTAATGCTGGAGGTCAACAAAAGAGTTTTAAAGACTCTCTCAAGGCAAATCTTTTAAAAATGTAGTATAAACACCGACAACTGGAAAACACTGGCCTGCAAGCGCTCCAATTGGAGAACAGCCTTTACCAAAGGTGTCATGGGCTTTGAAGATGCTTGAACTCAGGAAAAAAGGGAGAAACGCTCTAAGAGGAAGGCACATTTGGCAAACCCTCACCGTGATCAACTCCTGCCCAGAAACCTATGTCCCCACTGTGGAAGGACGTGTGGATCCAGAATTGGCCTCCACAGTCACTTACAGACTCACTTTTAAAACCGTGTTCATGGAAGACAATCTTAATCGGCTACAAGTGATCACCAAAGAAGAAGCAGCTCCACAACATCCAGGCAGCACCGGGTTCCTCATCCCTGCCATGGAAATGCTCCCTGCCCCATAAATACAAACTACTCACCATCACTCTCCCAGAAGACGCTCTCTGGCTTGCTATCGTCACCCCCAGCCACATGTCTTCGACAATATTACTGTGTGGGTCGCCTGCGGGGAGAACAGAGGGGCAAAAGAAAGAGGGAGAAATGCAGTTAGGACACGATCCACCTTCCCACCATGTTCCAAACACCCCTGCCATGCAATCCTATGCATGCCTACTCAGAAGTAAGTCCCGTTGAGTGGCATAGGACTTCCTCCCCCATAAATATGCAAAGGATTATTGCCAGGTCCTTTAAGGCACAGGTGGGGAATCTGTGGCCGCCCAGATGTTGCAGGGATTCCAACCTCCCTAAGCCAGCATAGAAGCTGTGGTCCAACATCTGAAGGGCTACAAGTTCTTCAGACCTAGGCTTCACACACAAAACGGGATGCAGTTTTCATAGCTGCGGAAAGACAGATACTATTGTATAGTTTAATTATGGATTAATTTAATAGTTATAGACCGCTTGGAAGTTGTTCTGGAATAGAAGCAGTATATAAGAGGAGAGAAGGAAGGAAGGAAAGAAGGAAGGAAGATAAAAATCACATATGAATGGATCTTGTTTGAAACCAGTAATCAAAGCTGTAGGCACTACAGAGCAAAGAGATATCCTGATAATTGATAAGCAGCTTCAAGCAAGTTTCATCTGGAAACCTAACAGGAACCAGCAGAGGAATAATCAGCGCTTGCTGTTTATCACTTCATTTGCAATAATAATAATCAGGGCTTTTTTTCTGGGGGGATGCAGGGGTACTCATACCCCTAAACATTTTTTCCAGAAAATAATAATAATAACTAATCACAATGATGATGATAGTATAATAATAACAATATAGTAGTAGGAATAATGAGAGTACTCATAATACATAATATATAATCCAGTAATAATAATAATAATAATAATGATGATGATGATGATGATGATGTTTGCTTTGCATTTGCCCTCACAACTTCCCTGCGAGGTACCTGAGATGCTTGCTATATAAATGGGGAACAGAAGCCTTCCCTATGTGGAAAGACTGTAGCTGAAAAATATATCCAGCATCATCATCATCATCATCATCATGATCTTCTTCTTCACCATCATTTTATTAGATTTAGTACTCATATTTCACTCGAAAGTCTCAGTGTAGGTTACAACGTCACCAGTAATGCAGTTTAAAACCAAATAAAAACAACAGTAAATACAAAAACAATACATTAATTAACCATTTCCATAAAAGGAAATCATTTCACCAAAAAATAGTTTTCATCTGTCAAAGGCCGGGGTGAAGAGATAAAAGTTGGATAATGATGATGTCAGGTGCACTTCTACAGGGAGTGAGCCCCCCTGTTCGTGGGCTGCCACAGAGAAAGCCCTCTTCTGCCCTTTACATTTTGAGAGTTGCATCTCTCCAAACAATATCTAATATGATACCAATTGCCTTCAATTTACCCTTTTTGCCTATTACACCAGCCATCTCCACCCATTCTGTATAGCCAATCTGCAACGTCCATCTTGGAACTGAGTCTACAAGCTGATCTCACAGCTACAACATCCGGTCTAATTTCTGTACTTTTCTCTGTCCTCTTTTTTAAAAAACTTTTCCTAGTCTCCTCATCCTAGAACATTTTGCCTGATGGAGAACCAAAAGCTAGCCACAGTTCTGCGACATTCGGGTTGGTCCTTCTCCTAATAAAGGCTCTCCAAAATTAGAGACAGAAGAGTTTGTGCTGTCTTTCCTGCGGGTGGTGAGAGCCCAAAAAACACCTCACTCTGCAATCTAACAGATTGTGGATGCACCATGAGATCTCTAGCCCAGTCCCTCTGTCCTTCCCGAAACTTTGCAACCTGCCCTAGTGAGGGGCTCTCCTTTGCACATGCCCACGTACTTTTCACCTTGATGTCCACCCTCTCGCAGTCATCAGTGGCCGCTGTCAGAGGGCAAGCATACATAGCACCCATTCGCGTGGCGTTCTCCATCCCTGTAGCCGTATCGCGAGGAGCTCCAGCAAGCAGCCTGAAGAAAGGGAGAATAAATAATAATGTTGAATTAGAGTCGGTGGAAGGAGAGCACTTGCTCACAATGAGAAACCACAGCTGCAACGTAATTTGGAAGAGATGGTGTGCTCATTCCCGTCGTGGGGAAAAATACTTCACAGAATCATAGAATTGTAGAGTTGGGTTTTTTAACAAAATACTTTTAAAGAAACCACTTTTGTTAAAAAACCAGAAGTCTTTTTACTGGGTATAGTGGGTGAAGCGATACCATGGGAAGATAAAAGACCGTTTATGTATGCAACAACTGCGGCAAGAATTCTTTTAGCCCCAAAATGGAAACAACAAAAAGTAACGACGAAAGAAGAGTGGCAGATGAAGATGATGGACTTTGCAGAACTGGGGAAGCTGATAGAAAAAATCCAAAACCAGCACGATCAAGTATTCCAAAAGGATTGGAGTAAATTATCTCCCTAGTTATCACCCACTTGGACTACTGCAATGCGCTGCCTTTGAAGGTGACCCAGAAACTGCAATTAATCCAGAATGCGGCAGCTAGACTGGTGACTGGGAGTGGCCGCTGAGACCATAGAACACCGGTCCTGAGAGATCTGCATTGGCTCCCAGTACATTTCCGAGCACAATTCCAAGTGTTGGTGCTGACCTTTAAAGCCCTAAAAGGCCTCAGTCCTGTATACCTGAAGGAGCGTCTCCACCCACATCGTTCTGCCCAGACACTGAGGTCCAGCGCCGAGGGCCTTCTGGCGGTTCCCTCATTGCGAGAAGTGAGGTTACAGGGCACCAGGCAGAGGGCCTTCTCGGTAGTGGCGCCCGCCCTGTGGAACGCCCTCCCTTCAGATGTGAAGGAAATAAGCAGTTATCCTATCTTTAAAAGACATCTGAAGGCAGCCCTGTTTAGGGAGGTTTTTAATATTTAATGCTGTATTGTTTTTAACACTCGATTGGGAGCCATCCAGAGTGGCTGAGGAAACTCAGCCAGATGGGTGGGGTATAAATAATAAATTATTATTATTATATAAATTTATATGATATCTGATTATTGATTATTGTAAGCAATTAACATCACTAGCAGGTGACTGAGCAGGTGAAGACCTGTAGTGAGAAATTTTCTCTTTCTATATTTATTTAAATTTTGATCCATTCTGTAATGAGTGTAATTAGAACTGGAAAACGTACAAAATGCAATGATATAAAGGTTCCTTTCAAAAGCTATGAGGCGGGAGGGAAGGAAGTTGATAGGCTCTAGAGAGCCAGGGCAGTAAAGTGGATAATGATGATGTGAATGTATAATATTAAATGGAAAATAACATCCCTGCCGCATGGCCGTTCAGCCTCTGCTTTAAAAACTTGCAAGGAAAGGCAGTCCATGATGCAGAAGTTTGTCTTTTTCCAGAGCCCTGTGGCTGAACCAGGGAGAGTCATAAAATGGTTTCTCCAGACACCTGGTCACTGTGGGGCCTAGTTTGGGCAACTGCTCATCACAACAAAATCTCAGGGGTTTTTTTTAATGCTAGGTCTATTCCACCTCAGTTCATGTTTTGAGAGAGACGAAAGTGTTTTTGGGTATGAGCAGAGTGCCTTTCCCTCCTTGCTGATCCGTGACTGGTGTTTCCAGGAAAGAGCACCCGGCTCAGAAAGCGGAACTTCCAAGCAAGTTGAAACTCAGCACTTCTTATTTTGGAAATCAAATACCACTTCGCACCAGCAACTTGACCTCCAAACCGCCTCCATTTGGAGCAGCACGCTTTGCCTGCTCTTCCTTCCTCCCCGCATTTGTTTTTAAAAAGAACATTTTAATCCCTCCTGATCTTTGGTAAAGCTCCAGGTGGCTCGTAACGGAAGTAAAAAAAATTAACCCTAACGCAAAATTGAAAACACATCAGCTCTAAAAGCAACCCACATTCCAGTCAGGCAAAAAAACATTCACGGAGGGTGAGAAGCAGGAATGGTAAGAGATGTAACTGAGGGGAGGCTGTTGAGGAGAGTCCTGAGGTACCAGAGGGAGACGTCTTGGAGGGCTGTATTTGGCCCATGGGACAGAGGTTGCCCACCTCAATCTTTAAACTCATATCTAATTTGATCAGGCATGAAACTACAGCGGCATCAGCTAGCCTGTCAAAGTAGCTAGTCCCCTGTGAGGAGAGGCTTCTTCCATTCCAGCAAAATATTACTCCTATCCTGGCACAGAGGCAGCTGGGGTGTGCGTTCCACCGCACTCTAAAAACACAGCTGTATTTTTTCAGTGTTGTGGGCAAGGCGCCTCTCACGCTAGACAGGGGAAAGAAAGCAAAAAAAAAAAACCGCACCAAGGGACCATTTCACAGTGGCAGGTGGCAGGCGGGAGGAAAACATTAAGCACAAAATTCATGGATGGATGGAATGTATGTGCATGAACTAGAGAGGGTATGAACTGGTACATGAGGTTGCACAGGTAAAGGAGAGTTTGGATGTAGAATTAGCATTTTAGTGTGCTATGTATGGGCCAAAAATATGCGCTGGTATTTGGGGCTCTGCCTTGTACAGTGCTACCTCAGTTTTCAAATGTCTCTGTTGGCTAACATTTCGGTTTCCAAACGCAGAAAACCCAGAAGTAAATGCTTCCATTTTCGAACGCGCCTTGGAAGTCGAACGGCTTCCGCTGAGGTACCACTGTATTTTTCTCATTTTTTTCTATTAGATTTGCAAACCACCCTTTGGGCCTCGGATTTTGAACATTTCAGAACATAAACAGTCTTCCGGAATGGATTACGTTCAAAAACCGAGGTTCCACTGTACTCAATTTCTTGAGCAAGTTACTAGTCCTTACCAAACTCCCATAGCACCCACTTCATGACCAGCCACTGGGGTTCTGGTTCCCCTCAATTTCTCATTTTCCCAACCTTAGGTTCAGTCTTCCGCATTTCTGAATGAGTTTGCAATTTTTTTGGAAATCCTCGTGAAAATTCACTAGCATTTTAGTGCAGGTTTCTCCTGATAGACCCATTTCTGCAAAGCAATTGTCCTTCATACAATGGATCTTTGTCTGTTGTTTCCACTAACATGTATATCAATGCAACTTTCGTCCTGGTATATGCATCTGTGTACACACTTGGTTGGAAAAGCACATTGCAAAATTTGGGGAAGTGCAAATTTCTCATGACAACCTGAATTTTCATTCTTGTATTGTTTCTGAAAGGGCAAACATGGAATGAATCGATTTTCTACCCCTTCCCTGCCAGCTGCATGCCTCATTTCACATTTCCAAATGGATCCCAAATGGTTGGGGCTCCCTGCGGAGGGAGATTTAGGGGAGGGCTACCAGGCTGCTCAGGGACGCAGGTGGCACTGTGGGTTAAACTACAGAGCCTAGGACTTGCCGATCAGAAGGTCAGCGGTTCAAATCCCCGCAACGGGGTGAGCTCCCGTTGCTCGGTCCCTGCTCCTGCCAACCTAGCAGTTCGAAAGCATGTCAAGTGCAAGTAGATAAATAGGTACCGCTCCGACGGGAAGGTAAATGGTGTTTCCGTGCGCTACTCTGGTTTGCCAGAGTGGCTTAGTCATGCTGGCCACATGACCTGGAAGCTGTACGCCGGCTCCCTCGGCCAATAAAGTGAGATGAGCACCGCAACCCCAGAGTCGGCCACGACTGGACCTAATGGTCAGGGGTCCCTTTACCTTTACCACTGTATAAGCAAGAAGTATTTATTCTCCCAGGGCATCGTTTAACTGTGGAGCTCAACAGCCTGGTTTGCATGCCAAACTGAGCAAAATATATTGCCAGCTAAATAGGTACAACTAGATGCTCCATTATCAGGTACAGGTTCAGTACCTACTGCCAACCTGCATCTACAAGGACAAAATAGGCATTAACAAAATCATAGAGTTGGAAGGGATCACCAGGGTCATCTAGTCCAACCCCCTGCAATGCAGGAATCTTTTGCTCAACGTGGGGCTCGAACCCACAACCCTGAGATTAAGAGCCTTACGCTCTACTGACTGAGCTATTCCTGACTTGTTGAAACAGGTAGTGTAGGAAAGTTGCCAAATAAGGATTTCTGATGTCACCACCTCAAAAACCTGGAAAATACCATCACCACTGTTTTCTGTTTAGGAAACATCCCCTTATTTGGGATACGAACCAGCCTTTCCTTAGAAATTCCTTAGTAATTCGTGGACTTGCTCCTAAGGTCATGTGGAGCTGATGGGGCAGAAGATGGGCTGAGATATTTGTACAAATGGCCACCTCTACAGATTGAAAGAGTGTTGGGTTTTTTTGCCAGTCCTCACATGTGAGAGATTAGAACTGAAGGGCTAGACTAGAAAGTGGAGGCAGAGAGTATTGGGGAGCTGGAGCAAAGACAGAGGGATGATGCTCTCACTGCGATGGGAAAGGAACCTGCTCAGTGCCCAACAATATCTGAACGATATCTGGTTTTCAACATTGTGATATATCACCAGCTAAACCAGCTATTGAGAGCTGGACCATAAAGAAGGCTGATCGCCGAAGAATTGACGCTTTTGAATTATGGTGCTGGAGGAGACTCTTGAGAGTCCCATGGACTGCAAGAAGATCAAACCTATCCATTCTGAAGGAAATCAGCCCTGAGTGCTCACTGGAAGGACAGATCCTGAAGCTGAGACTCCAATAATTTGGCCACCTCATGAGAAGAGAAAACTCCCTGGAAAAGACCCTGATGTTGGGGAAGATTAAGGGCACAAGGAGAAGGAGACGACACAGGACAAGATGGTTGGACAGTGTTCTCGAAGCTACCAGCATGAGTTTGACCAAACTGCGGGAGGCAGTGGAAGACAGGAGTGCCTGGCGTGCTCTGGTCCATGGGGTCACGAAGAGTCGGACACGACTAAACGACTAAACAACAACAACAAAACCAGCTATTACGATGCACAATATTATTGCCAGGTCATAATCATGAAACTGAGATCATGATATGCACTCAAGCTGCACGTATAAAAAGAGGATCGTGTAAAAGAGAGGGCAAAACCTAAGAAGGGCAGGGAAGCCCATGCCCTTGGATTAATCCAGACCTCAGCCCCCACCCCCGCATGGCTCTGGCAAGCTTTGCCAAGAAACCTCTTGACATACGGATGCTGCCTCTGTGAATCATTGTACTCTTTGTGCGCGAGAGATGTGATTTGTGCGGGAAATATTTTGCCTCCCAGATAAAAGGTACATGAGTCATCAGATGAAGCATGCTTTTCAGCTTCCCGCAGGGATGCCACATCCAGCCAGCCTAGCCCCCCAACAATGAATGGGTAAGAAACGGAAGCTGAGCGGCAGGCATCTCTCACCTGTCCTGACTCAATCTGTGAATCATTTGCAAGCGGCAACTTCCCCTCCTGCTCCTGCCAGCGCTTAGTAATCTACTGTCTTATATCCTGACTGTGTGTGTGTGTAAGAGAGAGTGCCTGTAAGGCAAAATTTTATCACACGTCTGCCCAGCGTATTGCTCAGTGCTAAAACTGCTGCTTCCTACACCTGGGAGGGGAGCACAGGTGCAGCCCTTTGAAGTGCATTGGGGGGGAGGTTCAAATCCGTTTGCACCACAATTAGTAGTACAGTCGTACCTTGGATCCCGAATGCCTTGCAAGTCAAACTTTTTGGCTCCCAAACGCCGCAAAATGAGTGTTCTGGTTTGTGAACGTTCTTTGGAACCCAAACGTCTGACGCGGCTTCCATGGCTTCCGATTGGCTGCAAGAGCTTCCTGCAGCCAATCGGAAGCCGTGCCTTGGTTTTCCGAACGTTTTGGAAGTCGAATGGATTTCCAGAATGTATTTCGTCTGACTTCTGAGGTACGACTGTAGTACATGTGGAAAGGATCTTGGGGTCTTAGTTAACCAGAATCTGAACACGAGTCAACAGTTTGATGCAGCAGCAGCAGCAGCAGCAAAAAAGAGTTAATGCCATTCTAGGCTGCATCAACAGAAGTGTAGTGTTCAGATGCTGGACGCGGGTGGCGCTGTGGTCTAAGCCGCTGAGCCTCTTGGACTTGCTGATTGGAAGGTCTGCGGTTTGAATCCCCATGATGGGGTGAGCGCCGTCCAGCTCCTGCCAACCTAGCAGTTCAAAAGCATATATTGCTTAAAAATAAAATAAAAAATGCAGGTGTTTGAATAGAACAGGAGCATTTGGTTTCATACCAAATCAGACCCATTTCCCAACTAGGTCCACCACTGACTCTCCGGGGTCTTAGGCAGGGATAATTCTCAGCCCTGCCCGAAGATGGCAGAATTCAAACCCAGGACATTCTGCAATGCCGAGCATATGCTCTGCTGCCACCAAACTATGGGCCCCTCCCTCGAAGATGGCCGTCACCAGGCTGGGATCCTTTGATGTCGAAACGGACCCCGTGCCAAGACAAACTGTTTTATTAAGACAAATTGTTCTGCTATTGAGCTCTGGGACGTGACAGACAGGAAGCGCCCTTTGTCACACTTCTTTCACACCCTTTCACATTTCTGTCACGCCCTTCCTCCAAGAAGGTTGTGTGTGTGTGTGCCTGTGTGGCGGTGGCGGTGTCACTCCTTTCAAGCTCCAAGCAGGCCTGTGGTTTAGGCAGAGAGATTTGAGTGAGGCTGAAAAAATGCAACGTCCCCAAGGTGAGCCAGGTGGACATTTGAACCGGTCTCCTTCCCCTGCCGCCCTCTAAGGGCTCGACCATATTTTTGCTGGTTGTCTGCTTGCCCAGGGAAAAGGGCCCCCAGAATTTGAAGGAGGGGACCGGGCCCCCTCAATGTTCTGCAGTGACATGTGCGCCTGGTGCAAGGACATCACGTGGCATGCTCACGTCACTCATGTGTGCCGTTCAGCCTGGTCGCATCATGCCCGCAAGCCATGCGGCATGCACACCCGCACGTTGTGCATCACATGCGAGGGACGTGAACACACCATGCGATGTGCTGCTGTCATAATTGCACTTCATGTGGTGCTGGCTTCCTCAATCACGGAGGTCAAGCCCGTGCGCTTTGCTCCAATTGAGCGCTAAACAACGGTTCTCCCCCAGGGGAAATGCAGCAGGACAAGTGGAAGCATGGATATAATAATAATAATAATAATAATAATAATAATAATAATAATTTAATTTAATTATACCCTGCCCATCTTGCTGGGTTTCCCCAGCCACTCTGGGCAGCTCCAAACAGAATACAGTGACACCTCTGGTTACGAACTTAATTCGTTCCGGAGGTCTGTTCTTAACCTGAAACTGTTCTTAACCTGAGGTACTGAGAACTTCCCTTCAAGGTACCACTTTAGCTAATGGGGCCTCCTGCTGCCGCCACCGAGTGATTTCTGTTCTCATTCTGGGGCAAAGTTCTTAACCCGAGGTACTACTTCCGGGTTAGCGGAGTCTGTAACCCAAAGTGTTTGTAATCCGAGGGGTTTGTAACCCGAAGTACCACTGTATCAGTTTTGCTTTGTAAGATAGCTAATTAAAAGTTGTTAGCACAAGTTGCTTCATTTGCTGTTCTTCTGAGTGTATCCCTCTCATCCCAGGTCTCTAGCAGTTAAATCTCCTCGCTTGTTTTGTTTTCGTTTCCTGCTCATGCAGGAACATTAATGGGACACACAGTTACGACTGGGCGGTATCTGGTTTTCAACACCACCAGCTAAACCCCGTGATGAGCCGATATATCACAATGTCTCTAGTAAGGATGGAGCTATTGCATTTTTTTTAAAAAAATGATATTTATTAAAATTTCAGAAACAAAAAATTACATAGTTAAAAATAAAAGAGACAAGGGAAAATATAGGAAAAAAAGAGAAAAAACATACAAAATACAAAGTATAATTTTTTTTTTAGAAAAAACACTTAAAAACAAATTAATCCTTCCGTATCTTACATTTCATTTCCTTACTTCCATGACCTCCTCTCACCTCCCTTTTTTGTATTCCAGTTCAATTGGTTAATTCAGCAATTCCTTTCCCTCTTTGTTTTTGTCTTAGTCCTTTAACTTAATATATTATAGCTTTAGATTCTCACCTATTAACCATCCATTTTTGCATACACCTTTATGACATTGCTGCTAAAACCACTTAACTTCATTCTGACATCATTCTAACATTCATTAATTTTACAATATTTCTGTAAGTAGTCTTTAAATTTCTTCCAATCTTCTTCCACCGACTCTTCACCCTGGTCTCAGATTGGATGGAGATATTGTAGAGACATCGGCTGGCTTCATGGTTTTCCCCCAGGTCATGATTTTTGCAGAGCACGCACACATATACTCACATCAGGATTCGCAATATATTGCTAGGTCAAAAACCGATCTCACGATATGGACTTCAAACCGGTTTTGGATGACATATCGCCCAGCGCAACACTGTGTGCCATTTCACTGGGAACTGCTGGGAGCATATGAACTCCCTTCTTCACCCCATTCACATCTTTAGCCAAGAAAACAGACGCCTTGGTGGAATCTCAGTATTGAAAGCAATGCAGGACAACTGCTGCAAAGGGAACACACTGAAGGGCAGGTGGAACCTGCAACATCAAGTTGCACCGCAGACTGCTGCAACTGTGGTTTAGCGCTTAATTGGAACAACAAGCAGGCTTTCCATGGACTGTCATTTGTTCTGATTTAGCGCTAAAGAGAGTCACTTCTGCTCGCTCCCGTCAGCTAGTTGCCACCTCCCCAAGGTGCTGTGAGAAATTTAAAACACCATAGGCCCTCTCCTCTCGCCCCGGTATTTCTTAAAACACTGTTGCTTTCCGGTGCCGGATAACCTCACCAAAGTCTACTGAGAGAGGAAGACCCCCCCCCCCAGAGCAGGGCGGTTTGGCCAGGGCTGGTGCTCACTTGCAGGGAGAGATCCTGCAGCTGCCTTTGGTCTCTCATTTTCATAGGCTAACCCCGCTTCATAAAGCTTAATAAAAAGATACTATGTCCACTTATAGTACTCTGAAAAACAAGTGGTTATTTCCCGATCCCAACTAAAATACAAGCCTAACACTTCAAGCTGCTTTTGCATGTGCTGAATATTACTTTGTGTCCAGTCTGCTGGATGCAAGCCATGATCAATTGCCGCATTCTCTGCAGGTAATCGATAAAGCTCTGGTTTTCCCAGTAGTGATGTATGGAAGTGAGAGCTGGACCATAAAGAAGACTGATCGCCAAAGAATTGATGCTTTTGAATTCTGGTGCTGGAGGAGACTTTTGAGAGTCCCATGGACTGCAAGAAGATCAAACCTATCCATTCTGAAGGAAATCAGCCCTGAGTGCTCACTGGAAGGACAGATCCTGAAGCTGAGGCTCCAATACTTTGGCCACCTCATGAGAAGAGAAGACTCCCTGGAAAAGACCCTGATGTTGGGAAAGATGGAGGGCACAAGGAGAAGGGGACGCCAGAGGACGAGATGGTTGGACAGTGTTGTCGAAGCTACCAGCATGAGTTTGACCAAGCTGCGGGAGGCAGTGGAAGACAGGAGTGCCTGGCGTGCTCTGCTTCATGGGGTCACAAAGAGTTGGACACGACTAAATGACGAAACAACAACAACAATCCAAATACATCCCATCCCATTGGATTTATCACCCTGGTTGAGAGTCACATGACTGTCCTACGCAGCACCTAGCCTACAGTTCTATATCCTGACTGACAGCATGAAGCAGCCTTGCCCCTGAATCTCCCCAAAGTGGCTTGGTGTAGGCTAGGTGCTGCGTGAGACAGTCCTGTGACTCTCAACCGGGGTGATAAATCCAATGGGATGGGATGCATTTGGATTACCTGCAGAGAATGTGGCAATTGATCATGGCTTGCATCCAGCAGACTGGACACAAAGTAATATTCGGCACATGCGAGAGCAGCTTGAAACGTTAGGGTTGTATTTTAGTTGGGATCGGGAAATAACCACTTGTTTGCCAGAGTACAGTGGTACCTCGGGTTACATACACTTCAGCTGACAGACTCCGCTAACCCAGAAATAGTACCTCGGGTTAAGAACTTTGCTTCAGGATGAGAACAGAAATTGCGTGGTGGCAGCAGGAGGCCCCATTAGCTAAAGGGGTACCTCAGGTTAAGAACAGTTTCAGGTTAAGAACACACCTCTGGAACGAATTAAGTACTTAACCCGAGGTACCACTGTACTATAAGTGGGCATAGTATCTTTTTATTAAGCCTTTGGTCTCTCGGCAAGCCCAGCTTTCTGCTCTCAATCAATCTGGCAGCTCCGGGAAGTCCAACTGGCATGACAAGGAAGTCATTGGGACAAAACACAATGGCTTTGAGCGAGTGCTAGCAATAGTACCAACCCACCCTGTTAAGGAAGAGGAAGAAGGGGGAGGGAGGTGAAACTCCCAAGGCCAGAATTAGGGAGCGGGACTTTTTCTCCTCCTCCTCCTGCCTCTGTTTATATATCAGCAGCCCTTGGGCTTCTGTGGCTGCGGGGTCAAAAATGTGGCTTTTTGTGCATCTCAGAGAGACTTGCAAACGAAGGAGGGGGCTGAGGAAGTACAACGGAGGCCTCAAATGTCAGCTTAACCCAGAATGGAGCCCCAAGCTTCCACGCACTAATTGCATTGAACTGGAAAGGGGGGAAAGTACCAAGAGTAAGGGAATGGCAGAATAAGTTATTAGACTACGCAGAAATGGCTCAATTGACAAATAGGTTAAGGGGAAATACAAAACAATCATTTACGCAAAAATGGGATGTGTTCAAGAAATACCTACAAAAATATAACAACGATGTAACATCTATGGCAGCATTTGAATGACCCTTGTGTAAATCAAATACTATTAAAGAAGGAAAAATGGTACGATATGTTATAAGAAAGTACTAGAAATTATAATAAGAGTAAGGTAAGAAGGATAAGTACATTCAATGTTGTAACTTACATCGGGAAATGACGGGAAGTCTGTTTTGATATAATTTGGTTAATTGGATTTTTACTTTGGTTTATTTTTGTTTAGCTAGAAATTATAAGAAAAGAGCATGCACAAGTACAAGTTTAAATCAATATTTAATGGTATAATTATTTAAGGCTGTTATTACTATCATTATCAGTTTTACCTTTTCTTTGTACGTGTACTTAAGATTGTGTATGGGTGTCAAGTAACAATAATCAAATTTTAAAAAGAAAAAGAAAGAAAGAGGGAAGCCCTGTGGCATTCTCCAGAGCTGCCTTCACCCACCAGGTGCCCTCTAAATTTGGGGGCTTTTTGGGTGTCTGTGCATGATTCTCCTCCTCCTTTAATCCCCACAACAACCTTGTGAGGTAGGTTGGGCTGAGAGGTGGCAACTGGTCCACACTCACCCAGTGAGCTTCATGGCCAAGTGAGAGATTTGAACGTGGGTCACTCAGGTCTTAAGGTAAAGGTAAAGGGACCCCTGACCATTAGGTCCAGTCGTGGCCGACTCTGGGGTTGCAGCGCTCATCTCGCTTTATTGGCTGAGGGAGCCAGCGTATGACTTCCGGGTCATGCGGCCAGCATGACTAAGCCGCTTCTGGCGAACCAGAGCAGCGCACGGAAACGCCGTTTACCTTCCCGCCAGAGCGGTACCTATTTATCTACTTGCACTTTGATGTGCTTTCAAACTGCTAGGTTGGCAGGAGCAGGGACCGAGCAATGGGAGCTCACCCCGTTGCGGGGATTTGAACCGCCGACCTTCTGATTGGCAAGTCCTAGGCTCTGTGGTTTAACCTACAGCTCCACCCGCATCCCTATACTCAGGTCTTAGTTCAACCTTATAACCACCGTACTAAATGACTCCCACCAACCCTAGTTTCTGCTTTACACGCTAGGGTGCTGTGGTTTGCATCAAGGCCAGCTATGAGCATTTTTTTTAAAAAAAAGTTTGTACATTTGAAAAGGGGTGAGAGGAGCAGGGGAATCTAGGCCCAGTGCAAAAGACAACGACAAGCCCTCTTCTAAGTCGCAGCTCCTGGGATACCTCCTAACAAACTCCTTAGTGTCTGGAAATTTGTCGGCAGTCAGCTAAAACCGACCCTCTCTCCTTCCACTTTCACTACTGAGGGTTGCTACAGCTAAAAGACAAAGAACAGGATAAAATGGATTTCCCATCAATAAAATTCCCTGGTGCTAAATCAGGAGACAGGCTTCGGGGTGGCTAATTCACAACAGACACAGTGCCGCTCGCTTGCAGCACTGTAAGAAAATAGCCCCCAGGGTCCACGCTGCTAGCGCCACATTTAGAATTTCTCATTCTGCATCCCAACTTATTTAGATACTTAGAGCATTTGTAACCCACCAGTCAGCCAAAAAGGCACTTATACGTAGAGTGGCTTACAATGTGAAGAAGACAGTCCCTGCCTACAGGCTTAAAACAAACAGACAGACAGACACACACACAAGGGGAAAGGGACACGGAGGAAGGAGGAAAACCTCAAACTCAGGCACCGATTCCTAAGCCGTTGTTCTTCTATTGGCCAAATGGCTCAGTTCAGGGGTAGGAGGTACCTGACACAGCTTTCGGCAAAGCTGATGGAAAGAGGCCTGCTTACCACTGAGGCAGCCTGGTGGAATGGCTACAGAGGGGGAGGAGGGCTGGTGGGGCTGGGCTGTTGCTGCAGAGCTGGTGGGGCAAGCTCTGCTCCCCATTTGCCCCACCGAGGCAGCCTGATGCCCCCGCAGAACTATGGTTCCCTGGGAACAGGGGTTGGTTGTTAAACCACTATGGGAACTGTAGCTCCGGGAGTGGGGATAGGGGTCATCTAACAATTCTCAGCACCCTCAACAAACTGCACTTCCCAGAATTCTTTGGGGGAGCCACTGTTATGTACTGGAGTTCTCACCCTGGGCCAGCAGGGGGATACTGTAGTTTTCACTCAGGTCCACATATGCAAATAAGGAATTGAAAGTGACGTTCAGTTATTGGATAGTTACAGAAAGTTGTTACTGTTGCTTTGTAGTTGAGCTCTATATAAGCAGGTTGGCTGAACCCTTCATTTCAGTTCTGTTCTGGCCTGTGAATAAACAAGAACTGTCTGAAGAATCGCTGTGTCGTCTGATATGTTCGCCCACAACTTAACAGCCACGACTGTATGAAGTGACCTCATAGTGCTTTAAAAGTACAGTGCAGGTGGTGTGTGTGTGTGTAGTCCTGCTTCCTAACAGGGAGTGCACTGAGATGGCCTTTAGGTCCCATTGCACTGCCTCTGATGCTATGGAATTTAAAATCCAGCACACAAGATCATAATCTTGCAGAATGCCTGAGCTTGGCAAGGTGTGAGATTTCTTCCTTTTCTTTGAATGCACTGCCCCGTGGAGAGAACCTCCCCCCTCACACACACAGGAAAGGAAAGCTATAAGTGGATGTAATGATATAAGCCAGGAGCAGTGATGGAGAGTTGTGAAGGTGCACAAGGCAATTGAATTTTCCCTCCAGCCTCCCTGCAGCCTCTTGAATGCACTGTGGTCTTCGGGGGGCTGGGGACAGAGATGTCCTACTCTTCCAAAATTCACTTCTCTCTGCTTGTCCTTTTTTTGAATTAGGGTGTGATTTTGCATTACGTTCAGCGTGTGGTTACTTTTGTTGTTGTTTAGTTGTTTAGTTGTGTCTGACTCTTCGTGACCCCATGGACCAGAGCATGCCATGCACTCCTATCTTCCACTACCTCCCGCAGTTTGGTCAAAGTCATGCTGGTAGCTTCGAGAACACTGTCCAACCATCTCGTCCTCTGTCATCCCCTTCTCCTTGTGCCCTCCATCTTTCCCAACATCAGGGTCTTTTCCAGGGGTCTTCTCTTCTCATGAGGTGGCCAAAGTACTGGAGTCTCAGCTTCAGGATCTGTCCTTCCAGTGAGCACTCAGGGCTGATTTCCTTCAGAATGGATAGGTTTGATCTTCTTGCAGTCCATGGGACTCTCAAGAGTCTCCTCCAGCACCATAATTCTTCGGCAATCAGCCTTCTTTATGATCCAGCTCTCACTTCCATACATCACTACCTGGAAAACCATAGCTTTAACTATACGGACCTTTGTTGGCAAGGTGATGTCTCTGCTTTTTAAGATGCTGTCTAGGTTACTTACATGCTCTCATTTCCACCACCGTCACCTTCAAATTTGTACAGTATATATGTTTCTACTCTCCTGACTTTAGGCAAAGTTTTGCTCAGCGCTCACAAAAATGCACCAGGAGGACAGACTGGAGGAAGGAGAGAGGGGGGAGGATGTCCTGTGTGCCCCTCATGGGCACCTCTTCCCCTGGCGCCAGCAGTGGCAGAGATTGTAAAGCTAGTCCAAAAGGGATCCGCACTGGTGCCAGAGAAGCCAAGTGTAAACACAGCCAGGGAGTTGCGTCGAGAGAGAGAGAAAGAGAGGGAGGGAGAGATGGCGGGCATTCAGAGAGCCAAACTCTGGGCAAATGTCATTTCCCATTAACCCATCTGCTTAAAGAGGCAGCTTGGCTCTGGCTGGCTAAGGAGGAACGGAGGAAAGATCGAACGGAGATTACAGGCAGGAGACTGGAAAGGGAGAGCAGGGCAGGCTCAACGCTGCCACTTTAATTGGATAGAAAGCAGCGAAGAGAACCTTCCTTAGTCCACCCACAGGAGCAGGGAAAGCCCCTTCTTTGCCAGCAGACCAGAAGGATGAGAGCTCAGTCTCTTTCCAGGACTTGAAGAACCCTTAGGGCAGCAGTTCAGCACTGCTTCTTCCCCTCAATTCTCCCCGCACCCGTTTTCAGGACAAGACAAATTGGACAGAGGAGAAACTGGTGCCCAAGTCCTAGCAGAGTCCTTCTTGCACTCTTGACTCTCATTGATCCATACACCAAGTCCTGCCCTGGGACGTGGGCATGGCATGCACGAGGGTAAAAGGTAAAGGGACCCCTGACCATTAGGTCCAGTCGTGACTGACTCTGGGGTTGCGGTGCTCATCTCACTTTATTGGCCCAGGGAGCCGGCGTACAGCTTCCGGGTCATGTGGCCAGCATGACTAAGCTGCTTCTGGCGAACCAGAGCAGCGCACGGAAATGCTGTTTACCTTCCCGCCGGAGTGGTACCTATTTATCTACTTGCACTTTGATGTGCTTTCGAACTGCTAGGTTGGCAGGAGCAGGGACCGAGCAACGGGAGCTCACCCCATCACGGGGATTCAAACCACCAACCTTCTGATCGGCAAGTCCTAGGCTCTGTGGTTTAACCCACAGCGCCACCTGCGTCCCTCATGAACGAGGGTAAGGAGGTTGAAAAACAGGAGGCCTGCTAGATTTCTTGGGGCACCAGCTGTGTCTATCAGGTATTTAAACCTTCAGATCTCTATTGAATGAGACCCAAAATCCTGCCTAGGATAATCCCTTTTGAGGCTGGGCAGTCTAGTTAAAACAGGGCTCAGTTTGTGGAGAGAGAGGAGTCTTCAGGTTCTCCTGAAAGCAGCCGCTTCTGCCTGGACCCCAATCCCAGATGCTCTGAGGTAGGGAGATGGGAAGAGGCCTTACCTTTGAAGGTGACCCAGAAACTACAACTAATCCAGAATGCGGCAGCTAGACTGGTGACTGGGAGCAGCCGCCAAGACAACATAACACAGGTCTTGAAAGACCTACATTGGCTCCCTGTATATTTCTGAGCACAATTCAAAGTGTTGGTGCTGACCTTTAAAGCCCTAAATGGCCTCGGTCCAGTATATCTGAAGGGGCATCTCCACTCCCATCGTTCTACGTGGACACTGAGGTCCAGCGCTGAGGGCCTTCTGGCGATTCCCTCGCTGAAAGAAGCCAAGTTACAGGGAACCAGGCAGAGGGCCTTCTTGGCAGTGGCACTCGCCCTGTGGAACGCCTTCCCACCAGATGTCAAAGGGAACAACAACTACCAGACCTTTAGAAAACATCTGAAGGCAGCCCTGTTTAGGGAAGCTTTTAATGTTTGATGCATTACTGTATTTTAATATTTTGTTGGAGTGGCTGGGGAAGCCTAGCCAGATGGGCGGGGTATAAATAATAAATTATTATTATTATTATTATTATTATTATTATTATTATACATCAGGCCAGTCAGTACCTCTACAAGGTCTCTTGCCTAGCTCTGTTTAGGGCAGAGGTGGGGAACCCCCAGCCTGCGGCCTGTGTGGCATAATATTTGGAGTGCTGAGCTATCACCTGGGAGACCAGGGTTCGAATCCCCGCACAGCCATGAAGCTCACTGGATGACCTTGGGCCAGTCACCATCTCTCGGCCTAACCTACCTCACAAGGTTGTTGTGAGGAGGAAATGGGGAGGAGGAGAACTGTGCACACTGCCTAGATCTCCTTGGAAGGAAAGGTGAGATAAAAAGGCAATAAATGAATAAAAGAAAAGAAAAGAAATTTGACCAGGCACATGGCCCAACGTGGTCCACAAGGCCATATTGCCAAACCATGCCCACCTGTCCCATGACTGATGTCAGGAGAGAGGCAGGGAGAGATTTGGTTTTGAGGCTGCGTTCCCCATGGGGAAGCTGCTTGCAGTCCTAGCCATGCAGAAAGCTGGGTTGAAGTCACCTCCCATCAGCAGCTTCAGTAGCTTTCAAACATGACAGATCAAAACAAAGCAATTTTGCAAGGCTATTTTCAGCTCGTCTGTACTTTGCTAAACCTCAGCTGCTAGGTGGCGAACTGCTTGGAGGTGAAATTTTTATGTATGCAACGACAACCAAAAGGGTGTTACTAGCCCAGAGATGGAAAGGAGATAAAGTCCCAACCAGAGAGGAATAGCAAACCAAGCTGTTGGCCTATGCTGAAATGGCAAAACTGACCAGAAAGCTCAGGAACCAAGAAGATAAAAACTTCAATAAAGAATTGAGGGGGGAGATTACAATTTATCTAGGAGACCACTGTAAGCAGATGAAAACATTAGCAGGATTCTAATAACACTTGTAATGTAGCAAATACAGTGGTACCTCTGGTTGCGAACAGGATCCGTTCTGGAAGCCTGTTCGCAACCTGAACAGAATGCAACTCGTGTCTGTGTGTCTGCGTGTGCGCGTGTCATGATTCGCTGCGTCTGCATCTGTGCATGCACGTGACGGCATTTTGACCATCTGCGCATGCGCGAGCAGCAGAACCCGGAAGTAACCTGTTCCGTTACTTCCGGGACGCAAGCTGAAAACGCGCAACCTGAAGCAAACGTAACATGAGGTTTGACTGTATATTATGGACAATATGGATAGATATAAAACATGGATTATGAAATAATATGCAGCTGAGAAGGTGTACAATAGGATCCATGGAGGGGAAGGCAGGAAGTCTGGAGATTCGCAGGAATCTCTAAACATGGATATATAGTTTGGATTGTTATCATTTTATATTTGTAAAAAATTATTGGTTTTTTTAAAAAAAGGAAAGGAAGTGAACCTTCACGGTGAGGGAGGCAATGCTCAACACAGAAGAGATAACAGAGGCTCCTCTTGCTTGTGAAGGTCTAAAGCGAGGGAAAGCCAAGTTGCTCCCTCCTTTCCCCAGATTAACAGCTCTGGGCTGCTGGCACCAGCAGGCTGGCTTCATTCCACGTTAACTCCTTCCCAGAGAACTCTGTGCCTTTTTGGCTTTGCACTCCTTGTCCAGCTGGACCACCCACGGTTCAGACCGAAGGGGCAAGACCGAAGAACAAAGGGAATGTGATGTAAGGGAGATCTTAAGCTGTGCAGGTACAAAGTGGACTAGGTCTACCCAGCAGCCTTTCTGAATCACAACCCCTGCCCCTATTTGTTTGTGGGTTGAGAGAGGGGGTCCAAATGTCCCCACCACAATGGCAAGAAGATTCATGTTTTCCCCATCCTCAATCTGCGAAATCTATTGCTAGGGGAAGGCAGCGTGTCCCACCAGTCTGAGTGTACATGATGTCTGGTAGTACGGGAAGGACCTGTTTTCAAATGCCATCTCTGTCAAGGACTTGCAAGGTGGCCTTGGGCAAATTGCTTCTTTGCAGCCTCAGTTTTTCATTGGTCAAAATGGGAATGACCTTCTCTGTGTGTCTGGCACACACATGGGATGGGAGAGAAATTCAGTCCAGTTCCTACTGAAAGGCAAATCTGCCAGATCCACACTTTCTGAAACAATACATCAACTCTGAAATTCACGCTCCTCTGAATTTTGCAATGCAGTTCTCTACATGTGCAAAAATGCATATATATCACTGCAAAGTGTGCATTAAAATGCATGTGTTTGTGAAAATAACACACAGAAATGCATTATTTTAGGGGAAATGGCTTTGCGAAAAAAGAGAGAGTGCATATTAGGCAGAATTGTATACAAACCTGGGACTCAGCTAGATTGGTAAAAGCATGTTATATGTTGTAGATGCATTATAACACTGTGACCTCAGACGGCACAGTGGAGTTCCGCTTTTGCCAACGCGATTTCTCATACAAAGTTTACAACAGGCTTCTTCAAACTCGGCCCTCCAGATGTATTTGGCCTACAACTCCCATGATCCCTAGCTAGCAGGACCAGTGGTCAGGGATGGTGGGAGTTGTAGTCCCAAAACATCTGGAGGGCCGAGGTTGAGCAAGCCTGGTTTACAATGTGTTTTCCTGAAATGCTTCTTTCTGTCTAGATCCAGCCTTGAATTCTAGGAGAAATTCACCCTAAAACGCTGGTGAATTTTCAGGACAATTTATTGTTTGTTTGTTTTTTATAGTGAATTGCTACAGGAGTGAGGAGAACTGAATTTAAGATTGGGGGGAAATGAGAAACGGAAATGGACAGTTCTCTCCCTCCCTAACACACACATGAACTCTCATAACCAGCCACCAAAGTCTCTATTCATCTGTGAGCTGTTACTCACTTGGTTTGTAGGGGCGCCCAAGAGCTCAGAAGTCGTGCAACTTACCCCACCCTCATTTTTTTCCTTAGAAATATTAAGTAGTACAGTGGTATCTCGGTTTAAGTACTTAATTCGTTCTGGAGGTCCGTTCTTAACCTGAAACTGTTCTTAACCTGAAGCACCACTTTAGCTAATGGGGCCTCCTGCTGCTGCCGCTGTGCCGCCGGAGCACAATTTCTGTTCTCATCCTGAAGCAAAGTTCTTAAGCTGAAGCACTATTTGTGGATTAGCAAAGTCTGTAACCTGAAGCGTATGTAACCCAAGGTACCACTGTAGAATAAATTTTAAGTATTGAGAAAACTGCTTTAGTAAAGAAGGCGGGGGGGGGGAGAGATTAATGATATCTTCATTCTTGGCCACTCACTGCTGTACATGGAAGCTTCAATATTTTTCTCCATGGCTGATCCAGAGGAGAAGACATTGATGCATTCAGAAAATTGTCTTAATATATCAAAATATGAACGAGCCTTTTGCTTGGGCACACCAACCCCTTCCTCCTTTCTCAGTGCACTATAGTTAACCACAAACGCCTTCAACTGACCGTGGTTTACAGGGCTGTCGCCAGGGTGGGCAAAATGCAGAAATATTTTTTGAAGCTTATCAAGTTGTTCTGGGTTGCTAATGCCTTTGGGGATAATTGAATGAGGTGTATGTGAAAGACAGGGAGAGAGATCTGGGTTGCTGGTGGGATATTAATTTGGAGGAAAATAAATTAATTTCACATGGCTTTTTCTATAGATGATTTGGTGGTGGTGACAACAGGTAGCTGAAGGGGAGCTGATCTGAAGCAGGACCTATTAGGAAATTAATTAGGAGAGAATTAATTGAAAAGGAATTGATCTAGGGTGTGGTGAAAAATTAAAGGAAGACTTTCTCTGGGGTGACTTGAATGGGATTTTTGTGGGTTTGGCTTCTGCGAAGTTTAAATTCTACTCTTTTAAATTTGCATAAGCTTTGCATATGCTAATTTATACAAATAGATGTAAATTTCTGTCTATAGGACCATAGCCCAAATATTTTAAATAACTAGGTATTTTAAATATTTTAACTACTAGCAGTGCCTCTGGTTATATCCAAGTTGGAAAATAATGGTTATTGGCAGTCCTGGCTCCAAGATTTTGGGGGTGCCCAGCGCTCCCCTAAATCTGGAAGAGGTGGGACAGGCAAACTGAGAAATCTCTGAGGCTGCATCTGATCTTCCTGTATTCCCTATGCAATTTGAAAAGGACTGTTAGGACAATCGAGTTTCTACTGGTCTTAGGGCCTGGGCAAATGTCCACCTTCTGGAGCCTGCCCTGGTTACCATTATTGTTATAAATTATTATTGTTAATCTGAAGGCAGCCCTATTTAGGGAAGTTTTATAGGACTGATGTTTTTATTATGTTTTTAGATATGTTGTAAGCCTCCCAGAGTGGTTGGGGAAACCCAGCCAGATGAGTGGGTATAAATAATAAAATTAATATTGTTGTTGCTATTACAGTGGTACCTCAGGTTAAGTACTTAATTCATTCCGGAGGTCCGTTCTTAACCTGAAACTGTTCTTAACCTGAAGCACCACTTTAGCTAATGGGGTCTCCTGCTGCTGCTGCTGTGCCGCCGCAGCACGATTTCTGTTCTCATCCTGAAGCAAAGTTCTTAACCCGAGGTACTATTTCTGGATTAGCGGAGTCTGTAACCTGAAGCGTATGTAACCCGAGGCCTCAGAAGTCAAACAGAATCTGTTCCCAAAGTCCGTTCCACTTCCAAAACATTCGGAAAACCAAGGCGCAGCTTCCGATTGGCTGCAGAAAGCTCCTGCAGCCAATCGGAAGCTGTGGAAGCCCCGTTAGATGTTCAGGTTCCAAAGAACGTTCACAAACCGGAACACTCACTTCTGGTTTAGCGGCGTTCAGGAGCCAAAACGTTCGACTCGCAATGCATTCTGGATCCAAGGTACGACTGTATTATTGGGCTTAGAATGAGCCAGACCCTTCAAAAAGGTTTTCAGACAGTGGTTTAAGATGCTGTGTTCTGACATGGCAACCACAGCATGTGCCTGCCCCTGCTCCCCAATTTGCTCATAATGAGAAACTACACTCAACTGTAGAGTTCTGTGGCTTGCTGCAGCACATCAAGAAAGGAAGCGGGAAGATGCAGTGAGAGACCAGAGGATGCAAGTGAAAGGTTTGTGCATCTCTCTCTAACCCACATGCGTGTGTCTGGCCAAACCACAGCAAGTACAAGGCTCAATGCTGAAATCATGTACAGCTGCATACACCTTTACCCTGGTCACGCGCCCTACGCAGGTGGTGGTCCTACTCTAATATGGAGATATTATAGTTATCTTCAAATATCTTAAGGGACGTAAGTGGAAGAGGGAACAGGCTTGTTTTCTCCTGCTCTGGAGGGTAGGACTCGAACCAATGGCTTCAAGTTACAAGAAAGGAGATTTCAGGAAGAACTTTCTGGCAGTAGGAGCTGTTTGACAGTGGGACGGTCTCCCTTGGGAGGTTGTGGACTCTTTGGAGGTTTTTAAGCAGAGGTTGGGTGGCCATCTGCCACGGGTGCTTTAGCTGAGATTCCTGCATTGCTTCTTTGATTCTAATGCTTCTTTGATACTAATGATTCTTTGATACTAATGCTTAGGCACTCTGGAGAGCTTTAAATTTGTGGCAGGTTTGGTTGTGATTTCCTCAGGAAGCAAAGGCCAAGCTATGTGAAACTTGAGATAGACGGATGCAGAGATGGGTAGATTGCTAGATGAAAGGAAAGGCCTTTCAAAATTCAACAGGACTGGCTCACCACATTTTGAAGAGAATGAATTAATACACAGTCCCTTTATGAGGGAGTCCCTCACAAAGTCATTATAGCACTGTATTTAGGGCAGGGCGGGCAGGGCGCTGAGCCGAGGGAGCACAAAATATAATAATAATAATAATAATAATAATAATACCTATATTTGTACGGTTACCTACTGAGAAGATTCATTTAAACAGCAACTGTAACAAAATTTTTGTAAAAATAAGAAATATTTAGTGTGGTTGGGGGTGGGAGTGCCAAATGTTGTCCTCACTCAGGGCGCCATATTAGCAACCCCCCTTTATAATAATTAATAATAATCTATTATTTATACCCCACCCATCTGGCTGGGTTTCCCCGGCCACTCCGGGTGGCTCCCAACAGAATATTGAAAACACGATAAAACATCAAACATTAAAAACTTCGCCAAACAGGACTACCTTCAGATGTCTTCTAAAAGTCAGATAGTTGTTTATTTCCTTGACATCTGATGGGAGGCTGTTCCACAGGGAGGGCGCCACTACCAAGTAGGCCCTCTGCCTGGTTCCCTGTCACCTCACTTCTCGCAGGGAGGGAACTGCCAGAAGGCCCTCGGAGCTGGGCCCCAGTATCCTTTGCGCTAACACATAAAGGTGGAAGACTTATTGCAAGTGTTGCCAAGTGGGAATTTGTCTCCGGGGTTTTCCTTGGAGCATCTTTGTGTTGGGGTGCTCCACCCACCCAAAAAATCCAGGCAGGTGGAAGTAGCATGGGCGAGATTCACACTGGGGGCAGCCCCCGAACGGGCTCCAGGTGTGTACAGCAATTTGCCTGTCCCCTTCGACACCCGGCTGGCGTGCTCTGTGGATGTGGCCCTGCCACTCGGCAAAGCCTGGCTTTGGGTACTGACGTAAAATGGGTAATCTCCGGCCAATTCAACAGGTACCTGTGCCAGCGGCTCGCGTTGCTACCCTGCAATGATAAGCAGCAGCTGACGCTGCAGTTCTGAGCCAAGAGCCTCACGGCGGTTGCCAAGGAGCATGACGCTGGAAGCATTCTTGCCTGGCGCCTGTGCTGTGCTGTGTGTCAGGATGATGAATAAGGAGCCTAAGAGTAATGAAGTGGAATGATACCTGTTTCCCCAGGCATGTGCAAGCAGGTGAGCTCACAGGTCAGAAAGAAACCATTACCTAGAACTTCCAAGCAGGGAGGAAGCACAGTAAAGAAACATACAGTGGACACTCGGGTTGCGAACATGATCCGTGTGGGATGCATGTTCACAACCCACAGCGTTCGCAACCCACAGCGGCGTGTCTGCGCAAGTGCGGGTTGCGATTCGGCACTTCTGCGCAAAGCACGATTTAGTGCTTCTGTGCATGCATGACCGCTGAAACCTGGAAGTAACCCGTTCTGGTACTTCCGGGTTTCGGCAGTCCGTAACCCAAAAAAAATGCAACCTGAAGCGTCTGTAACCTGAGGCATGACTGTAAAAGGAAGAAGACATTCCCAGAAAGCCGGTGTCAGGGACTGGACTGAGGGGGACAAGACTGAGGAGGAATGGTGGAGACCGACGCCCCTCCTCCTGAACTTCCCAGAGAAGAGGAAGGCAGTACAGTGGTACCTCGGGTTAAGAACTTAATTTGTTCTGGAGGTCCGTTCTGAACCTGAAACTGTTCTTAACCTGAGGTACCATTTTAGCTAATAGGGCCTCCCGCTGCCGCCTCTGCGCGATTTCTGTTCTCATCCTTAGGTAAAGTTTTTAACCCAAGGTACTATTTCTGGGTTAGCAGAGTCTGTAACTTGAAGCGTCTGTAACCCGAGGTACCACTGTACTGAATTACAGCTGTGGTTTGAGGAAGGTCATTGCTCAGAAACAGGTGAACAGGAGGTGTTGGGAGAAGAGAATGGGGAGACAGAGGTTGAGCAGCCAGCTGACATGTCATCACTGGGGAGAGCATTTCTGACCCCCCTTCTCCCAGAACCCGGCGTGCGTTGAAAGTGGAAGAGCAAAGGACTCAGAGACAATTAGCCCCTGGTGGTCACCGTAATGGGAAGTGCTGTTGCTAGGAAGGGAGGGGAAAGGAGCTCAGCTGGAGCAACGCCATTTTTAGGAAGGCTGCTTTCCTTCATCATTCTCTGTGAATTACTGAATCAATTGCTTGGTAAGAACTCATATTGTTTATCTGATTCTGTGTTGCCCCATGGGAGGCAGCCGATTCCCCGGAAGACTGACAGCCGGCAAAGGAGCTGCAAGGCAGTGGAGGTCAGTCCATTAGGACAAATGAGGTGCTGCCCAACCAACTTCCATCTTGATTCCTCTAAGACCACCTGTTTTCTTGCTTACAACAGGTTCAGAGAGTGGCTGCGGCTGTCTGCTTCCTTGCCCTCAGCCTCAGTGTTCTCCTTGTACTGCAGGAGAATGGGGGCAAAAATAGAATTAGTTGGTTCCGCCCACCATTGGCTCTAGAGCCAGTGTGGTGTAGTGGTTAAGAGCGGTGGACTCGTAATCTGGTGAACCGGGTTCGCTTCCCCGCTCCTCCACATGCAGCTGCTGGGTGACCTTGAGCTAGTCACACTTCTCTGAAGTCTCTCAGCCCCACTCACCTCACAGAGTGTTTGTTGTGGGGGAGGAAGGGAAAAGGAGATTGTGAGCTGCTTTGAGACTCCTCAGGGTAGTGATAAAGCGGGATATCAAATCCAAACTCTTCTTTTCCTTCCAGCGCCACCTGCTGTTGGGATCCGTGCTTCCTACCCCACCAGTCCCAATGGGTATCAGCTGCCAATGGTGCTCCAAGCCTAACAAGTTTTGTGACTTAAAACAACTGGGTTGGGTCATAGTTGAGTAGTAGAGCATGCACTTTGATGCTTTGCAGAGATTTGATCCCTGGCATCTCCAGGTACATTTGGAAAGGTTCTGGCTGAATCTTTGGGATGATACCACCAGCCGTACCATATGCAGACCAGAGATGGAGGACAATGTTCCTCAAATTTGGGTCTCCAGGTGGACTATAACTGCCATCATACCTGACCACTGGTCCTGCGAACTAGGGATGATGGGAGTTCCAGTCCAACAACATCTGAGGACCACATACTGCCTGAGGTTCCTCACTCCGGTTACAGACAATGCTGAGCTCGGTGGACCAGTTATCTGCTTCTTGCAAGGCCACTTCCTATTTCTACCCAAGATCCATGCTTTCCTGCTGACCTGTTGTCTTGGCCCCATCACCAAGGGCCACATTCAGATGTCTGGAAGAACCAAGGTTTCACAGTCCCGTTCACAGGCGATCAAAGTCCCGGCGGGGGATGTCAGGACCGGGGACAAGATGGTGGGGTGGGAGCAGGAACGGGGGTCCAGAACCCAGGAGTCAAGGAGCCAAGAGTCTGGGGGTCAGAGAGCCGGGAGTCGAGAAGCCAAGAGTCCGAGGGTCAGGAAGCAAGGAGTCAAGAAGCCGAGGTTCAAGGATCAGGAAGCAAGAAGCCAAAGTCAGCAAGGCAGGAAGCGTGTTGCTGTGGCAAAGAGCCAAAGGGAAATGCTGACCTTCTATCCCTTCCCAGCTCTTGCCACCAGGTGCAGCGAGTTACCAAGCGGCCTCACCTGTGCGGCCGCGCCTTGCCTCTTCAGAATAAACTTAGGAAGGCCCCAGTCCTGCAAAGTCCTATTGGTCACAGGGCCTGGCTCCTGCATGCACACCTGACACAATGATTTTCCGAATGAGACGGGAAGATTCCTCATCACTGGTGGAACTGTCGTGTCCCTGCATGAACTCCCTCAAGAATCAGGGTCTCTGCTTGATACTGCCTGACAACATGCCAGCTGGCCGTTGAGTCCTGCAATTGGATCATGGCGGATTAATGGGAATGCTACCAGGATAATTGGCAGACCACCTGCACTGGGCTGGAACACCAACAGGATCTGATGAAATGCCTCCTTGGAAGAGTGTTGAGGGAGCCAGCTGAGAACCATCTAGCTGACTGGTGGGAGTTGTGGTCCAAAACATTTGGAGGGACACCAGGATTGGAGAGGCCTGATTTAGCCCAGTGTGACCCTCACCTCGCAAGATCCCAAACTGTGTTTAAATCCAGGCTGCTGAAGGATCCCCAAACCAGCAACAGCAGTAAGGGTTGGCTTTGCTACTTTATTTTATTTTATTGCTGCTAATTTGGATCTTAGTTTTGTAGCTGATTGCTAAATATTAATAAAGTACAAATTAGAGCTTCAAAGCTTACCGGGTCCACTCATTATCTCTCAGTCTATTCTACTCGCAGGGTTGTTGTGAGAATAAAATGAAGGGGCACATACGTCTCTTTGAACCCCATGGAGGCAAAGCGAGGTAAACATGAACTAAAAAAAATAAAATGAGGCAGTGGACTGTATGTCATCCTTGTAAATATTACATTTATGGTATGTTTATTGAATTGATGACTTCATTTCCATTTGTTTGACATGCTATTATGAATTGTTAATTGAATTGTTTTCCAAACGCTGGGTGGATGTTTATTTGAGGTCGACGGCGAGCGCCTTTGAGCACATTCCAAAGGAGAAAACTGACATATAAATAAACTCAAGTAAACTAAACAGCACCAGACCGAATATATGTATATTTACTAAGCAAGATGAGCGAGGATTTGAGGATGGGAAGATTTGTTAGGGAGAGGGAGTGGGTCAAACAGATTTTGGAGGGACGTTAAGAAAAGTTATTATTGTGTCTACCTTCTTAGAACCCCACACACATTGAGCTTCTACCTCAAGACATTTGCATATATCATTAAACACGCCAAGCATTAGGGATGGTTCCATAAGTGCAGCGGTTCGGGGTTGCCTGGGGTCAACACCCATGACTATTTCTCTAGCAGGGTCCCAGTCTCTAGTCAGGGGGCATAGCATTGGTGTGCGTTTGTGTGCACATCCATGTGTGCATCGGGTGTGTGTGTAGCCCACAGTGCACATTTTTTGAGGGGGCATGAACCAGGCGCCCCCAGCGTGTCCTGGCCTGGTGCTCCTCTCTGTCCGCCGAGCTCCCCCCTGCACAGGCAGGGAGGTGGCTCACCACTGCCCCACTTTGCTGTGGTGGCAGTGGGGTTGCTCCAGTGGCATCAGCAGCAAGGCCTGGGCTGGCGCCCCTTGTCTGGTGTGCGCCTGCCCCGGAGACAGACAACCACCGATACGCCACTGTCTCCAGCATCTAAGTGCCGCCCAATGAGCAAGGAAGGGGATCCTTTTCGCCACTGAGAGTAAGCCCTCTCGCCGTTTGTGCTGATTAGAGCCAGTCAGAGTGAAAAGAGAGTCAGCCACCAAGGATTGGCTCCTGGGGTCACTCCGGAGAAAGCGCACGAGGAGAACACCAAGGAGGAGTGTTTCTGTATGCTCCAAAGCTATGCATTTAGGAACACTGAAAGCAGAAGGGCTGCTTCATTTTCAAGAAAAGGTGTGCAACTTCTGCGACATACTTCAAGGAAAACACAATGCGGCAGCTAGATTGGTGACTGGGAGCAGTCACTGAGGCCATATAACACTGGTCCTGAAAGACCTACATTGGCTTTCAGTACATTTCTGAGCACAATTAAAAGTGCTGGTGCTGACCTTTAAAGTCCTACACCGCCTTGGCCCAGTATACCTGAAGGAGCATCTGCACCCCCATTGTTCAGCCCGGACACTGAGGTCCAGCGCCAAGGGCCTTCTGGCGGTTCCCTCACTGCGAGAAGTGAGGCTACAGGGAACCAGGCAGAGGGCCTTCTCGGTAGTGATGCCCACCCTGTGGAATGCCCTCCCATCAGATGTCAAGGAAATAAACAGCTATCTGACTTTTAAAAGACATCTGTTTAGGGAAGTTTTTAATGTTTGATGTTTTATCGTGTTTTTAATATTTTGGGAGTTGCCCAGAGTGGCTGGGGGAAACCCAGCCAGATGGACAGGGTATTAATAATAATAATAATAATAATAATTAATTAATTACTCCTCCTCCTCCAAAATAAGATATTGGAGCACTCCAAGTCATTTGCCCATGTACATGTGCAGAAAATGGTAGATCCAGCTGATAAGCTGACTTGGTATGTTTTGCAAGAGCTGCTCTGCAAGCGCGTGAACTGTCCAAAGATAAGCATTTTTTAATCCTCTTAACGTGCAGGTTTAAATCTCTCCTTGAAAACTGGGGGAAGAAGAGCTCTTCACCTTGGCTAGATTGCGCCATAAATAAATTAAGATAAGCAAAGGTACAAAAGTGCAAAAGCACAACAGTATGGGCTGTTGAGTCCAGCCAAGGTGAGCTTTGTCAGGGCTTAGTAGCTGAAGTTGGTCGAAGCTCCCCTCCGCTGCTTTAATTAAGACAAACCAGGTGTGTGTTGCAAAAGGACTACTGAAACCCTGGCTCATATTCGAAGCTACAAATGGAACAAACCTAAATCTAATATTCTGCGTCAAAAGAAGCCAGCGAGATTTACGACGAGGTCAATGCCACTTTCAAACAGCTAGATGTGCTGTCTGTTTTGCCGCAGCACGGATGTGAAATTGACATGAAACAGTGGCCCAACTGAGCAGTCAAGAAACTGGGCCATATCAAGGCTGGTGGGGGGTCCTGGGTAATAATGGAGGGGAGAGATACTATGGCAGCCTTTGCCAACGTGGTGCCCTCCAGATTGGTTGAGGGCTGTACTATGTTTAGCACTATGCACTAAATATATGTACTATGTTAGTGATTTAGCATATATTATTTGTAGTTTGAGTACTTTGCTGCAATCCTTTTTATTATTGTGTATATTATATTGACTGAACACCAAATTGGTTATTGTGGATCCTACTATTGTGAACATTCCAATTTGGGTGTTTTACAGCTCCTGTTTTGGAATTACGACATTTGTTGTTCTTGTTGTTAAAAAATTAATAAAAAATATTTAAAAGAAGAAGAAGGGATGCAAAGGGCAAGCAGTGATTCATAGTCATGAGAAAAAGGCAAGGAGATGTGCAGGGTAGATGTTTCTGTTGGGAGGGTTAAGAAACTTGATATTTGCAAATTCCTGCGCGCACACACACACACACACACACACACACCGATCTGCATGTCACGGACTAATGCGCGACTGGAAAACCTAGCTATCCCATCTGATTTCACACCTCTGTGAATGTTGCTCAGGTGTTGATGGCTCAAATGCAGCAAAAGCAGCATTTGAATATGCATTTGAAGAGGGTTTTTAAACAAAAGAAATAAATCACAGATTCATGCAGAAACAGAACGGAATTATGGGTTAAAAAGAAACCAGTTCCAAAGCGAAAGGAATAGATTCAGATATCCCAACCTGGGGGAAGCTTTCAAGGCCAGCTAAGCCTCTTGAATTTCAAAATTTTAGCCAGCACACCTGAACTTTGATCAAGGCTTCCCTCCCCTGTCATCCTAAAACCCTAATCTAGTCTCCTTCTTAAGGAGGAAAGCATTGTGGTGGTGATTTGGGGAGAGGGAGTCTCTCTTCAAAGCTTTCTTTCCAGGAATCACAGCAACTAAAAAAAGTCACCCATTTATCAGCTTTTATCATTAATCCAAAGCTGCATTGAAGAAGCCCCACCCCCAACACCTGTTCCCTTTGTTTTGTTCTCTGACCTGGGACCCCTTCCAAGAAGCGTAACAAGGAAGGATGCAACTTTTAAAAAAAATTAATCAGCAGAAAGTTTCTGTCAGTTTTGCAAAGGTCAGTGCAAACATCTTCTCAAAGGAGCCCAAGATGTGCTTCCTAAAGTTATCCAACAATTGCTGCTGCTACAGGAGCTATAAATGTTTTTGGAAGGGAGAAGAAAGCTCTGCAGTCATGCAGGCCGCCACGCGGTCCCATCCTCGCTCGTAAAAGCTTCCCCTTACAATAATGTCTAGCCTTTAAAGCTACAACAAACAAACCTATGGTCACGTAAAGCATACTCACATAAAGCATACTGCAGCTACTAATATGCCATAAGATCCACTGTCCTGTAATATCACATATGAGCTTTAATTACTGATGAAGCCCAGGACGACGAAGCAAGGCCAGTATTCCGGAAATCCTTGTCTTAGACTTTGTGAAAGGATTTTGTGGAACTGTAACAACCTTTCATGTGGATGGTTTGGACTTTATGAACAGACAGGTGGAATAGACACCATTACATGGATGGACCTTATGCATGAACTGACTGTAGAATGATCTGATCCACTGGGTCTTCTGCTTTGTTCGTTTGTTAAACAGTTACTTCTGTTGAAATTTACAATTTGATACTATGAATAGTATATCTTATTTATCTAAAAACTCAGCCGGTTACGTCTCATGTGTTTACTGAGTAACCTTTAAAGTTGGCATGGTTTTGCATAGACATGCTGCAAAAGCCACAGCCTCTGCAAATTTGTGCTGCCCCCCCCATTTTTGAACTGTACCCCCTTGTTTAATCAGCAGCCCCAATGTGCTCTGTGCTGTATAGAACAGGAAATCAAGATACTCATCATACCAGAGGAGAGGAACCATTTGCCCTGCATTAGAACTCCATTCATCACTGTCCAACAACATCTGAAGCACCAGAGATTTTGAATTCCTGCCTTATATAGTGCCAGAGAGGTTATGGGTGTTGCTCCTGACCTGCTGTATGCAAAAGCTGAAATTTTCAGGAATCTGTGCAAAAAGTGGAGGATTTCAAGTTTAGGGGCTGGGTGATACCTGGTTTTAAACATCACGATAGATCACCAACTGAATATTGCGATATACTGATATAGCATGATGTCTGAAATAAGGATGGAGTTATGTAGAGGCATTGGTTGGCTTCACGGTTTTTCCCACATTGTGATTTTTGCATAGCGCATGCACACATGCACATGTCATGATTTGCGATATACTGTCAGGTCAAAAATTATGAAAGCGGTATCATGACTTCAAACCGGTTTTGGACGATATATTGATATATCGCCCAACCTTATTCTGCTTCGAGGTTCAGAATTCAGGATAGCTATCTTAAAAAATGCGCACAATGGATCTCCATTCACTTGGTCCAGTCGAAGACACGTGCACCAGTCACGCACCTGGGCACACAGGTGTAGGCAGGGCCAGCCCAAGACATTTTGGCACCTGAGGCGAACCCTGCCCACCAGTGGAAAAGGTTGAGGGAAGATCTACATCAGGAACAAGGGGGAATAAATATCTACATCGGGAACAATAGAGGAGGGGGGGTCAGATCATCCTTACCAAATGGCTGAAGAGGGAATCAAAGGCTATCACTGGGAGGGGGTACTGCTCTGAATCAAACCAGGTGGCTGCAGATCCCAGGAGACCCCCAAGAGAAGCCCTTGACGTTTTCTCCCTTGGGGTAGGAGGAGACCAGCAGCACCTTCTGTTCATCAAGAGGCCTTTGTAGATGCAAAACTGGGGAGGAGGCATATCATGGGGGCACAGGGACGGTTGCCCCAGGCTCAAAATTGTTAGGGGGCACAAAATTTCAACGCCCAGTGCTGCCTCAATATAGCTGCATGCTTCTGTCACTGGGCTCCATTGAAAACAGCTTCTCCATGCGGACCAGGAAGTGACCTCTCCAGACAACGGAACGACTCTTCTTTTCTCATCTCTGTGGCTGTGATCTCCTGGGTGACGCAAGCGCCATTAGGCAGTTGAATGTCCATGGGTACTCCATCTACTTCCCTCCCACCCCCTCTGTGTGGCCCCGGGTGCTGGCAATCCATGCTATGCCACTGGGGGGGGGGGACTGCCCAAGAGACAGTAGATCTGTCCTCCAAGGAGTGGACTGCAGATATTGCCGCTGCCATGGCAGCGATAGCAGCCGGCGATGCATTATTTGAAGGTCAAATCTGCTACCCCTGCGGATCTTGCCACCTGAGGTGCTTGCCTCACTTTGTCTCATGGGTGGGCCGGCCCTGGCTTGAGGGAAGATCTGCCTTTAGAAAGCATCCTTACCCCTTTCTCAAAGGTGAAAAGGCATTATTTGTGGAGTGGGTGGGGGGAGGGAGCAGAGGACAGATGCAGAGCAGCACTCTGCAAACAAACCTACTTACCCTTTGGACTTTACATTTCTCAAGGGTGGGGAGAGTCCTTTACGAATACCCAGAAGGAACTTCATCTCCCAGCAATCACCTGGTTGCCAGAGCATGCTCAGTAGGGAAGGGCAGAAATGTCCGCTTCCCTTCCTCTCAGTTTCTCATTTCTCCAGTCTCACATTCAGTTCTGCACATCTCCACATCTGTTTGATACTCTGTTTTGTTTTGTAAAGTCCTCATCAAAATTCGTCAGTGAATTGCTCTTGATATGCACTTCTTCTTTTTTGCAAAGCAATTTCCCCAAACGAAATGCGCTTTTGTATGTTATTTCACCAGTTACATGCATTTAGAGGCACCCATTGCACTAACTTATACACGCACGATACTTTTGGCTGGAGAAGGGCATTACAAAATTCAGAGAAGTGCAAAATTCAAAGGATGCCCTATGTGTTTCAATTTGAACGTTGTTTTGGGAAGCGTGAATGGGCTAAGTTTGCATTGCTGGGGGGTTGGACTAGACGACTCTTCCAACTCTACAATTTTATGATTCTATGGTTCTGTTAAATAGGAACGGAATCACATTTCTCCCCCTATCCTTAGCTATAGGTTAGGTCCATCATTTTTAACTGTCATCAAAATATCCCTTGTCGCTAGTCCTTTAGTAAAGGATGGATTCCAATAAATGTGTAAGCCTTTAGAGGTGCCACGGGGGGGGGGGTGTTGAATGAGTTGACCCTCAGGGTCCCTCTATAAGTCTATGATTCTAGGGTTCTAAGCCCCTTTGCTGTGCATTTTTAGGAGAAAGCAAAACCCCCGTGCATTCAAAATTGACTTCAAGGGTCAGCTTTGGGTGAAATTAAACTCTGGGGCTGACCCTTTCCTAAAACACCGCTCGCAGATCAAATCCCCAAACTTTCTCACAGTGTTTGCACATGCAGACACATGTTCCACACAGCTGCCTCTTCCCCCCCCCCTTTTCACCTAAAGGCTGTGGGGTAAGGGTGGGGGGTCTGCTGTTCTTGGAGGAAAAACAAGGGGGGGAAACCAGATTTGCCCATTGCCTTCGACAGAGAAGCCCTCAACTTCATCAAGAGCTTTGCAAATGAATCTTTGGAATGTCTCCACAGATGCTTTCCGAGCCGTGCAGCTGCTGCTGTCAGAAATCCTCTCCAGGGCACAAGACATCCTTGTCAAATGGGTAGGAGAGCAAGGGAGACCCTCCAGCTGTCTCAGAAATGTGAAAGCCAAGAAGTCTGGCTCTCCTCTCATCCCCCCCCCCGCTCTCCCACTGTTTTTGCCCTGGTGGTGTTAATATGTTTGTTATTTTTTAAGTAGGTACCGCAGCGTGAGCAAACAAGGCCTATTGCAAAACCCTCGTCCGAGAGGTGACCGGAGCTCGCAGCTCTTTAGAAGTCTTGCCATGTGCTTTGGAAGGCTTCGTTGCTCATTCCAGATGCACAGAGCCCGGCTGTCTTGCTTCAGTGGCCTCAGAAAGGCGCTTCGCATATGCTCAGAAGTGCTGTCAGGATTTTGTGTGCTCTGAACCGGGGATGGGGAACCTGAGGCTCTCTGGATGTTGTTGGGCTTCTCAACTCCCATCAGCATTAGACAACATGGACAATGTTTAGCCAGCAAAATCCAGAAGGCTGCAAGCTCCTCATTGACCATTTCATGCCTTAATCCTGGAACTACACAGCAGCAGCAACAGATTCAATAACAACCCACGTGTTTTGAGCAAGCCATGAATGTCCAGCCGCACTGCTCCATCCCTTTCGAGAAAGTTCACAGATCAGTAGTAGAACACATGCCTTTGAACCAGTGGTGTGCGGTCAGTGGACTAGGGGGACTAGGCTAGCCCCATAAATGTCCCCTGGTGCCACTTTCCCAAAGCCCTGAAAAGCTTCTGTCCGTCTTAGGGAGGGAGGTGCGATGCTCCCATGGGTCCATGAGCCCTCCCACCACCTTCCCAGTGCCCACCTGGCTTTGGGAAGGAGACAGGGGACTCCAGCATCCTATCGGAGCCCTGCCTTCTCCTTCCCAAAGCCCAGGAAGCTTTTGCCCAGCTTACGGAGCCTTAAATGGCCTCAGCCCAGTATACCTGAAGGAGCATCTCCACCCCCATCGTTCAGCCCAGACACTGAGGTCCAGCTCCGAGGGCCTTCTGGTGGTTCCCTCACTGCAAGAAGTGAGGTTACAGAGAACCAGGCAGAGGGCCTTCTCGGTGGTGGCACCCGCCCTGTGGAATGCCCTCCCATCAGATGTCAAGGAAATAAACAACTACCTGACTTTTAGAAGACATCTGAAGGCAGCCCTCTTTAGGGAAGTTTCTAATGTTTGATGTTTTATCGTGTTTTTAATATTCTGTTGGGAGTCGCCCAATATTATTATTATAGGGAGGAAGGTTTGAAGCTCATACTTCTGATGTCAGGACATCGAAACATCACACACATGATGTCAACCTCTCCCCCATCACCCTTGCAAGCTGGTGCTTCTGTCCCTAACTGTTCCCCTACGAAAAATTTCACCTCACACCGCTGCTTTGAATGCAGAAGGCCCCAGATTCAGTCTCCAGGATGGAGTTGGGAACCCAGTCTGAAAACCTGGAGAGGGCAGCAGGCAATCTTGAGCAGGGCTGACTAATGGTCTGGTTTGATATAAGGTAGCTTCCTATGCAAAACTGGAACAGAGTCTCAAAGCCGAAAGAAATTATGGCCATGGAGCACTTTGCACAATTAAACTGCTACCAGACTGATTCAGAATAAGTGCACGGAGGAAATGTCCCGCTCTCTAAATGCCAGATGTCTAATAAACAGGGTTGCCAATTTTTCTTTCTTTTTCAGATCTTCTTAACACCTGATGCACAGAAATTGGTGACGTCTTTCTCAATCTTCCCCCTCCCAGTTTGTTTCTGAGCACAATTTCAAAGTGTTGATGCTGACCTCTAAAGCCTTAAACGGCCTCGGTCCTGTATACCTGAAGGAGCGTCTCCACCCCCATCGTTCAGCCCAGACACTGAGGTTCCCTCACTGTGAGAAGCAAAGTTACAGGGAACCAGGCAAAGGGCCTTCTCGCCCCATGAAAGCCCTTCCATCAGATGTCAAAGAGATAAATAATTATACGATTGCCTGTAGACATCTGAAGGCTGCCCTGTATCAAGGCGCTTGTAATGTTCTGTTCTGTTGATGTTTGTTTATGTTGGAAGCTGCCCAGAGTGGCTGGGGCAACCCAGGCATATGGACAAAGTACTACTACTACTAATAATAATAATAATAATAACAATAATAATAATATCATCAGGAAAAGCTTTATTAAATGCTTGCCTGGAAGACCACTATTAAAGGCAGAGGAACAGGTAAAGGTAAAGGTACCCCTGCCCGTACGGGCCAGTCGTGTCCGACTCTAGGGTTGTGCGCCCATCTCACTTAAGAGGCCGGGGGCCAGCGCTGTCCAGAGACACTTCCGGGTCATGTGGCCAGCGTGACGAAGCTGCTCTGGCGAGCCAGCACCAGCGCAGCACACGGAAACGCCGTTTACCTTCCCGCTATAAAGCGGTACCTATTTATCTACTTGCACTTAGGGGTGCTTTCGAACTGCTAGGTGGGCAGGAGCTGGGACCGAACGACGGGAGCTCACCCCGCCATGGGGATTCGAACCGCCGACCATGCGATCGGCAAGTCCTAGGGACTGAAGTTTTACCCACAGCGCCACCCACATCCCTAAGAGGAACAGGACTCCCCACCAAATATGGCATAGATTTAGATCGCCTTTAAAAGCGAACTTACCTAATTTTCTCTTTCTGAAACAATATGCAAACCAAAACGCAGCCATTTTTTGAGATTGGCACTTCTCTGAATTTTGAATTGCAGTTCTCTAGCCAAAGAAAGTGCACTGCACTTACTAGCGTGCTCGTCTTCAACTACTGGATTGCGGCCTGATCCACGGTGAGTCACAACAGGAGTGCTACCATCATGCAAATATGTGGTAAAAGGTTAAGAAATAGGTCCCCAAATGTATGTTCAGCTTAGAAGTGGGTCCAGGAACTAGCTATGCTAGCGTAAAGGGCAGGGCTAGCCCAAGACATTTTGGCACCTGAGGTAAACCAGAAAATGGCGTCCCCACTCCCTGCTGGGGAAGAAGGGGTGAGTGAAGATCTACATCAGGAATGGGGGTGGAGGTGGAATAAAGATCTACATTGGGTTCTGCTGACCCTGTGGATCCTGCCGCCTGAGGCAGTTGCTTCATGTTACCTCATGTGTGGGCCGGCCCTGGCAAAGGGCACCTAAAAAGACATATATTACTGAAAATAAAATACATTTTCATGCATTCTAGTAAGGGGAATCTCTTTCCCGAAAGGTTTATTTCAGGCAAAATTGCCTACAAGAATGTGCCTATGAAGAGAAATCCTTTTGCAAAAAAAATTGCCAACCTATGTGCAAATGTGGAAAGCTGAATTTAAGATTGGGAAAATGGAAAAAAAAAACCCAGAAACAGACAGATTCACCCATCCTTGCGCAGCCCCAGTAAGAGCAGAAGAACACAAACAGATCTCCGGCTGAAACGCAATCTAGAAGATCAGTACATTTAGAATTAGTGCAAGTAGCCGTGATTTATACCAAGGCTAAGTAAGGAAGGGGGTGTGTGGAAAAAACCCTGCCTCTTAAACAACATAATACACGTCTCCATGGGAACGGAGGCCTGAGCTAAGAGAGAGAGTTAGTTAATCAAGAGGAAAAATCCGGTGGTTTGAAAAGGTCTTTTGTAAAGCACCGTAGAATTTATCCAATCCAACAAAGAACTACAAGAATGTTAACAGGTCCATGGGAACCTCACACCTTGACCCTTGAGGATGAGTCTGGGCTAGGATAGGCCTCTGTTTGTAAATGAACAATTCACAGTCGGGTCTGGATGAAGAGATACTCTTGGGCCTAAGAAATACTCTTGGGCCATCGCTCTGGGTCAAAACATTCAAATTGGCTGGTGGGGAGGAAGGCATATCAAATCAAAATCAGAAAAGACTCAAGGTTGTTCCACTAGGGAGTGGGGAGCAATTCAATATGGTCCACGTTTAAAGGCAAAACTACACAATTCACTCTTCCTGAAACACTACGAGGCCTGAACCACGGCTGTCTTTCAAAATTCACACCTGTCTGAATTTTGCAATGTAGTTTTCCAGCAAACTAGTAAGTACAGAGGTGTGTTTGCCATGGGGAAGTGTGAAAGAAAATAGGGTTGCCATATTTTGAAGAGCAAAAAAGAGGACACCTGGGCCAACTTCAACTTTTAACTATTGATCGCTATGACGACTCTACCCATGAAAAGGAGGACGTGTCCTGGAAAAAGAGGACATATGGCAACCCTAGATGTGTATACTAGTGACGAGGACATGCAAAAAAAATATGCATCACATTCGGGGAAATCGCCTTGCAGAAATGCTTGTCTTAAGCAAAATTGCATACAATTGTGTGTCAGTTAGGGGAAATGTCCACTAAACTGCTGCTGAACTTTCATGAAGTTACCGTATTGGCTTGAATATAAGCCTCACTCCCCCCCCCCAAAAAAAAAATTCCAACCGTGAAAAGTTAAAGTGCGGTTTAAATTCATGACCTTACAAAAATTGGCCTTTTTACGATATCGCTGCTGAAACAGACATACGGTAAATGTTTTATTGTCGATTTGCGAGCTTAAGACTGTTCATGTGCCGTTTACGGGTGTGAGTGCCTGCAGAATTGTAGCCAATTGAATAGCGATTTGCAATTTCAGCGATTTTACAGTAACTTTTGCGGGCTTGGAAAATCAAAGGCTTAAATTGGCTCCAGGTTAAAATTCTACCAACCGCAGCAACTTTCAGCCTGTAACCCAATTTTAAGGGAGTGGCTTATATTTGGGTATTGTCTTTTTTCCTCCACCCCCCTTTTGAATTTTAAAGGTGTGGCTTATTTGTGGGTGTGGCTTATATTCGGGCCAATACGGTAAGTGAGTGGTAGTAGGAGCAATTGTTGCTTATTTGCCTGCTTCTTCCCTCTTGGAGACAGTGATGTCTACACCCAGAGTTAGAAGGAAAGGGAGTCGGGCTATAGGGAGAGGGAGGGTGCTGTGCTCTAGGGCTCCTGGAACTACAACCGCTTGGGGTTTTCCAGAAATGATTTGGAAACAGCATGCCAGACAGCAAGTGGATCAGTTAAGGACCGCAAAGCCTCAGATCTGAATCTTTCTGAGCCATGAAGCTCCCTGGATGATCCTGAGCCGAGCCACGTGAGACAAAAGCATAATTAATGCATATGAAAATAGACTTCTGTGGGGGAAGAATTTCCATTGATTTCGCTTTCCACCATCACCTTTGCATAGGTACTTTGTGCATTAGGGCAATACCTTTCCATTTAACCTTTTGCACATGGCTGGAATTTCTCTCAGTGCTTTGTAAGTGTATTTACACACACAGACACACAAACACGCAATATGTAGGTGACAGGTAACAAAAGCCAGAGGGACAGACTGCTTAGGAAGGCTGGAGGAAAAATTCAGATTTTACAATGCCAGCCTCAGATAGTCAGTAAGGTTTGCCAGCCATGTAGAGAGAATTAATACAATACTTTACTGTGCAGTGTTTCATATCGTAAGGGCAGAGAAAACTGCTTTAAATCACTGGTCCATTCAGCTCAACATTGTTTCAAGAAGAAACCACTACTCAGAAGTAAGTCCCACTGAGTTTAACAAGCCTTACTCCCAGGTAGGGCTGGAAGGATCTATCCATTTCCGTTCTCTCAGTTTCTCATTTTTCAAATTTTCATTTTGGGTTCTCCACATATTTGCAGAAATTTTCCATTGAAGGGAAAAGTCATTAGTGTTTTAGCGCAGACTTCTGCTAATGAACATCAGCAGTTTAGACTGATGTGCCCATTTTTGCAAGCGATTTTTCCTGAATAGAATGTGCTGCTGTATCTAATATCCTCATTCTCAGGCACACTATCATATGCGCTTTTGTATACTTTTGGCTGGAAAACTGCACCGCAAAATTCAGACAAATGTACGTTTCAAAGATGAGCTGCGTTCCGGTTCTCGTATTGTTTCAGAAAGCATGGATCTGCTAGATCTGGCTTTAAAGGTGTACTGACTCAAATTTCTCCTCCATCCCCCCCCCCCGCCCCAAACCCGGTAAGTAAACGTAGGATCAGAACCTTAGATCAGCTGCTCCTCAAACAGCCCTAAAATACCAATTCACTAGGTACCTGCATCCCACCCAGGTGACTCTCTCTGCATGGCAGACAGGCAGCGTGAGTGAAGGAGGAGGCGGAAACCACAGGGAAGCATCTGCAAGACTAGGCATGTGCTTTGAAGAACAAACTCAAAGGGATAAAGCAGGCCAGTGTGTGCCACGTGCAAAAAAGGAGGAGACAACAGAGCCAAGAGCCTCCAATTCACATGCCCCAAGGGGATGGCTGTTGGAAATCCAGCACGTGCCCCTTCATATAGAATCACAGAATTGGAAGGGACCCTGAGGATCATCTAGTCCAACCCCCCGGAACGCAGGAATATGCAGCTGTTCCATACGGGCATCGAACCTGCAACCTTGGCCTTAATGGCACCACGCTCTAACCAACTGAGCTATCCTGCTTGTATTATTCCATTGCAGCTTGCTTTTGAGCCGCTAGGCTGATATCTCTCTTGCCCCAGTGTATTTTTTTTTAATGGCTCTTAACAGTGGCTGTTTTAAATAACAATAATAATAATAATAAATTTTTATTTATACCCCGCCCTCCCCAGCCAAGACCGGGCTCAGGGCAGCTAACAACCAATAATAAAAACAAGTTGATTAAAATACAATTTTTAAAAAAGATTAAAATACAACATTAAAACATGAGGATCACAGGAGGAGAAAGGAAAAAGAAAGAGGGGGAGGGAATCAAACTGATTCTAAGCCAAAGTTTTCTTCGTGATTTTCATGGGGTGATGGATTGATGTATGGCGGTGGGGAAGAATAAGTCGGTTTTCTTTTGCTTCATTGCGAATCAGGTTTGGGGGTTTTTGACGTCGTTTTTTAAAAAGCTGAAATTTATACTTTTTAGCTCATTTTCATTTTAAATTATTTTGCTGCCTGATCTTTAGAGGATGCTTGAATTTAGTCCTTTTACTAAGGATTTTCCTCGCATTTTTTTTTTTGCAGCTGATTTTTTTATGCGGCAATGTTTATTTTGACACCGACGAGGATTCTCTATTGAGTTACGTTTCATCGAATGTATAAATTCCCTCCTTTTTGTTTTGGTGTTTGCTGTTTACTTAAGGTGTTTTAACCTGTGTTGTAAACCGCTTAAGAGTTTTGAGTAACTACGAGCGGTAAATAAATAAATATTATTATTTTAAATATATTTTATAACTACCCATTTCAGGAGTCTCCCCACAACTCCTCACATTGAGAAGTGTGGACCAGACATAAGAAGCAATCCTATGCACACAAGAAGCTTGGCGTAATACAAGCCAGCGTAAGTTAAACTGCCCTAAAGGTACACCAGAGCCAAATCCCGTTCAGCTGTGGAACCGCTGCAGCTGCTCTGCCTAAGCCGGGAAGAGGGGAAACATGCCTTTAAAATAGGGTTTTAGGCAGGGCTGCCAATCATCTGAATGAGCAGAACAAGCTTAGGATTTGACCTAAGAGTCACCCCCGGTGCTGCCCAAACCACGCCCCCAGAATGTCCATTTTGGGCATCTTGCGCTGGCCTCGGCTCAGCCAGACGGGTGGGGGTATAAATAATAACATTATTATTATTAAGTTGTGCTGGTGTATCTTTGGCTAAGCCAGGCTGGTCTCTTAACACCAGCAGAGCCAGAGATCATCTATGCATTCTAAACTGCCCATCTTGACAGAACTTGCCCCCGTCAACAACGCCACCAGATTCCTGGTGGAGCACATATGTTTTAACCAGCTGGTATCGACTGAGATGTTTCAATGGTGATTTCACCATATAACACCGGTCTTGAAAGACCTACATTGGCTCCCAGTACGTTTCTGAGCAGAATTCAAAGTGTTGGTCCTGACCTTTAAAGCCCTAAACCGCCTTGGTCCAGTATACCTGAAGGAGCATCTCCACCTCCACTGAGGTCCAGCTCCAAGGGCCTTCTGGCGGTTCCCTCAATGTGAGAAGCCAAGTTACAGGGAACCAGGCAGAGGGCCTTCTCGGTAGTGGCGCCCGCTCTGTGGAACGCCCTCCCACCAGATGTCAAAGAGAACAATAACTACCAGACTTTTAGAAGACATCTGAAGGCAGCCCTGTTTAGGGAAGCTTTTAATGTTTGATGGACTACTGTATTTTAATATTTTTTTTGGAAGCTGCCCAGAGTGGCTGGGGAAGCCCAGCCAGATGGGCGGGGTATTAATTATTATTATTATTATTATTATTATTATTATTATTATTATTTCTGCCTGTCTGGGTAGGCTTGCCTAGAAAAAAAATATTTTAAGCAGGTGTTGAAAAGAGCAGCGAAGGTGACTGGCTGATGTCAAGAGGCAGGGAGTTCCAATGCGTATGGATTTATTTAGATGGGTGCCAACAAGAAGTTCAGAATCAGTATTATGTGGTACCTGTAACACTGCCAGTTCTGCAGACTGAAGCGGTCGTATGGGCCTATATGGGGTAAAGCAATCTCACAAGTAAATTGGTCCCAAGCTGTTAAGGGCTTTAAGGAGTGTCTCCACCCCCATCATTCAGCCCAGACACTGAGGTCCAGCTCCGAGGGCCTTCTGGCAGTTCCCTTGCTGCAAGAAGTGAGATTGTAGGGAACCAGGCAGAGGGCCTTCTCGGTAGTGGCGCCCGCCCTGTGGAATGCCCTCCCATCAGATGTCAAGGAAATAAACAACTATCTGACTTTTAGAAGACATCTGAAGGCAGCCCTGTTTAGGGAAGTTTAATGTTTGATCGTGTTTTTAATATTCTCTTGGGAGCTGCCCCGAGTGGCTGGGGAAACCCAGCCAAATGGGCGGGGCACAAATAATAATAATAATAATAATAATAATAATAATAATAATAATTTGTTGTTGTTGTTGTAACACCTTTAATTGGGCCCAATTGCAAATGGGCAACCAGGGCAGTTCTCTGAGCAGAGGTACTGTTGTGTTTGTGCAAATTTACATAGGAAAAAAATGGCATATAAATGGAAATAATAGCATTAAATATTTTAGGGATTTTTTAAAATTAAAAAAATGAAGTTTCTTGGATTTCTTTTTACTTAAATAAATACTGAGTGGGATATAAATTCCTTAGAAGAAATAAAAGCATTCCAGCAACCATTTGATGCCATTGAAAAAGAAGAAGGTATGGTATACATACTAAATATTTAGTGCTGCATCCTTGCTGGATAAGGTTTCAAAAGGCTTCTCGTGAACCAACAGAGTGACCTACATGTTGAATTGGTTTGGTTGGCACCTGTTATCTGCTGCCACTGGCATAAGAAGTGAGCCTCATCCAGGGAAACGCACACTGAGTACTAAGGGAGCCTCGGCCTCACATGCATATCCCAGACAAAACTGCACTGCTCTGAATTAAGCAGGTTTGGGACGGTAAGGATTTGTCCCTATGTGTGGCGCTGTGGGTTAAACCACAGAGCCTAGGACTTGCCGATCAGAAGGTCGGCGGTTCGGATCCCCGCGACAGAGTGAGCTCCCATTGCTCGGTCCCTGCTCCTGCCCACCTAGCAGTTCGAAAGCACACCAGTGCAAGTAGATAAATAGGTACCACTCTGGCGGGAAGGTAAATGGCGTTTCCGTGCGCTGCTCTGGTTCGCCAGAAGCGGCTTAGTCATGCTGGCCACATGACCCGGAAGCTGTCCACCGGCTCCCTCAGCCAATAAAGCGAGATGAGCGCCGCAACACCAGAGTTGGTCACGATTGGACCTAATGCTCAGGGGTCCCTTTACCTTTACCTTAAGTTTTGATTTGCCCTTTTTATTCTGCTCAAGGGTATTTTGCAGGAAAGTTGCACTATTCCCCAGTAAGGTATCTCGACGTGCTGTCGGTGTTCGAAATTAGCCAGGCGCCAGGAGCATTTTGCACCTGGCTTTTGACCACTTGCGACATGCCAGGGTGCCAGGATGGCACCTGACATTTTTATCATTTATTTATTTAATTTATATCTACCACCCTATACCTGAAGGTCTCAGGGCGATTCACATAAAATAGCATCTCCACCATCTGGAAGGTGCATGCCTGGGGATCATTGAATCTGGACTGTTTTCACACACTCATGCTCCCATCCTGTAGAATTCTATCAGTTATATATTATCTGCACAATCAGAATGAATTTTTGGAACCAAAATGCGTTTTCTGTGCAGCCTGAGCAGCCTGAGCAGCAGAAGTCATTGTTAAGAAAAAGAGTTTGGAACAGGTATACAGTGGGTTAAGAACTTAATTTGTTCTGGAGGTCCGTTCTTAACCTGAAACTGTTCTTATCCTGAGATACCACTTTAGCTCATGGGGCCTCCCGCTGCTGCTACCGTGCCGCCACGCGATTTCTCTTCTCATCCTGAAGCAAAGTTCTTAACCCGAGGTACGATTTCTGTGTTAGTGGAGTCTGTAACATGAAGCGTCTGTAACATGAAGCGTCTGTAACCCGAGGTGCCACTGTACATGTGAACTGTCCCTGGATAAAGTGACTTTTCTTCCCTAAGTTCTCAGAGCTCTTAACCTAGCTCAAGGTGGTCATCTGAACTAGCCAGATGTTTAACTGAGAATCCATCACCGTCAGTTGTCCATCATTTGTAAAAAAAGAGCCGTCTTACCCCCAAACTAGACATTCTGTTCTAGCAACTGTAACCTTGGTTTAAGAAGCTATTTGGAGCCTAGCTCATATATTTGAGTTTCTAACACTGCATTTTCTGATTAGGTTGCAATGTGCCACTGGGTAGACTTGAATTTAACTGCAGGAGTTGCCATCTTTCTGGGTCTGTGGACATATCTGCAAACCACAACCAAGCACACTCTGCAACCCATGATATTGGCTATAATGGAATGCTTCTTACAAGCCTAATTTGTGTGGAAAAAACCCTTCGGGCAACCAGGAAAAACCTTCATAGGCACCCACAAGCAGCACGTTGGCAACCGCCAGTCTTGTGTTACCGGTGGCCACCAATATTCAGTGACCCTGAATATATTTTCTGTCAACAAACAGCATTAACCATCACATTTGCAGCCGCTTCCCTGGTTTCAGTCAACATCTCGCTTTGGAAGGAAAGGGCCAATTGATGTTAGACGCACCAGGCCACATGTGGTACAACCCCAACACAATAGGGCATAAATTGCTCTCGAACACACACGCAAACAGGCATCGAGTTCAGGAACAGATGAATTCCAGCTAAATCCAAAAAGCTGACAAGCTGAATGGCACAAACAGATGTGAATTGCAGCATGCTTGGGTGGGTGGGGAGTAGATGCAAGTAACTTCTCCATTAGTTCACAGACACTTATTATAAGAGTCTCTTTTGCTAACCAGAGACCACAAAAATATGCTAGATCTCCATTCCCAAGAGAAGGAACAAAGAATATGACATTTAATTAAAAGCAGATTGGGGAACTGCCAAACTTTGTTGGCGGCAAGGAGGGGGAATGAGCGCAGAATTGGGGGCTTTGCCAACCTGTTGTTCTAGGCAAAAATGGGCAGGAAAAAAAGAGTGTGCCTCTCGGTATAACACCCTAGATAGGTCTACTCAAAAGTAAGTCCCACAGAGTTCAGATGGGGCTTCCTGAGGGAGGAACAAAAAGGGATGTCAGCTTAAATATCGGACAACTCTCTAAATCTCAGATCCCTGCTTGCCGGACAGCTCTGTGTGATTCGAATGCCTGCTCCCCTCTTAACTACTGCAACGGATTTTATGCCTCCAGTCTGAACCTCAAGTTCAGAAAGAGAGTGGGAGGCTCCGGAGAAAAGGGCGCCTCTCACAATACTGCACGCTCCCCGTCCCAACGCTATTTTCACTTACAGGTATCGTTGCCCGTCCATGTGATGGTGCAGAGCCACGGAGAGTCCGAAGTAGCTGTCCGGGGTCTTGCCTTTCTTGTGGATCAGAAATTTCGTGTCCAGGTTGAAAGCCGCGCATCTCGGGGCGCAGAGGGAAATCCACAGGGCGCATGCCAGCAGGAGCGCTTTCTGCCTCCCAAGCTGGCTCTTGCGTCCTGCGGGTCTGCAAAGGTGGAACTGGCTAGCGCCCATGTCGTGTTTCGCCAATTTCTTTCTCCTTCTTTTTTTGCTTCCCAGGAGTCTGCTGCGCCCTTCTGCAAAGGAGTTTGCGGGTGGCTTGCTCGTTTTGCTGGGGGCTGGGGGGAAAAACCCGGCTTGCTTTTGTTGTTGCTTTCAGTTCCTGGAGTTTTGCCCTCCTCCCCTCTCCAACCTCCTTTGTGAATGTTGCAGATTGTAGCAGCAGCAGCAGTCTCCCTGCTTAGCGATCGGATATTCCTTCCTCTCCACCCGGTTCTTCCCTACGCGCAAAAGGCTCGGATGGAGCCGGTTCTGTGGCTGGTATCGCGCAAGCGAGGCGCGCGCGTGCTTGCTTGGTTACCTCCCTCCCCACCTTGCACAGAGTCTGAGCAGCCGCTCTGGCTACACTTTTCTTCCGGGGGAAAAAGAAACAGTCGGAGCGAGCAGGAGTGACAAGCGCTTGGTTCTTAAAGGGGCCCCGGACAGGTTGGACACCTGCCCAGCGCGCAAACAAAGACGAGGGCAGATAAAAGGCCGGGGAACTGATTTCATTCTTGCTAGTATTTTCTTTTTCTTTTATAAAAAAAAAAAAGTACCTTAAAGGTACAAAGACCCAGATTTGCCTAGAGGTTTCCAGGCGCACGCTTTCCCCTCGAAGCGCATCTCTCCGTGATCACAGGTGTATTGGGGCGCGCTGCGTTTAGTCAGCGGGAAAGGGGGTGCACTCTGCACGCGCTCAGGGGCCCTTGTTTTTATTATGACGCCGCGCGAGGAACAACAAGAGCCGGTTCTGGCGCACTTGCCGGCTTTCCTGGGCAAACCGCTGGGCTTATCTAAAGGAAGCAGACGTTTGCCTGACTCAGAACCATCACTGGATCAAAATATTTTACCAGATGTCCCTTGCATTTCCCTCAGTCAGCCCTGGCAAAGCCCTACCATTGGTGCTGTGAGGTTTGTCTGTTTCGTTATTGCATTGCTATCCTGTTCCTTGGCCAAGATGCTCATCTCACTCTCTGCCTGTCCCAAGTCCACTGTCACAACAACCCTATAGGGTAGGAGGCAATAAAGTGGTCCAAAATCACCCAGTGAGCTTTGTTGCAAAACAGAGCTGCCTCTCCCTGGTCTAAGTTCAACATCCTAGCCACTCCACCTGACTTGGTCTATAGTTTTGAGGTTCCGGGACTGATCCCTGCTGAGCCAGCCCTCCCGGAGTCAAGTAAACTGCACTGGAATTACATACAACTTAAAGTGAGAGAGAGGCTGGTTCCTCCCTCAGGTTCACAGCTTTCAAATGTGGCAAGCAGACATCCACATCTCAGAATAGCTCAGATGGTTTGAGCATGGTGCTGATAACGCCAAGATTGCAGGTTCGAACCCCGTATGGGACAGCTGCATATTCCTGGACTAGATGATTCTCAGGGTGCCTTCCAACTCTACAAATCTGTGATTCTAACCCGTGGATTTTAAAATGTGTGTGTGTGTATATATATATATCAAAATCTAGCTATGCTGTTTGGTCCTCCCTAAGATGGCTTTCCACTTCCAATGTTTGTATTTCAAAGTGCTCTCTGTGTGCGCAAATGTATTCTTCCGAATTCATAGATTTCATAGTTTCAAAACCACACCCCTTAGCTGATTCGTCATTATGACATACAAGTTACTTCCAGGTGACCTTCTAATTGAGCATTTGTTCTGGTTTATTTGCATAAACTCTGCAGGTTGGCTCAAAGATGTTGTATGTTTACTAAGCATTCATACTGGTTTGTTTGCACCAAATTTGTGGGAAGGTTAGACAACATTGCCTGTCGTTTTTTTATTGAGCTTTTATTCTGATCTGTGAAGTTACGTTTATAACCTGCTGCTTTTATTGTATGTTCGTTCAATTGTTTTGTTTTTTATAATTTTATTTGTAAATTTTCAACAAACAAACAACTCAACAACATTTCAAATTTAGCAATCAGTCATTCCACCTACGACTTCCCCTCCATCCCTCCGTGTTTCCCTCAAAATTTCAATTTATGCTGCATATTATCGTTACTCTATACCTTCACCTTATCTCACATAAAAAACAAAAAGTTCACCCCCTCCACTGCTGTTCTTACTCAAATCCTATTTGCATTCTAACATGTTTACACCGAGCTTCTAAGCATTCTGTAAATATTTTCCAATCTTCTTTAAGACCAGTCTCTTTCTGATCTCTAATTTTGCACGCCAAACTTGCCTGTTCTACATAGCCTATCAATTTCAGCTGTCATTCTTATTCAGTAGGGAGCACCTCATCATACAATTTTTGTGCGTATAATATTCCTGCTGCCGTGGTTGCGTAAAGAAATAGATTTGTCTGGGTTTGGGGCAATATCTTCTCCAGTTATCTCTAGTAAAAAGCAGAAGAAGCTTCTAGTTTGGGGGGGTTAGTTGTCTTAAATATCTTTTTCAACTCATTATAAATCATCTCCCAAAAGTCCATAGCTCCTTTCACGTCCACCACATACGGTAAAATGTGCTTTCTACTTCTTTACATTTCCAACAGTCAGATGTTCGGGTTTTAACATTTCCACTGTAAGCAGCCTTGTGAGGGCTTGCACTGAAAAGCGAGACAGAAATATGTTAAATATCATATTTTTTTGCTCTATAAGACTCACTTTTTCTCTCCTAAAAAGTATGGGGAAATGTGTGTGCATCTTATGGAGCGAATGCAGGCTGCACAGCTATCCCAGAAGCCAGAACAGCAAGAGGGATTGCTGCTTTCACTGCGCAGCGATCCCTCTTGCTGTTCTGGCTTCTGAGATTCAGAATATTTTTTTTCTTGTTTTCCTCCTCCAAAAACTAGGTGCGTCTTGTGGTCTGGTGCCTCTTATAGAGCGAAAAATACAGTAAATAGGTACATGTGCTTTCCCTCTAAGCCAGTGGTTCTCAACCTTGGGTCCCCAGATGTTTCTGGCCTACAACTCCCATGATCCCTAGCTCACAGGACCAGTGGTCAGGGATGATGGGAGATGTAGGCCTAAAACATCTGGGGACCCAAGGTTGAGAAAGGCTGCTCTAAGCTGTGGTGACCCATGAACTGGTTACATTCGGAACAGACTACTGTAGCGCTCTCTGTATTTCAAACTGTGGTCAGCACTGATGCCGTTAGGAACAAGGCAGTCAGCGACACGTATCACATGTCCACATATTGGCAAATACAGACAGCAAATATTTGAGCAACCGGGGAATATCTGGAGAACAATCAACTTCGAAATTCACACCAGAGAACTTCGGGGGTGGAGAAAGAATTTGCTTCAGCTTCCAGTTGTGTCTGTGATAGGACACAGGCCACACTTGTTTTGGGTGGCCAAAAAAAAGGACTTTCAAACCCAAAAGGGAAATGTCTACATTTCCCTGCTCTTAACCACAAGTTGTTCCCAGGAAATTTGCTTGCGCATCATTGCAAACCCTTCTGTTTGAGGAATGGAATGCATTAATTGCTGTTGGATGTTTTCAGCCTGATAATCTTGGGATTCCAAGTAGAGAAAAGAGGAAATGGAGACAGGAGGAAATGTAGAGTCTTCCAGGGGTTCGGTGCAGAATCCTTGATTTCCCCCGTTAGCAGTGGAGGAATTGGGAACAGGGCATCAATCAAGATGAGCTTGATTTCTCACCCAAACTCAAATTCGACCAGACAGCTTTGCTCTCCCCTCCTGGTGAGTTCAGATGTTTCGGATCGCCTGATTCTCTCCTTCTGATGCATAGCCTTTTCGCAGATACCCTCTCAGTTCTTGGTCCTTAAAAGGAAAAGTCCTCCCTCCAAAACAGGGGTGGCTAACTTGTGCCCATTCAGGTATTTTTAGACTCCCAACTCCCCTCAGTCACAGGCATCATGGCCATTGGCCAGGGGTCATTGGAAATGAAATTCTGTGCCTTCATCACCATGTATGGGAACATACCTCAAGAAAGGCCGTCTTCACGTTCTAAGTCAGGAGTCAGCAAGGTTTATCTTGACTGGGCTGGATCGGTCCCCCGGAGATCCCTCTGTGCGTGCACACCTGTGATTTTTGGCATCCGCATGTGCGCAGACGCAATTTCCGGCGCCAGAAAAGTGAGTCCCTGTGGTGCTCCGGTTTAGTGCAGCGCGTGAGTGGGCAGCTTGGTTTGGGGGCAGCTTGTGGGCCGGTCAAATGACCTCTGTGGGCCTCTTCCAGCCCATGGGCCTTAGGTTGCTGACCTCTGTTCTCAGTCCTAAGAAGCGCCCCGCTGGACCATACCAAAGGCCTTTCTCAGGGGTAGCGAACATCGTGGCTTCCAGATGTTTTGGACCACAACTCCCATTATCCTTGCCCATTGACTGTTCTGCCTAGGCTGGTGGGAGTTGTAGGCTGGTGGAAGGCTCCGCCCTGGCCACCCATTTTCAGGCTCTCACAAACCACCTTGGGTTTTACTAGAATGCCAAGATCTACCCACCAGAACCACGTGCAAAAGACATGTTCTTAGTATTAAAGAATATTCTTCTTCTTCTTTGGCGATCACTTGTAGCCGAGTAAGATTGTCTTCCATAAACCTGGTTTAAAAAATGAGTCCATAAGTGACTGTGGAGGCCAATTCTGGATCCACACATCCTTCCACAGTGGGGACATTGGTTTCCAGGTGGGAATTGGTCACGGTGAGGGTTTGCCAAATGTGCCTTCCTCTTAGCACATTTCTCCATTTCGTCCTGAGTTTGAGCATCTTCAAAGTCCATGACACCTTTGGTAAAGGCTGTTCTCCAATTGGAGCGCTCGCAGGCAAGTGTTTCCCAGTTGTCAGTATTATTAAAGAATATGGGGAGGAGATGGCTAGTGTTGCCACAATATCAGCTTCTGCCTCTGATTCTGGACTGCTCTATGCCACACACTCCCCCTGCTCACTAGACCCTGTTGCCTCCTCAGCTTCCAACTCCTCCTCTTCCCTTCGGTCCACCCGAAGTTGTCCTACCACCTCTCCCCGGGCTCTGAGCCTTCTTTCCTTGGTGGCTCCCCCAGATGGAGCCCCCCGTCATTCCGCTGCGTCCCGCCAGTTCATGACACCCTCCAGACATCTCCTGCTTGTGGATTGTGGGTGCTATTCAAGGCGTCTTCTGCCCATTCCATTTGTTCAGCTTTTAAAATATATATATTTCCCCAATACCTCGGGGTAACCCATTGCGTGACTTTGATGTGTGATCTGCATGCACGATCTACCCCTGTCACGCTATGATCTGTAACTCTATATTCATTCATGCCGTAGAAACTGTACGTGAAACTCATTTCAGCTGTTGGGAAGATCGTTGGGTGGATTAGTTCATGACAGGTGCACCCCACATGCCTAAGTGCCCTGGGGGGTGGGTTGCCTGCCCATAAATCTGTTACAGCGTATACAACCTTTCAATGGAAAGAAAGCATCATGCTTCCCAAATTTTGCAATGCTTAGCTCATCTGACACTGAGCTGGCTTGTCATGGGAAATGGAGAGAGTCATTTCTGGTCCAACTAGGGATGTAAGAACATAGGAAGAGGCTGATGGATCAGGCTCATGGCACCTCTGATCTCACAATGGCTGACCAGGTGCCTGTTTTAAACTTTTTTGGGGTTTTTTTGGTATTAATATATTTTTTGAAAAGGTTTCCGTTTTAAAGAAATAAAGTGATGCAAAGAAAAAGGCAAAAAGGAAAGAAGACACAAAAACGTGTAGAAGGAAACAATATGTGCATATACCCAATATGCTAAAAATACCCTAAGTCGTGCATACTTATATACATTTGATATTATTATCCTAATACTTATGTAAGGTAAAGGACCCCCTGGATGGTTAAGTGCAGTCAAACTTGGCTATGGAGTGCAGCGCTCATCTTACTTCAGGCCGAGGGAGTCAGTGTTTGTCCCCAGACAGCTTTCTGGGTCATGTGGCCAGAATGACTAAACCGCATCTGGCGCAACAGGACACCGTGACGGAAGCCAGGGCACACGGAAATGCCGTTTACCTTCCCACCACAGTGGTACCTATTTATCTACTTGCACTGGTGTGCTTTCGAACTGCTAGGTTGGCAGGAGCTGGGACAGAGCAACGGGAGCTTACTCCGTCGCAGGGATTTGAACCGCCAACCTTCCAATCAGCAAGCCCAAGACAAGAGGCACAGTAGTTTAGACCACAACACCACCCGCTCCCATTAATACATATGTAAATATTATTAATAATATTGATGTGTAAATATTAATAGCCTACTACATTTTGTATAAACTCATTCCAAATATTGTCATATTTAACCAAACAAAGTCTACGTCTATAAGCAGTCCGTTCATAACTTGCAAGTGTTATCGTATTGTCAATGCATTTATTAAAGGGGATCATATCTTCATTCTTCCAGTTCATCAATATCAGTCTCTTGGAGGTAGCAC